ATGACGAGATATAAATATTTCCATCGGTCATTCAAAACTTAGTCTAATGATATAGAAAATAAATCTACGTGCTTCAATAATAGAAAACGAAATAAGTTTTGTTTCGTGCATTAATTTTTTTTTATGAAAAAATTTGATATAATTCATTTCACTGTATGTATATACAGTAATTTATGGATTTTAAACACAAAATATATAAATAATCGTTTGGGTTTAATATATTTTTCTATGTAACAATTCCAAATTAATAAAAATTATTCTTCAATTTTTTTTACCTCTATATTATTGCCGAAGAATTGAAATATTACTCGAAGGAATTAATCTACCATAACCAATATAAAATAGATTTTTTAGTATGGAATTAAAGGAAAACTTGACCTACTTTAACTTGAATTTCAGATAAGGTTTTGTACGAATTTTGGCAAGATACATTAACTGAACTTGCCTACATCTATCTGAATCATCTTTTTTATTATTTCTCAATCATTTTGTCACATAACGCTGAAATATTGCCAAAAATAAACTTAAAATCGTTTGGTTGAAAAAATTGAAAAAAAGTGGTTTAATTTTGTTGTAAAATAAAAACTGGTTAATATTTTCATAAATTAACATGAATTTTATACAATTATTAGATATTAATAAAGAAAAATAAAATGTAATTGTTACGAACCCAGATATAAAAATAATTTAAAATAACGAATTCATTTCATTATTTTAATTTTAAATTGATAATTAATTTTAATAGGTAAATGTATTATCTGTTTTAGGTAAGTATTTCAAAATATCCAACTACCTTTATGCAATGTAGTCATATATAAGTAAGTATGATAAAATATTGAAATATGCCTCTTGATTTCTACAAAATATTTTTAAAATTTCGTATATTAAACAATAATGTTACATTATTATAATATTAAACGTTTATATAATAGATGGAACATTAAAAATCATAAAATATCATTACGATGTATACTTAAAATATTTTCACATGATTAAGGAACTATTTATCTTTTATTATTAATTGTACTTATAAACGTATTTCAAAACGTTAATAAGAAAAAAAGACATGTAATTATAAATTATTTTAAATAATTTATACAAGTTTTAATCGAAATTTTAACAGTGATAAGGAAAAGTAAATACATGAAAATTTGTTAAAATTTATTAAAACAATAAGTTACAATATATATCGATTGACACATTTAGTTTTTAATAATATAAATAAATAACTTATATTAGAAATAAAAATATATTATTATTTTGTTCAGTAATCATAATAATTTAAGTTCACTTATGAATTTCAAATATCAAATATTCTACACAGATAATAAAAAAATGTAATTACACAGTAATACTTTAACATTGTAATTATTTTGAATCTAATTTAAATTCCAGGCTTACAAATACTGTTATAATAGCAATTTGAATGAAATTTGTTACTTTATAATGAATTCATATCTATTACTTGAGTGAATTCAATGGTAAATATAATGTAGACGTAAACTTGAACTTTTCCGTAAAATTACAATTTAAGTAGAAATAAATTAAATATATTTTTCATATTGCAAATTTCATTCTCTTTCGTGTTAAGAAATTTAATTGTTTAAAATGGTCTAATTATTCTAATAATCGTACAATTAAAATTAAATTAGTATTATTTTACTATTAATTGTCAATTTTACTATTAATTCTTTTAAGATTTATAGATCTAATGTTTTGAATAAATTCATACTTTATAGTTGTTCCTCAATCTGTGCACATTCGCAACTCATTTGAATACAACTGAATAATTATATCTTAATCACTTAATAAACATATTTAGCTCTTAAATACCATATTTATAAATAAAAGAATAAAAACTCGAAGTATAATCAATGGAGGAACTCAAATTAAACTATCATTGAATAAATAATACAATAATAATAAAAATAATTATACAATTATATAAATATAAAAAAGCAGCACGTTTATTATCTTATTATTTAGTAAATTTTTTATTTTTCTTTCTCTATTTGGCTTTCTTTATTTGGCTTCATACTCCTTCGCTGTTATTCTGTTTCACTTCCTTTGTACATAAGTGTTTCCTTATGAATATTAGCATAAAAATTTACATTAAAATAAATATATGCCATTATATATTTTACGTGAAAAAAGATACCGATATAATTAACTTTCTTCGTTAGCCGTAATTCCAAAAAAGAAATTTCAATAAAAGGCGCGTTATCGAATTTGCACGATTGCTCCTTTTGTCAAATTGCATGAGTGACCATTCCTTACTCTATGTATATGTAATAATTAACAGGTATAAACATAAACCATATGCAATGTGTGAGTAAGATTTAAGGGAACGGAGTATTGCTCAATTAATCCCGAGCCTTTATCGCGTTACCGCTTTAGTAGGTGATCATTTTCTGAAACCAATAGATTTTTATTAGTGTTCATGACTATTCAATGTAAAAAAAAAAATAACGAATTATGTAACTGATTTCAACATATTTGATATATCTTCGTTTAGTTTATCTATACAGTATTTTGTAGATGATTCATCAGAAATTCTTGATAAATTTCTAAAATATTTATTTTATATGTGAATTTACTTTTATCAGATTGTTTTTATTTTAATGTTGTTTCATACATACATACATGCATACAAACATACATACATACATACATACATACATATATATATATATATATACACATAAATATATATACTCATTAGGATCAAAAATAAATTACACATAATTACAAAAGTATTTAAATTACTTTATGAAAGTTCTAAAAATATATTTTTATTTTGTTCAATTATAATAATAATTTAAGTCCACTTAAAAAATTTCAAATGTCAAATATCTGTTCAGATAATCAAAAATATTTTAAAACAAATAATTATAAATTTGTTTCAATATACAAAAATTAATCATGTGAAGTAATAAATTCTTAATTAATGACGTACATAAATATTTGATTAATTTAGTGTTAATTCAATATAACAATTAAAAATGAAAAACAATATAACGATGAATTTAAGTCTATTTTAAATATATAAAAATAATTTTTATTTTATTTCCAATATTTTTTCTGAAATATACAAGTAATTATACTAAATAAAATTGTAGAACTACAATTAGAAATTCTTGATTTATATCTCAACATTTTTATTTTTAATATTCCCTCCTTTCTAGTAATGTTTATTTCCTTATATACGTACATTATAGTTAACATATACTGACCTTTCAAATGAATGCAATATAAGATGAATGCAATATGTGGAAAATAAACTGTACCACTTTAACTTCATTCTGAAGAGTAACTTTCAAAAGTTGTATACACTATATAACTTTCAATAAAAGTAGAAAGTAAACTAAAAGCATTTGTATACTACGCCGTATTTATAATGGCTTTCTGAAGTATTTAGTATCGAAAAATATAATTTGTATAGCAATGATCATTTCGAATCAATGCATTTCAATTTCTGTAGTTTGCTTTTTTCATTGAATGCACACCTAATTTATTAATTTAATAGATAAAGTAGAATTCACTGTCAAAAATTTGAAATAAATGACTAATAAATGGTAAATAAGGACAAATTATGACAATGGAAAATGTTATTGACATATTATCTTGAAAAATATACTTGATAATTAGGTTCTTTTTTTTAAATATATTTTTTCTACTTAAGAAAAATGTACACGTACTTATAATTACAGTTTATAATTTATAATCTTTACCACTTAATTATTAAATATAATTTTATATAAGACATTTATTTGCTCTACGAAGTATCATTGTCCACTAATTATAATATTTTAATAATTCGCAATTTTTAAACGATTACTTTGCCCATGGATAAGACTTACTGAAATTTAATTTGAAAATTATATTATAGCTGCAAATTAAAAATAATAATAATATTCATACAAAATACGCTGGTGAGAAAATTAATATATTTTCTAATTATAAATAATTTTTAACGATTACTTATATTGATAAATTTTAAACAATTACCATAAAATGTTACTTAACAGATAAGTTTTTATTGTACGTAATCTGATGAACGTTAATGTCCGTTATTTGGATTTTTAATCAGCTTGACATTGAAAAAACGAATTTTGAAATCAATAGAATCTTATATACTAAGAAAATGTTATGTATGTTTACTTAAACTTTTATAATTGCTTATTTACAGATTGCAGGATATAATTGCATAAGTTACAATATTGTTTATTATTATTTACATTATATTTTGCATATATATGGTCGATTTAAATGATATAAATATTTAACTTGATTTTGTGAATTATATTATATTTAAAATACATTAAATGTAAAGATTTCAAAATGGCAATATAAAATTTATTATTGTTGTTTATATAACCAATATTTTATTTTGTAGTCGAGTCTTTCACAATTCGTTTAATTTTTTTTTTTAACGCCTTCGGTATTATATTATTTTTATACATTTTTATACTAATTAACTGTAAAAGACTTTGTAGTTAATATTTTACTACAAAGTAAAATTTCTTATTAAAAAAACTTTATTAAATTGCAGTATAACTTTATTGTTTTCTACTTGAAATAAAATTCCTTTGAATTACTTTATTAATGCCTTTTAAAGCTTAAGGTTCTAAATCAATGTATGTCTTCTATAATGTCAATATTTATAAATGGCTTTTAAGTCTTATGAAGTATCATAAATTAATTTTAACGGTATGAAGCACAAGGATCATATTGTTAAATTAGTTTAATTAGTACAATATATCCAACGTTATTTTGTAATTAAATGGGCACGCATAAGCTTATGGTTCTTAAAAGTTATATTTACAGAAGATATAATACAGACAAGATTCGCTTTAATCTTAGAGTTAATTTAACTACATGAAATTGCTGACAATTCTTGACTTATGATTTTGATGGAAAGCCAAGCTCGGATTAAGTCACAGACAATAGCTGCCAAATCTCATTCTTGAACTATCGCACTCCACAATTGCTTTCTAGTTTGAGAGACGAGCTTGCTAAGCGGATTTCTACTTGTTTAAAGAGCAGCGGCATATACGAGCTTACGCCTCGCGATTATGAATCTGTGATATATTCTGCAGACAAAAAATAGAAATAGACGTCCGTATTTATTGGAAAGTTGCCTTTTCTCTTTATACCTTGAAATGAAAAACAATATTTATCTTAGTTTTAAAATACATTAGGGACTCTTTAAATGTTATTAGTTTAACATAATATTATTATGTAATATTATAATAAAAATGTATTATGCCAATATATTAGCAAAATCTAACATGTGTTTAGTAACACATACTTGTTAAGTATGTAATTGAAGGAAAAAAGAAAAAACATTTAGTAATAATCATAAAAAGATAGAAAGTTTTCAATTGGTGTAATTATTTTATCATGCGAAAATTCTAAAAAAATTATTTCAAATCTATCTTGCTTTGCAATAATTTTAATACTATTATTTTTATCTTATTATTATACCTGTTATAATTAAAATCTCTTAAAAGTAGGTGTACTATTTCAATAGTTTTATGGTTAATATTCCCAGTTGAACAAATTATGACCGCAGTTATTTCGATTTCCTTTTATAAATAACAATGAAGAAATGATGCGCAAGTCTATAAGTTAAATAACCGTCTCTCATATCTCAGAAATAAGATCCGACTCGAAAGCCGAGAAAAATATATTGTGGCTATTTCTTGTATGCCGGACGCCAACGCAAATGCTGCCACAAATTTATTGGAAATCGGAGATCATAAGAGGCCTTTCACCGCAACCATCGTCCATTCGTTCAAGAAGAATACATTTTTTTGTATATTGTGAAAATACTCAATATACTGATAATTCTTATCTTTAAAATTTCCTGTCAACATTTTTAAAAACAGTCATGTACCTCTATGATTTTTTATTTTGTCTATATGTATTTATAATACTAATGATATTTCCACGATAACTTATAATATTTATATTTTTCCGTTAATAAAAAAATCTATATATTTTTCATTATATTAATCCTTTTTGCATAATCGGTCATTTTATTAAACACCAGTTTTACTAGTATATATTTATGATTTTGCATGAAAAAATTGTTCATCAATAACTGAAAATTGGTAGCTATAACTTTATATTATATTGGAAATTATTTTGAATAAAACTTGCAATTTTGAAAAAGACGTTACCGAATTAAGGATATTTAAGAATAAGTGACATGTTAATCAACAATTAACATTTTTCTCTCTTTCTTCTTATTTCCACTTATAATTCTCATACTCGACAAACATTTACTTCATTTATGGATACGCTGACATATTATATAAATTAAATAGAACAGTCCTTTCAGTCGATCATATTAAAATCTCATAACCATCTCATATATTTTCATCTTATAACAAAAAATTCTTTGTAAAATACTGTGATTACTGCTTCTTATGTAAATAATAGGTAAAATCACGAGAGAGAAAAAAATAGAAATCAGAATATAAAACTTCAATCAAATTTAAAAAATAAAAAATTCGTGTCTTGCTTAAATTATAAACTTATACTTTAAAAATGTTTCGTATCTCATATATATAGTGTGTGCATTCAATAAAATAAATTACATAAAATTAGATAAATTTGAAATTAAACATTAAAACATCCATAATACACTTTACATTTTAATAATTACTTCTTCTATACGGTTTAGTCATTGTTTAGCTTTGCTGGCGGTTACAACGTCAATAATTTAAAATTCTGCTATCACTTGAATACATACATGAAATTGAAGGTCAAATATTTCGAATAGAAGCAATGCACCATTTTTCTTACCCTTGCGTATATTCTATGCTTTTGAAAATGATAAGATCTGTTATAAGCTGCAGACGAAATAATAACTCTTGTTACCATTTAAATTGAATAAAAGATGTATTTTTTTATCATTTTATCATCAAATTCACTGTTAAATAAGTTGATTAATTGTATATTGATATTAATGTTTAAATGATAATATAATTATATTCATTTTTCTTAGAAAATTTTAAATTATAAATCAAACAAATTCAAACCCGAAGTATATCAATATGTTATCACGACAACGAATAATGTCTTTAAAAAATAATATTATTCAATAACATTATCTCATGAATATAACAACTATTAACACAGGGAGAGTATTAAGAGATTTAAAATTAGATAATAATATTATGTATACTATTATATAATATTATCTAATTTATGTTTTATCAACTAAATCATAAATATTATCCAAAGGCATAATTCAACTTTATAGAATCATTGAAACAAAGAACAGTAATTATAAAATGACAATTAAATCATAAATGTTTATTTAATAAATGAAAGATGAAGGTTATATTAAATTAAAATCAATTAACATGCAGAAATGTTTTAATTCATTTATAAATTTTACAATTTTATTCTTCAAAAGTTCTGTCATATCTATCAGAAAAAACGTTATATTTATTAAACTGAATGATATCTATGGGATACTTCAGTAGTTATAGTAATTCGTAAAAATTTATATTATTTATATTTACATAATATCTTTTATAATTCTATAAAATTTAGAACATACCTTACCAAAAATGTTCATAAATTATTGTTGCTTGCAAAATATTGTTTGAAAATTATGAATTACTTTATTCTCTAAGCAAATATATTTATAATAATACTACCAAAATTGAATAAGATCAATAACATCATTGGAAAATTTATTTATGTAATTGTTAAATTAGAAGCAGTTGATATAAAAATATTATAAATAATATGAAATATATACAAGTTTCTCGAAAAGTCGTTCCAGCAATGATTGAATTTTCCTTTTTAGAAATAACATGCAATAAGACAATTGAATCAGAATGTAATTTCCGTATCATGGACGAGGAAATTTCTCTCTGCTAATCTCGTCCCCATCATTCAATACAATTAGATATTGTGCAATCTGCCGGCTAGAATATTTTTGATTTGTATAAAATGAAATAAATGGAAAATGAATACTTCATAAATGAAATAATATTGATAAAGGATTAGTTTTTTAAAAGGTTAATCTCAGTCGACTTTTTCATGTATTTTTATCGATCGTTCATACTATCGATTCAATTCCATTCCTTACCAGATTGTAAAAAGACATTTAGAATGTAATAATAAACTACACATTTGTTTATGTATTTTTGAACTAATAAATATAATATAAGAAATTATAAATTTCCTGTAATTATTTGTAACTTATAATTAATATAAAAAAAATAGTATTGTTAAAAAACTGAGATAAATTTATGTACTAAATTGATGTAATTTGATAATTATTATTTTCTCCTATTTAAAATATTTTTAAATTTTCCATAGGTCTCCCTTTTTACAAAAAAATAATTTAGTTTCAGCGATTAAAATATTCTACAAAATACAAATAAAATCCCAATAAAGTAAACATTAATTGATTAAGGAGAGAATATTATCATATGTATAATAACAAAATTTCATAAATGCGATAGTACTATGGCAAGGACAGAAATCGTTTGATAGTTTTGTAATAAATGAACTTAATGAAAAAAAAACTAAAAATTATTAAAAACCATTTTATTATGAAGATAATAAACGAATAAAGAAATAATAAAGCACTTTTGATGCACCATTCAATTAATAATTTGTGCATAATTCGTAAAAATAAATCAGACTCAACTATTAATACAATATTGGATAATAAGTTATCGATAAATAATAGTTATGAGATTTGAAGGAAGAGCTTAAAGGAACTTTTTACGATAAGTATTAATTGATTTTATGAGAATATAATTAGAAGTATCATAGAAAATTCGATGTTACTGATATGCAATTTATTCCCATAAGGAAGTTCGTGTTTTAAAAAACTTTTAATATTTTTTAATCGATTGCCTTTTCTACACTCGCGTGAATCCAAATAAGTAAAGATGTGGATATCTTATATCTATGCACCCCCTCGCGTACATGAGACGAATTAGCAATAAAATTCGCTGAAGTTATATTTGAGACAGAATCTCATGGCCAATTAGATGAAATGTATTGACAAGTCAAAATGATGAAATACATATAAAAATTTCTTACTTCATTTCATGCATACCATATATATAAAAATTATTATTTTATTAATGTTAAAATTAAAATGTTGTATATTGTTAATTATAATGCATTGAGTATATTCGAAATCGAATTTAAAAAATGTAAAAAATAGAATATAGGAAAATAGACATTTTTCTTACTGATAACTGTAATACTAATATATAGATGTATACAATTTTTTGCATTCAATAGCTTTTAAAAAGAAATTGAATTAAAATAAATTAATGTTTATAAATGTAATGAAAAATGTGAATCTAAAATCAATTTTGTAAGCAATATAAGTACAAAGGAGAATAGCATCTAATAATTAGCATGAATTTTTTCATAAACCTCAGTATCTGATAAAATATAACATATGTACTGACTATAGCTTAAAATTTGAATAATATATTACACTTTAAGGATGAAAGGCGAAAATTGTTCCAGAAGATATACGATTTTTAATGATAGTAATAATTCATAATAGAAGTTGATAGTTACATTAATAAACATTAATTAGGATGAATTTTATTTAATTAAAGTACAAGAAATTTAATTTGATTATAAACTTTAATAAAGATTATTGCATTTAGGCCATCTAAAATAAATTTTTAATACAGAGCATGCATGTGCTTTGAGATTTTTAATGTAAAACGAACGAAACAATATTAAAAATTTATTTATTTTAAACCGATTTAAATTTTTTTTTTTGCAATTGAAGACTTATAATAAATATATTTTTCTACTATGAGTTATGTATACGTTATATGTGTACTTTACCGTATTCTTTTCATTTTTCTTTACGTTATGACTATATTAATAAACAAATATTCATTTTTGCTATTTATAATCATTCAGCAATGATTTTTTGAATTAAAGTTCATTATTCTTAGTCTGTATTAAAAGTCGTCAAAATTGATTAATATTTCTTACATTTATGTCTTAAAATACTATTTATAATTTAATATTATATATTTATTACAATAATTACAATACTATTGTCTAATAATTTATGTGTAAAATATTTTATCATTACCTCACTTATCTTACATCAATTATGAAGATTCAATAATAATATATGTATTGCCGAATTCATTTATATATTTAATTAAAATTATAACATAACAATAAATGAAATACATACGATCATTTCATTGCTATAAACGGGAGTAAAAACATAAATTTAAAATATTTAGGTCAAATAAAATGTTAATTAATGAATATTATGATATTGATATGATTAACTTTTTTATCAATAAATTTACAATTAATTTTGAAAATGTAAAACATTAACTTAATATCTTTCATATGATAAATATATAATTAATTTATGTAATACAAAGTTTTTTATTTTTGACATATTATACCATTTCATATGCCAGTAACATTTATATTGCATTAATTATATTACATTAATAATGCATCAAAAATGTTTTAATGAAATAACAATGGACAATATAAATTTTATTCGAAATTATAAAATATATTATTAAATAAAACAGTTTGTATTAAAACTATTAATAATAGAAAACAATATTATTAATCACTTACATTAGACCCACAATTGAGTTGGTAAATCTAGAGAAGCGTTATATTAGTCACTAGTACTTAAATTATTATAAAACGGTTTTAAATTAGTTTTAATTGAAAATATGCAACAACAGTTGTTCACAGTGCCACTTATTGTTATTATTAAATTTTGGATCATCTTAAAAAAAATTTATTAATAATTTATTTGAATTTTGTCTTTTATTAAAGAATTATCAACATTCAAAACTAAACTTTATTTTGATATATTGTATGTTGAATACCAATTTAAATACAATATTGTAATTATAGGTATGAATTCTTAAATAAAAATATTCATAAAAACAAAAATAATAAATGTGCAAAATAAAAATGTTTATACATCAGTTTTTATAGAGAAGATAGTTGATATTTGAAAACGAAATTAAATTCACTTATAGAATGATAAGCATAACCCTTAAAATACGAATTTTTAGTTTATTCGTAATTTCAAATATATTTGTACAAAAATTAAGTGTAATATTTAAAGTAAATCATTTCTTCTTGAAAATGATTAATTCTTTGTATTATTTTCAATAAATTAGTAGCCATATGCGCATGTTACACCGTAACACGTAATCGTGGCAAAATTTACTTTAACGTTCTTTCACTCCACTTTATCAAGAGAGTTGATTATTAAAAAAAAATATTAGTAATGAATTATAAATTATTTTAAATATTTTTCATTTAATCGTTATATTACGGATGCCATTGCAATTGTATAATAATTTACTAGATATTATACATGAAATTGTATAAAGCTTCTACTTACATTAAACATTTAACAAAAAGATTTGTATCTCTGGCAAATTGCATTTCTTTTTTCAGTACACGCATCATCACTGAGGAATCCATTCCTTGATAATACACAACAATCTTCATTATTGAAATTATCAGGTTCCAGATGCGGCGATGTAGACCACTTAAGAAAATTATTCGGTACAAAAGGTACACCGTGCACAGTTACAAAACGACCTTCGTCGAATATATCGTGAATTCCTATAAATGCTTCTGTCAGATTTATAAATTTTAAATAATTTACTATCATCTGCAAATTAAATAACTCAATGATAATAATTGCTTCAAATTATCTAAAAATTGTAAGAAAATTGAAAGAATTGAAAGAATTTGTAATGTAAAAAAGTGACCAACGTTATTATACCACAGTACTATAGTAAGTGTATTTAACATAAAAAAAAATTTCCTAATTGTCTTGAAAAAATCAGTATTCTATTAAGAATATTTATAGAAATTATTGGAACATATTTAAATATACTTAAAGAGTAAAGATACTAACATTCATTTCCTTTTCATTTGATGGAACGGCAAGATGAGCTCCCATATTGTGGCATACCCTCCAAGATTCAAACCACGTTAATGGTCCAATGCTTTGCAAATCTGTTGTTAGATCGGGAATTATGGATGCTTTTTCACATGTACAAGTATTGCACAAATTATCCAAAATTTGATTACTAAATGTAGCGGTTAAGCTTAAGGTACTCTTTATATTCATATTTAAATTATTTACATCCTTATAATCTGTAGCAGAGATGAAATTAACAAATAAATTAATTGTTAATGTGTTAATAAGGAAAATTACGAATTTTAAAATGTTAAACATTATTCAGTCATATGTAGTGTAAGACATTCGGTATCACAATAGAAGAGAAAATACTATATTCGCATAATATATACTGTAATATAAATTTAATTTAATATGATTTAATAAATCATATAAGAGTGTGTACATACGAGAATATACAAAGAACTATAAACTATAACAACAACAAAAAAACCGCAACTTGATATGGATAAGTTAATCTATAAAAATTTATCGCGTATTAAATTATTTATTGGAATATCCATTCTTCAAATAAAATTATTCAATAATTACCGTGTATACATAAATAATAAATCAAAGATAATTTTATTCATGGCCTAGAGTATTGGCACAAAATTTTATTTTCATAATCATATTAATTCTTATGAACATCAATGTCTTTGAAATTTTATTTTCGTGCTTCTAAAATTATCATATTTACTATGGAAATAATATTTAATTCGATCAAACTATACGTTTCGTCATATCATTGTACCGCAAAAAAAAAAATAATATTGAGACCCGCCAAGTAATTAACTGATTTATGGGACAGTTGGTACTTTGAGAAAAAAACTGTATTGAATTGTCTTTCAACGAATCGATTAGAAGAATAATGTAACGTGTCATATTCATGTCTCTTATATAGCTTGAACTTATCGAGTATTTAGGTTATCTATTCAATATATTTAATTTTATGTTTGTAAAATGTATCTGGCAGATAATGATGGCATAATGTATTATCCTAGCTCAACTCTTACTTTGGAAATAAACTTGATTGGTTTTTGGCGAGAATATCAATTAAAATCTATGAAAAATGATGGACTGTGTTTCTGCAATGAGAACAACTCTATTGGTTATTGCATCAATTGTTGAAAACTAATATTAAACAATTAAATGATAACGTTGATTACTTTCACTAAACATACTTCAACGAAATACAGTTTACTAATTATTTTTAAGTTCAATTTATATAAATTCATTTCAATATATATATTCAATATATAAATTTCAATATATAAAAAAAATTTATTATGTAATCAGGATTCATTCGGATACAAATATAAGCAGAATTTCAATCAAAATTTTCCCAGCCGCATCGATCATGAGTTAACAACTATTCTTACATAAATGCTTAGTGTTAACACTTATTAAAAATTACGGAATCATTACTAATTGATTATATAATAATTGAAAGCAGAAAAGCTGTGAAATTTACAAATATCAATTGTATCGATACCTACACTAGCCTTAAGTCAATCGAGTACATTACTTGAAATACATCATAATTGGCTGCATCATGATTTTAATGTACTTCATAAACATTTTACTAGTCATTTCTCCAATATACAATTAATTACGTAAGATACGTGAATTAGACCGATAGAAATAACTATATTTGAGTTATGTACGTATGTAAATTTAAGGATCAGAGTAAAAGTAGGCTAAATTCCTAATATAAATAATTGTATTTCTAAAAAAAATTTGTAACTTGCATTATTTAACATGTACAGGTCAAAGGTTTCTTTTACAAATGAAATACAGATTTAAAAATCGTTTAACAATTCTAATAATTTTTATTCTCTATACGACAGTTACAATTTTATTCTCTGATAAATTATCTTAATAAATTGCAAATGTACTAGTTTTCATAAGTATTTTCTATAAAATTGATAAAATAATTTAGTATATTACTTCACATTTATATCTATTAAAAAATACTGTAATTATATACCTCAGAAATTTAGATATTTAGAAATTCAAATATTAATGAATTTATAAATTATTCTAATTTACGATTGAAAAAAAAATACAAAATAATACTACGTAATTATTAAAATTTAAATAAATCATTAGGTATAATTACTATAATAATGATCCGATTTTTAATGAAGAATCGATAATTTACAATTTATAGATTTTATAGACTCTATAGATTAATAGAATTCTATATATTAATAGAATCTGTAGATTTATAATTTAAAGTATTTGAAGATACATAATTGCAGGATGTTAAGTGTAAGGTTACCTTTTAATGCTCAGTAGTATAGTATATTAAAAATGATTTTACATTTCACAAATTGAAAAGAAAACATTTAATTAAATAGCTAAAAAGTAGTCAAATGTGTAAAAATCGAATTATTTCTTATTATTATTTGTTATAATAATTATGATGATGATGATTATTATTATTATTATTATTATTAATTAGAAATTTAGTATTATTTATTGCAAATATTTATGGCATTTATATATTCACATAATTTATATTAATTAATCGAAATTAATTTTCTATTAATACCGCTTCTTATTAGATATAAAATTGGTTTCCATTTAATTATTAATACTTTTTAATATCCATTTTATTTAATGCTATATCATGTCATTTTATATCTTATTGCTTACATTCGTGTACTAAATATATTTATTATTGTAAAAATAATATTGTTTATGTTTACATAACTTCCGACTGCTACAATTATTGGTTTTTAAATATAAAATTTAAATAAAATTTTAATTAAAAACATAGATATTTATATAAAATTATACGTTTGTATTATTTAAATGAACTAAATGTAATAAATAAATAAATCTGTAAAAATAAGTTACGGAGGCTATTCTTTTTTTAAATCCTGTTGATTTTTATTTGTTATTATTAATTGATATTATTACAATTAAATTCACTATTTTAGCATTGAAACTTTGAAATTGATTTAATATAATAAATATTATAATTTTTAAAATTTACAGATAGTAATGTTATGCTACCATCTGTAAATGGTAATAATTAAATTTTTTAGAATTTAGACATTTTTAAGATAAACTACGTTGTAGTTTCTAATTACAAATGTATTTGTATTGTGTAAATGTATTTTCGTGAAAATTTTATGTGAACTATTAATAAAATTTTCTTTAATATATGAAAATGAAGGGGCACATTATTAATTTTATTAAAATATCTAAATTAAGTCCTGATTCGATTGATCATTTATTATAAATAATTCTAATATTTTATAACGCTTTGTAAAAAATATGAAAGTATTTTAAATATACAAAATACTAGATACTCATACTAGATTTATATGAAAATTGAATAGATTTATTACATGGTCATGTGTTTAAAATTTCGAATAAATTATGTTTATACTAAATAAAATAAAATTCAACAGGATCATTTTATAATACACGAGTTTTGCAAGTAGGTAAAGCATAAGCAACCTACCAATTCCGTATGTTTTTAAAATTTCCATGTAATTAATAGAAAATACGTATATTAAAATTCATAATCAAAGCGCGACATCGTAATGCAAATGATGACATGTATTATGATAAAAAACTTAACATCTTGAACAAATTTAATAAATCACTCGTACCAAAATAATATAGTGAATTGACCATTATTTGTGTACACATATTCGTACGTATTTCCGTACATATTCGTACGCATTTCCGTGAATATGTGCAGATCACTCTGCAATCGTATTGAAATGTCTCATAGATTCACTATGTAATCAAACAAAATAGAACAAGTTAATTCGGTTTACCTAAAAATGTATAAAGAGAGCATAATATAGAATTTGCATAAAATAGTATAAAACTGCAATCCTTATGTATATTTAACTAGAAATATTTTTCTATTTATATCGAATATAAGATTTATGAATTTCGTAATTAATTTAGTATAAATATGATAATAATGCAAAAAACTAAAGTACAGTTACATTTTACTGTCAAATATATTTTTCAATATTTGAATTAAAATGAAACAACTACAAATGCTATTTTGTCATTTTGATTTGTTCAGATTATTATTATTCTTAATATAGATGTGTCATAAAATAATATTAAGTTAGTCTTAAATTTTTATATTTGAAAATATCCTCAACAATATATCCTCAAAAATATCCTCTACATCTGAAAACTGTTTTAAAATAAAAAAATAATAGAAATAAAAGAAAGCTACAAAGCGATCAAATCCAATTATATATAATTTTAAAATGAAGCACGATAATTTAAACAAAAATAATTTGTTTGTTACAGCTGGAACAGTACCAGACGAAAACAGTCAAAGGGGCAGTTCAGCACATAATCGTCATTCCCTTACTAAGGGTAAGTTCATATATGCCCATTCGAATGGATGCATTGCGAAAGCATGAATGAAGATGAATAAATGATATCTTTTGAATTTCAGCATTGTCATGCGACTGTATAATAATCTTTTATCACACTGTCTAGTTCTTCTACTGCATGTATTATGCATGATAAATACGACTTTGCGCTTAGGTAGGTTGTAATACTTTGTGAATAAAATACTTGAAATGGATTTATTCATAGCTATTGTGAATATAAAATGAATAAACTGGAATCCTATATTATAGACGTGTTCATAGATATTATTCATGTAGAATGAATCAACTGAAATAATCCGGTATGAGAATTATATACAGTCTACCAATATATTACCAGCTAGATATGTGGTTTTTATATAATTAAACTTGTGATATATATATAATGTCTATCAAACTAGAATCAATATAATTATGACATAGATTTAAACATATTTTTGCATTTTTAATGCAGAAAAAATAAAGGTACTAAAAAAATGAATATTTCACAATATTTTTCCATAATATCAATTTTTATCAAACAATTCTTATATGGGCATTGTTTTTACACGCAAAACATTTATTTATAAAAGTTATTCGTATAGTAATAAAAAAAGTTAAAGTATAATAATTATAATAACGAAAAATATAAACAGTTACTGCGACCAATAATAACTATCCATTAAAAGAAATTATTTTTATTAGAATATTTCCAACATTTGTCAAATTTTGATCATTAAAAGTTTTATAAATGTTTATTTATAAATAAAAATACAAGATTGAGAATTTATAATTCAAATTTTTCATCTAATATTTAGAATTCGATAAGTTTAAAAAAATACGTATGTCAAAGTTTCGAGACTTTGTATCTTTATGATTATATCATAATAGTTATTATAAAATATAGACTGATACATTTTTATAAATAATTTACTAATTCTCATTTTAATTTAAATAAATAGTGATTCATAAGCTTGACTTTAATCGCAATCTACAATATGATTACAAGAAATAGACAAAAATAATTATATGTTTTATTATTCATCGTTCGTTTAATCTAAGCGAAAATCAATAGGAAAAAAAACCATTTAACTATTTTTTTTTTAATTGAGTACATTCAGATTTTTTATTTAATTTTTTTTTGCGTGTAAAAAATAATTTGATTGAAATTGATAATGATCACTTAAAAAATTATTAATAAAATTAACCAATAGAGGAATACAAATTTAGTTATAATTTATAATTTGGCTAAGTAGGCATTTGTAATAAAAAAATTCATTAGGATATTACTAGCCAACAACAGTTTTTTACCGAAAATACTAAATACATTTATTGAAAATATAACTTCTTAATATATTTTGTCTTCTAGAAGATTTTTTTTTAAATTCATTGTATAAATAAATAATTCGATCTACAATTTAACGTATATATACTGATGATTAAATTAATCTTTATTGTTATGTGATGATTATGAGAAAATTGATAACAATCGAATAAATTACTTGAGATAAACTAGTTACAAAAATATAACACTATCTAATTAAATTTGATAATTTAATATTTTAATTAATTGTTATAACTTCTATTTATATTGATATAAATAATTGGATGAGAAAGTTGGCGCTTTATGTATTTAAAATTATGAAGTTTTTAAAATACTGTTCATTTGAATATACTGCTTATAGTAAATGTTTATTTTTAATCATTATAAAATCAAATAATTACCAAGTGGAGGCGTATTTTTAAAAGATAGGGTATAACATGAAATCTACGTAACTATTCATCATTTTAACCAGCTTTAAATAAATTACAGCTGTTAAAAACCTATTTTCAAAGGCAATACTTTTCTTTATATTTTGCCTTTGCTTTTTAAATATTGCATAAATGATCGTTTACTTGCGAAATTGTATGTCAATTCGCTTTCCAAATTTTTTTGTTACATACTTATTTTGCTACACTGTATCGATTACAGTATGTGACGCCAAATACTGATTTATAACAAGAATTTACTTTAACAATAATATATTAATAATTTACTAATTTCAATAGTTTTAATATTAAAAATGTTAGTCTTTATTACACAAAAAATGTAGTCTTAATCATTTAAAATTATTGTTATTTCTTTACGAATTTATTAATTGAATTAACGCAATAATTTAATAAACCGATCTTAAAATGATTAAAGTAAAGTAAATATTAAATTATTTTTAATATGTTATCGATATTAAATTGTTAAACTATACATCTTCTGTATAATATAAAAAAGTTTTATATTACATTTTTTAAGAAGAAAATAATTATAAAAGATTGTCTTTTGTAATATTCTTTTAACGAATATATATATGTAATCTACTTTACAAAAAATAAATTATAAGAATTATTTCCATAGACTATTTAAATTTAACGAAAATAAAATTAAGTTTTGGCTCACAACTTTTTCCGGAAAATTTAATTCTGTAATATCTATAATAAAATGAATATATAACGAATTGTTCAATTTTTAAAAATAAAAAAAAAATCAAGTATTGAAATGAATTTATAATCAAATATACTTTTAATAGATTTTTGAAGATAAAAATACGTCGATTTTTATTATCATCGACATTATTCTTTTTTTTTTTTAATTATTTTAATGGCTAATTTTATTACATTGAAATTTTATATTTTGTCATTTATGTGTGGCGGCGTGACTTTTTATCAATTTATTTTTATTTCATTTATGATTTTTTATTTCTTTAGAACAAACGATGCATTGGTTTGCCCGAATCGGTTCTGAAGACTCTATTCAGCTGTCAGGTAAATTCTAAAAATACGGAAGTTCCAAATTGTTTTCTCTTGGATTTTATCTAGTATTGATTTCTTTTCTCGATTGATCTTTTATTGATAGAATAATTAATTTAACTTTCAGTGAATGAAACCTATAATCAAATTAAAATGAATTGATTTATATAATATTGCTTTGATTTATTTGGACCAATTCCCCCAATTACCTAAGAATATGGTTGTCGTGAAAAGTTTCTTTTTAACTTCTGATATGATTTAACATTTTTCGCAAGGACATATTTAAATGCATGTAAATCCATGCGCTTATGATAAAGCCATCCAGAAATAACTATAAACGGATAAAATTTCAAGCCGAGCATTTACAAATCTCTATTATTTACACAAGGCTTAATGAATTTTGCCTTAAAAATAGCATTTATACATTCTTCGTAAGATGTTTCGAACTTTCATCAATAATTTTATTTACGAGTTTATGATTGATTTGTGAAGAAAGTTCTCGAGGGAAAATCAAATGAAAATAGCTAACGTTCGTATAGAAGATAAAAATTAGTGTAAATAAAGTGAAGTCCTGCGTCTGCGCGTAGCTCAATATTCGTCCGATCGAACCCCGAGCATAACCACTTAGCTTTATGTCGTTATGACGTGGCGGGGTGCTTTCAAAGCTTTAAGCATAAATAACGCATAACACATTTAATTGCTGTTTCGATAATTGTGTTAATTTTTGCCGAACGAGTGGACAGCCATTTCTAGATGATTTTGAGTGACGCGACGCATTAAATTACAGCCTCGTATTTTTTCCCCCCCCCCCCCATCTATCTATCTATCTATCTCTCTGCCTGCGTACGTGTGTATTTCCTCTATCGTTTTATTCACATTTACGTTTGAATAATCATTTAATATATTAATGTCTTTACTTTACTTTACTTTATATTTTATAATTTAATTAATTTTTTCGATCAATAGTGTACACTTGTAACGCTTTTAAAAGTCAATAATGAATAATGAAAGTAATATAAAAAACAAATTTTTAAATTTTTTCAATTAATTTGCATCTTTTTGACTTTGAAATTAATTCGAAAACAAGTGTATTAAGGAATATTATGTACAGAATTATGTTGATAAAAAAACATTTTGATAAATATTTTCATTTACTATTCTATTCATTTAATATTTTATTTCTTTTATTAATTTATGGATCTATATAAATATTGTGTATTAGTATAATTTTGTTCAAGAGATAAGGTCATTCAGGATTACTTCATAATTTTATTGAGTATGAATATATTTGAATATGCCACAATTGTAGACAAACTAAATTGCAGTTTTATCTATTGTTATATAAGTGTGCATGTATGCACACAAATATTAAAAATATATTATTCATGTATTTAAGTAATAATTAGTTTATCATAAATGTAAACAAATTTTTAGTATGTTTCTCTCTCTCTCTCTCTCTCTCTCTCTCTGTGCACGCGCGCGCACATGTGCACTGATATATCTACTGAAAATTTATATAAAGTAATCATTAGTTTAATCCAGAAAATAATAAATATATTGTTTTCAATGTTGAGAAACAAGTTTTATTTGATATTCTGTTCAAAGTATTTTAGACATTTGATTATAGTAGTAGTTTGCAAATGTTAGTGACGTTTTTTATTATCTTACAGACACATGTTTTATTATAATTTTCAAAATACATGTGAAAGACAATTTTTAAATAAATTTAACGCTTTATTGTTTATAAAACATTATGTAGCTGAAAACAATTTATAGTGTAAAAAATATAACATTTTAATGAAATAATTGCTAGCATTAAAATGCCAATTAAAAACAAAAATTTATTAATTTAATGTATTCAATAATTCAATTTAACAATAAAATGAGGAAACTTGTTTCACAGACGTGTACAAGTTAAGTGTGAGTTAGTGATTTTTTTTAACAATTTTCGCGCATGTTTGTACCTAATATTGGTATGTTTAAATGCTTTGCACGAACTATAAGTCAAAAATATTATTAAAACTTATGAAAAATTTTAATGAAAAAGTTTTTCAACCAATCGGATATTTGGAAAATATGATTTATTGTTCGGCAGATTTGAGGTGTCGCAGTAATCAATTTGATGCAGACTCTCTCGATGGCGATCATCCACTTGAACATGAAGGTGAACACAAAACATTCATTTATCATTTTACCATAATACGTTCGTTTAATCACTAAATCTTTATTTATTTTATATCTTTTATTCAAGTTGTTAAAATTAAATAAAACTGAGAATCATTAGAATCGTACGTAATTTATAATTTATTTTATTTTCTAAAAATATGAAAATTATCGATAATGTCTGCGATATTAAAAAGCTATTAAATTAGAAAAATTATATTAAAATACGTGTATATTAACGCTCTTTTTAATACACTGCTAACAATAAATTAATAATGCATTAATTTTATAAGAACAATTATTTTTAATCGTCGTGGCAAGGCATTATTCATTATACAAGATAATTGAATTAAGAATTGCATAGTTTATTGTTATTAATAGCAATATGAATTTTAATATATCACGGTATATTGTTTTTGTAATATAGAATTTAAACCATGAGTTTCTATGAATACTAATAAAATTTGAATTCTAATTTGTTATAGTGCATCTTATTTAATGAAATTAAACATATTAAAGATCTGAGTAATGTACTCTTAAAAACGGACGGTAATAAAAAATTACTCATACATTAGTAATAATTTAAGACATGCACGATATTAATTTTAATTATAATTTGGTATTATAATTTTTATAACTTCTATTTTGAGATTCTATCAAATTACTCCTTCGCTTGCTGTATTTTAATAAAAATAAATCACTTTCTATATGCTGTTAATGAATACTCTTTGAAAATTATTGTATTTATTCAATTGTTCATTTATTTGACAATGATTTTGGAGTTAAATGAGAAGAATAATTCGAAAATTTATAATCGTTATATTAATTTACGTTACATTGAGGTGTACTGATCATATCTATAATTATGTGTATATATCAAAACACTAAGTTTAATTATCGTATTAGAATACATTATTATATCTTGATATATTAATCGAGCTCTTACCAATACAAGCAAATAATTATTTATATCCAAGATATACTGACTCCCTTTATTCTCGTTGGCCGGGGGGGGGGGCAACCCGCGCCATGTTGCATTCATCATTACAACTTCCACATGTCCTGACAAACACTTTACCAGACTATAAAAATGACAAGGAAGCAAAGAAAGCAAGTTGCAATGTCAATGCGAGGAACGAAAGATTCACGCGTCGAAAGATAAGCTTTTTAATGTTCGAATGATGTTCACAGGTCGAGATTCGACGGGCGGTGGTAGCGGCAATGGCTTCGCTAAGGATTTGGACAGGGCGAAGCTGGTACGCGACAGACAGAACGAGGAGCGTCAGCGGAAGCTCGAGGAATTACGTCAGCAGGCCCTCGCCGCCCAGAGATTCCGCGAGCAGCGCGAGGAGGAGAGGCGCAGGCGCATCGAGGAGCTCAGGAACAGGGATTACGACAGGTGAGCGTTCTCGGAAAGCGATAAGGAGACCGAGGGGATTCTCGATTACCTAGTACCAGCTTCGGCAACCAACAACGATTTCCATCGGAAATGTTATTATTATAATGCCTCGGTCAAATTATGACGTAATGGGGAAGATTAAGGAGATGTTGAGGAAGGACGCCTACGCCGAGTTGAGTACGGGCAATAAATAATACTCTTGGTTCGCTAGTTTCAACATTTTAACCTTATGATCCGTTACTGTGTTTGAGATTGGTAGTGTGGTCGGTGGCTTTTATAATGTTTTTGTTTTTGTTTTTTTTTTATTCTTAATAATTTAAATCGACTATTTAATATTCCTTTAATTAAATTACAAGAATAGATTACAAAATACATTAGTCCCAATATGCTTTCTTAGCTTTATCAAATAGAAATACATATTTTATTAATACATTTTTTATTATTAAAAGTAATATATATTTTAATAAACAATCATATGTATTCTTAATTATACCAAGCAGTTTTATCGTTTTAATCATTGCATTTATAGAGTGACCGTCTTTGGTTATTACATTATTTTATCGAGGTCAGAATAGACTACATTCTCTATTCATTATTCTAAGTCATAAATTTACGGATATATATTTTTCTTACGCAAAAAAGAAATAAAATATCTGCGCTTAATAGTAAAAAAACGAATTTAAAATTATTTTTTTTAAAATATATAGTGAAATACTTTATATAAATTTTTTATATAAACGTATTATTTTCATAGTTATGATCCGTAAATTCTTAGTTTTTATCAGGATTACCTTTTCTTTATCAGTGACACAGAACTGCATTATTTAAAACTTCTTTTTATAAAAAATTATTGTGAGATTAAGTTTTATAAATTAAAATGAAAAAAAAATCCTCATGATTATATAATATACGTTTTCCGGTCTTAATAACGATCGATTAATTACAATATTTGCTAAATTTTATCAGAATTAAAATTTATAATAATGGTTTAAAAATAATGTTTAATCTTTCCTGTTGGTATTTTATTTTTATCTCTTTGAAATCATTATGTATTGTAATTAAATTACACTTAATGAATTATAAATTAGAGAAAAAAAATGCTAATTCAAGATGATGTAACAATAAAATAGAAGTCTCAATATTAAATACAGTTTTATATTAGAATAGCAAGATTTTTAAACTCGCACAGGTCAATAATTCGTATACGAGTAATACTTCATTTCGAGGCAATGGGAGGAAATTCTGATAGTTAAAATAAGTTCATAATAAATGCTTGTAAATTATCATATTAAAGTAATATTTAATAAATCTGTCTATTAATTGGAAGAAAAGGAAAAATAAGAGGGGGATGAAAAAAAAAATGCAATCGAAACTATATTTTAAATGTGCTTTAGAAAGAACGCCAAGAAATAAATAAATGAAATGTTAAATGTAAAATGACAATGAAAATGTCTCTTGCGTATTAAAATTCATTCGTTAATGTAGTGTATCTTACGTTGACAATTTTTTCAAAAAACGTATTCTTGTTAATAATATTAAAGCCTCGGACTAATTATTATATGGGAAATATGAGAAGCCTTATAAAAAGTAATAAGCTTCCACTTGAAGGGCTTCCCATATCATGTTTAAAAGTGTTCATTATAACCCATTTGACTAATCTATAAATATTATTTTAATAATGCAACATTTAATCAATATTTTTTTATTAAAACAAAATGGATAAATAAATAAATATATTGCAAAAGAAATAAGGTAGATCGTCATTTTAAGGATAAAAATCCGTTGAAGTGAGTACGTTTTAAATTTAGATTTGTTGTAAAAATGCATAAACGAGTAACAAACTTGAATATACAATTAAAATTAGCAATGCTTAATTGGTACATGGTTTGGCCGAACGAACGAAGTAGCCGACAACTTTGACTAAACCTAATTTTGGACAACCGCGGCATTAATGTATAGCAACCCACGAGAAATATCTAATGCAGCATCAAAGGCATATTGTTTAAATTGTTTAAATTGTTTTATTTTTACATCAAATTGTTTAAACATAAATGCTCAAGGCAATAAAGCGATAAAGTAATAAAGCAAAATCTTTATTGGCCTCGCGTGTAGAGTAAGAAAGTGGGCGCTTGCTTGTTGTGGCCAACTTGAAAATTCGAAATAAGGAACAGTCGCACCAATATCCATATTATATTGAAAAATAGGGACAAGCAACGAAGAGAGAAGCTGCGCGCTTGCCAGTCTCGTCGTCCTCATCAAGCCATACGATGTTGTTGCAGGCGGAGTCAGGTGGAGGAGCGCAAGCGACTGATCTGGGAGGCGGAACGCGAGAGACGCGAGGCAATCCTACGTAAGAACCAGGAACGCGAGGCGCGCATTGAGGCCAAACGCAAGAACGAGCGGTCGCACATCGTGTTCGCGTTCGGCAGCTCGACGCCCCGAATGCTCGAACCCGCGGACACGGGCGGCGCGAGTTTCTGGGGCACGAGACGCGCCACCAGCACGACCAACGTCATGACCTTCTCAGCAGCCCAGCCACTCACCAGGAGATCCTCCGAGCGCGAACTCGACGGCAGCAAGAAGCGGGCGACGTCGGCCGGCGGCCTTGATAGGAAGCCTGGCGAAGGTCGGTCTCCAGTCAACAAATTCTTTAATCGCTATTCCCTCGTAATGAACGCGTTGTTCATTATGACCGTGCTTAGCTAAGGACGTCGTGATTACGTCGTTCCTTCTTACTCTAGTCTGCTCGCTTCTGCAATTGAGAATTGGATGATGAATGCGTGGAAGTCCGAGTGACTGCATCAGCAAACGTCGCGCTGGCATAGCCGAAGGGTCACGCGTATCGATGTGTCTTTTTATTTGGGACGTGCTTTTACGGAAATATGTGGAAACAAGTCCTTGCGATTTGACCTTGTGATCATTCTTGGCTCAAATCTTGACGAGTTAAAGTTATTACACATTTATAGGGTTTATTAGGTACAGCCACGTCAATCGTTGTTGATCATCGCACCAGACTTGGGATATTGTACGTTATACATATCAGTTTTATGGGTCTCGTAGCTTATTTATAATATAAGATCTTATACGTATATATCTTATATATAATATAAGAAAATATAATAAATAATATAAGATAATTTTTTACTGTATATTTAGACTAATGGTAATTGATAAAGTTAATCATCGGGACACTTATTCCTTATTGTTTCAATGTAAGTTTACGCACCATGTCTGTACTAACATTGTGGAGCAGAATTATTGTCCCGTCTTCATGGGAGTTTGGTGCACCAGAGTGAGTATTATTATGGTGAGACCAAGGGTTGTTTGCCCTTTAGGATCTTTGAGATATTACAGATATTCGATATCAAAAGAATGATGTAGCAACATTATTAAACATGAATAGGCTTTGTATTTTTATTAGTCAATTATCGAGTAATTACGTTACAGCTTTTGTTATTTACTTTTATAAATTGGATGCTTGTTATTAGACATCCATTAAAATATTTTTAAATCGTTGCTCGTCGTTCGTTTGACTTTAAAGTTTGTGTTATTCATTGTCCTGAACGTAAAGTAAAGTTAGCACTAGTACGGACAACCAATGATGCTGTCGCTCCATGTCAATGTGAGTAATAATGATAAATAAAATCTTAACTATACATTATTTATGTCAATTGAAGTAAGATATAAAGTTGCTAAACATTATCTAAAATTTTCATATAATAGGAGATTGTTTCTATTTGTAAGAAATATTATTTTAAACGACAAATAAGCTTTACGTAAGGATTAGCATACGTACGTTAATCGCACAATCGTCTTATTTGTATATTTAAAATTATTATCACAATTCTGTTACATATTCATTGATGTTAACAACTTGATTTCTTATTGTTCTTTAATTTGAAAATTAAAGCACGGTTACATGCTCTTAATGTAACAGCGTACTTATTGTTTTTGCGCTAAAGCTACTTGTAGAACATCGTATATATTCAATGGTAAATGACTCGTCATTTTTTTTCTCAAAAAATCGATCTGTGTCATCACAAAAAAAAATTCTCAATCCTAGATAATTATTAGCTTAAAAATATATCTTGCCTAAAATTACTTTCCGTGTAACTAGGATGCCACATGATTTTCAAGAATAATTATTACTATTTACATTTATAATATATACACACATCACATACATACTATATATATATATATATATATATATATATATATCATTTCATATATATACTTATATATATCTTTCTTATATATATATTTCATTTTAAACAAATTTAGTAAAGAAAATTATTAAAAATATTAACTCTTATCGTAAATGCATAATTAGCAAATAATTTTGAGGTCCCGCTCATGTGACGTCACACAAATTAAACATTTACGCATATAAATATATCATATATGCAATGAATATGCATAGAATTAGCTTCAATTTCACTTTCAATTTTTCGATATGCTGTTAAACTGGCACATATAAAAATGATCAAGAAACAAGAATTTCAATGCAATCATTATATTGCATAAATTATACGTTAATGAAAAAAAAATAAAAATATTTATAATTTATAATCTATCAATCATTTTTTCTTTTGTTTTTTTTCAAAAGTAAAAATTAATTCTTATCAAAACAAAAACATTTTTTTAAAGAAAATGCAGCATCCAAATGTGAGTAATTTGATTGCATTTTATTATTGAAATCTTTATACTTTTACTCAATAATAAATATATTAATTTTATTTTCTATACAACACCTACATATGTCTATAGCTTATTCAGCATGTGCGAAGTCTACTACTTTATTTATAGATTTTCTGTACATAACTAAAGTTAAAAAAACTTAAATTCTATAATTAAATTGCAATACACAGTTAGAAAATATTTAATCGAAAGTTATAAATTTATTATATCTATTTCATTCAAAATCATATTAGGTATATTAATGTAATTCGAGATTAAGTTATCTCCACTTTTTTCTTTTAATAATAGTGAAAATTGCAATATCATTTTCTTAGAAAATATCTCGTTTAATATGTCGATATATTCATTAATAATCTTAATTCCCGTTAAAATACGAATTTAATCAAAACATGATATTATTAGGAGAAATAAAATTTCTTTAAATTATTGAGAGGAAATATCATAATATAATATGAGTAGCTGAAAAGTCCAATTAATCGCCCGTATAAAATCAATCTAAAATTTATCTGTTTATTGATTTTAATATTCGACTACGATCAATTTATATTTAAGACTCATATGGAATTTAAAATCATTTCACGTTGCTTATATATTATAAAGTTCAGGTTTATCCATTGCCTCCAAATAATTATAATAATTTGTTGCTAGAGGTCGAATAATGAAAGTAGAGTATCGAATTCCGCTTGATATTTTGTCAACTTAAGAAAGCATTAATTACAAAATATTATTCAATTTTTGTTTTTCACCAAAAAATAGCTTTATTTCCTAGTGACACCCCCCCCCCACGTCTTACAGTAAATCATTACGAAATAAGTTGTTTCATTATTTTTTTACTTTTTAAGTCATTCGCTTATTAAATATAGCAGCAGCAATATGAGCAGCAGCGAGAACAGCAACAGCAGCAACAGCAACAGTAGTGGCAATAACAAACAAGCATTAGCACAATCATTTTCATGACAATTCACGAACTGCATCACGTCTTGTATCTATTCACCAACTCTTTCATAAATTATTGCAACTTCTTTCTCGGATATTTAATGGGCTTTCCTTTATTTACAAACATGTACAATTTTATTTTATTTTTTTAAATTTTTTATTTTTTATTTTAACAGGTCGTTCGCAATTGTCGAAGGATTTAGTTAACGACAGCGACCACTGAATGTCGATTAATCATCCAAAATTGTTTCAATTATAAAGAAATTAAAACAATATTTACAAATTTACAATGAAATTTAATCTATAGATAAATGCAAAAAGATAAAGTGATTTACGGTCAGAACTAACCATTGTCGTGTCTTTCGAATACTTTGCTTACTTATGACTGATAGCTGAATTCTATTATGTTTCCAAATTTAATACACACACATACAGAACTATAGAACTATAGACTATATACAGAACTATATGCAAATTAGATATTAATCACTGTACTATTAATAACATGAATAAATCCGTAGATTTTAATTATTCGTACAAACTACATACATACTTCTAAGTAAAAGATTTAATGTTTTACTATTAACATTTTACCACGAAAATTCTTCTAAAGGAGAGAAAGGAAGGGGTTTCATTCAAATATTAACTTTCTTAATAATATTCAACGAGTTCATTATTTCTGATTTTATGCGTTTATCAAAATATTTTTATATATATATTTTTTTAGACACCGTTTTGCATTTTTAAGAGTTGTATGATGGCGCTTGCTGTACTTTACTTTTTCCTACTTAAATATTATATGAAACGTTTGTTATTTATATTACTTTACGATTTGCAAATTTAATTCCTCATATCACTTGTAAACTATACACAATCCAATATTCCAGTTAATTGGATTCTTCAACTTTTCAAAATATATCCGTCGACGGTTACATTTATAAAAATAATGACTCTGTATAATGCATAGAAGTATAGTCATTATATTTGAAAATCACTGAAACTCTGAAATTCGAAATAACAAAAACTTGTTCTCTAAGAAAATGTTTTACGATATCTATACAAACATCATTAAGAAATTTGATGGTAAACCTCCTGGAGTATTATTAAAATAAACCAAAAACAAAAAAACAGCAAGAGTCGTACACCGTGAATCTTAGGGCGATATCTGCAATCGAAAAAATTGCAGCGAAGCAAAGTTAAGTGCAAAATGTGACAGCCAGGTGTTTGCTGGATTTGTTTTTACAGATATGAGAATGTCCTCGTCCATGTACGAGGTGTTCAATTGGAATTGCACACCCGATCCCCCCTTAACTCCTGCAAAAAACAAGAGAGCGAGCCTCTCTCTGCCCCCTATGGTCGACATCTTCTCAATTGACGATATGTCAATGGTCGACGACGCTAGGCGTCCGATGGTACACCGGGGGGCAAGCGGTGAGTTGTTTCCTTTCAGAACGAACAACCAAAACATCTCATTATACACACACTTACACGCTCACTCATGCGCGCATACACATTAATCGGAACGCCCTTGCTATCAGAAACACACTCGCAACGATTGTTTATTACTCTTTGTTTTATTATAAGGTATAAAGTTCTAGGCCTTTACTGATTTCATGACCGAATGCTGGACGATTCACTTTGATAAGTTTAAATGAAGGGTAAGGTTACTCCTGCCCCATACTTCTGCCCCAAATTAAATATTAATATTATGATTAACGAGAATATTAATGGGTTAATGAACAATAATTATGTACATAGTGAATTGACCTTTGTATTAATAAATATTCTATCAAAGTAAATTATTCATCGTGTGTACAATAAATCAGTTATTCTACAGGCTAGAATTTATACTTTTCCTTACTGTGATAATTAATATAAATACACATAGCTTTATTGGAATGTATATTTTTCTTATTTTTAAATTATTTTTAATTCACGAAAATTATGTCTCATGCATTAATAAAGCAGACGATTCCCCATAATACTTAACAATAATATTATTGAAGCCAAGTACAATTGTTTAATTGGCATTTCTCTATTTCTATTGACTATATAAATAATTATAGAATAATTACAACTATCTTTATTCTTATGTATAGTATATTATAAAACATCTTTTAAATATTTATTTAAATATTTTGGTTAAATAAATAATTTAAAAATTATACGGCTTTTGAAATTATTAATAATAAAAAATGCACTTCGTTATTGTGAAAATTAATTCAACGTATTATTTCAATAAAGCAGAATGTGTGTTGATATGTTTTATTCTATTAATTAATTTTCTTATTTCTACCTGTTGGTAGTTTAAATTCGGCATATATTTTAAACTTTTCGCCTTTCCTATGCACTGCCAGCTTCTATTTTATTTTATTATTTATGTGCTTTATTATACAAACAATCCTTGAAAGAAATTACGATAGTTAATTACATTACGCAAATATATCGAGAAAAGACAATTTAATTTTGTTCACACTTATTTCTAAATCGACTGTTTTTTTAATTAAAGATTCCACATGATTATATATAAATCTAAATCGATCGAAAAATAAATAGTTTATTTTGTAACGATAAATTATTTTTTAAGTTTTTTGTTCAGCTGATTTCATCTTAATTATAAAACTTGAAAACAATCTCTCTCTCTCTCTCTCTCTCTCTCTCTCTCTCTCTCTCTCTCTCTCTCTCTCTCTCTCTCTCTCTCTGTGTGCTTTCTGAGATAATTTTTTACACAGCTGAGCAATTAATTAATGTTTATGTAATGCATCACAATTATGTGTCAATTGCAAATGCTTTCTATCGAGGAATGAAATATATAAATAAATTGCTAAAGCATGCGCTTTCATTTTTGATATACATTTGTCTCAATTGTTGCCGATTTAGACTTCCAATTAATAAAATATTCATCACGTTTTTTTTCTTTGATTTATTTTGTATTTTTGAGTTTATTTTCATTATTACTGTATCTTTGATTATTTCTTAATTTGCTATTGTACACGACTTTTTAAATGAATTCGTCAATTTTAAGCCATTTTTTATTGTGATTGTCTTCAATGCTGTTACACATACGTAATTGTGGCATTATATTATTTTCATTATTTTATTTTATTTTGAAAAATATTTGCATTTTATGTAATTTTGCCAAAAATTGTACATAAGAAAGCAAATGGAAGTAAAAAATTTTGAACTAGACATAAATTATAAGTAATGGACATTAAGTGTAGAATAATATATGTACTTTAAATTTAATGAACCTTACAAATATTTTTAATTGATTAATAAAAATTGAGAAAAAAAGTTTTTCTTTATTGTTTATATTTCCAGCATTTACTTGTAAATTTATCTCAATAATGTAATATTGACAATTGTTGATTTAATTTGGATTACTATAATAGTAATATCAAAAATGTTTATTTTAATATTAAAACATACTAAATACTTATCAAAGGACGTTTGTCAGAGGACCTTTGTCATATAATTTTATTATATGACTAGGAACCTAGTTAATAATTATTAATTAACGTTATTTCTTTTATTGTATTATAATTGTGGCTAAAAAAAGATGCACATAAATGGTTTGAAATTGTCGTATTATGTTATTGTAAAAATGTATTTTATGAAATGTTCACAAACTGATTGAAAGAGCTTAAATGTTATTATGTATTATTTAGTGGATATGCATGAAATCATAATTAAATGTTAGGAAATGATCTTGCAGAAAATGTATTAAACATATAAATAGTCTGTAAATCCGAATTACGTTGTATTATTTTCTATATTTTTTTGTTTTATTTAATGGAATCCATTGATATTTTAATAATTAACTAGCGAGAGATGTGTGCACGATTCTAAAATGTTTGTCGGTGTGGTACGTTAAGAATTTTTTTTTTTTAATAATTAAGCTTGTTTGACTACTTTGTAAAAATTTGGTAACAATTCAGAAAATCATTGAAGTTAATTGACTTATCGGTTGATTTAATAAATTTTTCTCGGCCTCAAAATGTAATTGCCATTGCATCATCTTTAATTTAAATTTTCTACCCAGTGACTGAATATCATTCGAATACTTCGTAAGACAATTCATCGTAACATGAGATTCAATGCGCGAAGATACAATCAAGAATCTACACATTGAATATTCTATTGTGGATAGAATCGATAATCTGTTAATATAAAATAAAAAATCATTTTTTAACAGCCATTAATTTAATAAATAGAGATTCGCGTTACTTTTTTTTCTTTTAAATTTGATGCAGTCATTTTACCTTCGATAACAAAAGTATAATATGATAACTAAATGCAAATTTGTGAATTTTGCAGCGTTTCTTTAATAAAATTAAGCCGTCATAATTAAATAAATAAGTAAATACATTACTCGCGCTTGTTTATTTATCAATATTCAATTGGTTAGCGATTATCCGACTGCACCAAAAATTAATTAATTTAAGTGATTGCAAACATGGAATGCGTAACATTTTAATATTCCATTCGCGTATTAAACGTCATTGGTAAGTATGACGTTAATCGTAGTAGTGACGAATGTACGTAGGATATACGAGTATTAATTAGTCACTGGGATGAGAGTCACGATGCATATTGGTGTGGGATGGGGTGGATTAAATAGCGAAGAATTTAATAGGTCAACTGATAAGTGTAACGAGCCTAGCGTACGTTTCTTAACATCCGCTGCTGCTAGATATTGCAAGCGCAGCGAATGCCCTCGGTAGCGCACATACCTCAGCCGTAAAATCGCAAGCCTCGTGCAGCGCCACCATCCGAGCAGCCTGGGTCCAGGAACTCGCAAATCGAGAACGGCTCTAAGTCAATCGTTGTGCCATTGTGCATTCGCAGGTGAAGATGCGGAGTCGACATTGGGTGAGGGAAACCCAAGTGGCGGTGACAATGGCAGTGGCGTCAACGGCGGCGGCGGCGGCGGTGGCGTGGGTGGTGGTAGCAGCGGTGGCGGTGGCAACGGCTGCTGCGGGACCCGTTACGCGAACCGTCGGCGCACCGATCTCATGCCGACGATACCCTCGCCGAGAGACCGGGACGCGAGCGCCCCCACGTCCGGTAGATCCTCGAGCGCCAAATCGTTCACGCGCAGCCCAGGTAGGACATACTCGATGTCGAGGCTGGACCAGCTGGCCCAGCCCCGCAGGCGTACTGTACCGCTGCCCCAGGCGGAGCAGCAGTACCAGCGGCAGCAGCAACAGTCGCAACAGCATCAGCAACATCAGCAACAGAGCCTCGCAGCTTCGAGCATGAGCCGCAGCATGTCGCACCTGGCAACGGCGCAAGCCGCACGTGGGGGGCCTCGCCAAGGGCCCCTCAAGCGCACCGATAACTCGCGTAGCATGGGCACGTTGCCGGGAGTCGGTGTGAGTACGTCGGTAACGAGGCCCACCCGGGCTGAGCGGCTCAGGCGCAAGGCGCGCGAGCACCAGAGCCAGGCCCAGCTCCAACAACCGACAGGTAAGAGAGGACGTCACTGTGCTTCCACGCGCCCCGACGAAGCTCTGCTCTCCGTTTCGGCAGCCTCTACCGGAGGTCAACAGCTCACCCTCGTACTCGTTCCCTCCCAACTCTTCGTTATAGCGCGACACTACCACCCTCTCTGTATACCTAAGGAAGCTGTAGGATTTAGCTAGGATGCCATCTTGAGCGGCTGATTGTACACTTATAATACGAGCGGATTTTTGTCACTTGCGAGGGTGGGGGAACGGGTATTTATTGGGATGAAGCTCTCTCGGGATTGGAAGCGTCGCTCAAAATACTAGGATTTTGAAATATAAATTCATGTTGAGCACGAGCTCGTACCTTAGAGCTAAGTGCGGCTATCGGAAATTGAACTAATGGGGCAGTTGGTGGATTAACACTATATTCATACGGAAAGTACAGTTAAGACGACGACTGCTATTGTCTTTCAGAGCGATGCTCCTTGTGAACTTAAAAATCTTTTATATCCATTGTCTTAGTGTCGTAAAAAAAAGAAATACAACGCGTAGAATTTGCAACAATTTCATTGATAATTGAAGGCCCTCTTTTCTTCTTTCCTTTTGTTTTTTGCTTTGAATTCATAGACATTAAAATGAAAATAAGAATTTTGAAAAATCATTCATTATTGTGTTAGAATAAAATTACAATGCAATTCAACTGTACAATGCAATAAAATTAAAATTAATTTGCTATTTGGAATGCGACAATTTATAGTTAAACGTTAAGTTAACGTTAATTTATATTTTTATAAAATATAAAAATAATTCCTGTCTTCACTTAAATTTCTGTAATTAAATCACCAGGATAGTAGCTCTGGAATTCAATGAGAAAAAACTAAGTAAAAGTTGTTTTCACTCCGTCGCAAAATGCGAATATCAATCGTCGCGTGACAAGTTGGAAGCACATACGTACTTTGCATGTCATTTATACGAAACGGGAGACTCTGTAAATCAATTATAAAACTTAAGAATAATTAAAAGAAAAGCTTGTTTCCTTTTTTTGGTTTTTTTTTATCTTTAGTACTTCGTGTCATGATTCGTGAGTACAATTCATTATTGCCTGTATTCTATAGAACACAAGACTTTAATCGGATACGAATTGGTCATTATTATTTATAACAAATATGATAGAGGCACGTATTGTTAGTTGTAAAATGATTAGACAAAGACACCTTATTTATTAGTAGTAAATAAAAAAGAAAAAAAACGTCCACGCCTATTTAAAAGCTTAAAAGTAATGTTGAAAGAAATAAATTGATTAACGAAAGCTCTCGTATGTACATAAGTAATAATAAAACACCACTGCAAACCAGCTTTTTGGAAGCCAACGGTGATGGTAAAACGCTATATCTTCGCTAAGGGTAAGCTGCATTTACTTTTTTTTCTTTTTTTTCTCTTTATTTTTTTATACATCAACTAACATTTAGCAACAATAATAGGACAAAAATAAATGTATTTATTGTGCAATAACACGATTTCTTGCAAATTCACAATTTCTATTAAGTGTGCCGTATTTATTCTTTTTGCACAAAAATTGAAAATTATTGTTTCAGCATATATTATTATTTCAATATTTTTGTTTTGTTAAATGTGTTTCTAACTTTAGCAGTGATCTATAAAGCTTCAATTGTTGGTGGTGGGCCTCACTAGTAACTTTTATTATTATTATTTTCTTTTTAATTTTTTTTATATACAAATAATGACGCTTAATGAAATTATTTATCATTTAACGTGGCAATTACACAATATCATAACAAACGTTTAATTTCTTACTGCTTATCATAGAACCATTTTCAATGCATACATTTATAGTTCGAATGCACAATCAAATATACGTAAGTACTTACTATTGATTTACAAATTATTACAATTATTATAAATTTAAATATATCCCAATTTTGGAATATAAATTTACAGCACAGATACATTTGTAGGCTTTACGTATATTTTATGCATCACTTTAAGAAAATATGTATGTCAGGTATATTTACCTGATTATTTCGATTTTTAATTATCCTAAATGCTCGTCAAAAGATTCAGTCACTTTACAAATCAAGGTACAATAGTATGAATATCCATTAAATGTGGTTTAATTTCACAATAAATAATCATGCAATTGCATAAAAATAAATGTTGGCATAAATACAAATGTTAGCAGTAAGGAATTAATAATAACTTCCAATGAATTCGTCATTTGATATATTACAAATATAGTGTTTACGGGTTTTCTAAGGATTTCTAATGGTGAAATAATAATTATATTTATCACTAGAAAATGAAAAGAGCCGTATGCCGACGAGAAAAATATAATTATATATTATATTTTATGGTCATTTAAATATCAAAATATTTAGAAAATAAGATTTTTCCCCTTCTTTTAATCATTTAGACGGAAACTATATGCTATTACGTAAAAAATAATCGACGCTAATAATGAAATACACATGTCGTTTATTTATATGAATTTTTATGTATATAGTATATGGGAAAAAATAGAAGTACTCATTGGCTGCGACTTTTTATTACCCACGACACTAGCAACTTACTAGAATGGTACTATTAATTTAATTTTTTCTCACTTGTTGCATTTGAAGATGATTTTATCAAAATTTCACAATAATTTTGTAAATTAGGCAATGAATAAGATGTTTAGGGTAATAAACGGCCGCGTCATTGGCGTTAAGGTCGAGGAGCTTGGAGTGCGGTACACTTAGTATTTATGAAAAGCATGTATGCAAATACTAAGAGAAAATTAGAGAAAATTAGAGGGAAATGATGAGAGAGAAAGAGAAGCACTGCCTCCAGGTTCCACGGCGCTTGGATCTGAAACGATCGCGAACGAAGACAGAGAGAGAGAGAGAGAGAGAGAGAGAGAGAGAGAGAGCGGATATCTGAAGTTTAAGCCAGTGAGTGAGAAAAGAACAATCGCCTAGGTGTCCGGAGCGGCGAGGCAACGCCTAACAGCCCGTCCCGGCCGCAGAGCTCCATGAGTCAGCAGAGTGCTACGAGCAGCGTCGCCAGCAGTAGCGTGAACCTCCGCCCGCGCACTAGCACCCCGAGGCGCCCGAGGCCCGCTTCAATTGCCGGCACTGGCGTTACTGTCACCGCTGAACGCAACAGTGAGCATGGCTTTTACTACCCTACCACCCCCATCCTCCCATCACCCCGTTTTAATGGGGAGATATTTACGAAACCAATTTCTCGATATTAATTTCCCAAGCTACGCGATTAATGTTGTAAGATGCATTTTCAATCGATGCATAAGCTACTGCTCTTATTTATATCATTGGGCCTAATAAATTATGTTGTACTTGAGGTAAAACAACTCGCTTCTTTGGAATAATAATGTATAATCCTTCATACGCTTAACCCGAGCATGCTACTAAGTACGTGCGCGTACGTGCGATTTTGCGTGTATGCGCGCATACACACAAACACACGTACGCACACACATATGGAATATTATACATAATAAATCATATTAAATATTCGATTACATTACTTAGTACATTCAACGGTGATTTATAAAATTTATCAACTCGAATTTTTCAAGTGACATGTTTTCGTCTTTAAAAATACTATTGTATTCAATAAACCATGCGTAAAGTCTTTAATACAATTTTCTTACTTCAAATATTCAAAAATAAAGACTTACATTGTAAATAATATTTCATATATATTATTAAACAACCTATGTAGTTCTTATGTAATATAAAAATATCCACCAACAGCGTAATATCAGTACAATTTGTTTTAATTTAAATGTTAACTTTATTTCTTGTATTTACATTACGTTTTTTTACTGCTATTAATATTATGTTTATAAATAATGTTTAAATATTTTTTATATATTCGTTTCTTGCTAAATGGCATTCTATTGAAAAATTAAATTGCACAAATAAATACTTTTATAATATACGTTTGCATTACAAATAATGCAATAATTATTTTGCAAATAGCAAGTTCAACATTGTATTAATTCTCAATGGAAACAAATGCAATTACACACTATTCAATGAAAAATTTTCAAATAATTTATTATTCACGTATCTGTTTTTAACATTTTGTTTACAAATAATACATGTATATCAAGTTAGTGTCACGTCAATAACTATGAAATCCTGTAATCGTATATTTTTTATGAAAGTTTTTATTCGTTTATTATATAAGATATTTCACAACAAATATATCGGTATGGTTATTAATAATTTCAATAATTCATCACAATGTACATTTGCCTAACTAAATATAACTTCTATTTTTTTTTATTTTTTAATTCCCCTGACTATTAAATAAATGAAACACATTTTTTTAAATGTGTACATTTGTATTATTTTCTAACAACTTATACAGAGGAAATTTTGTATAATATTTTTAAATATTTTGTTACTATAACACTAGGAACTTTTTATATTTATATATTGATGAACATCATAAGTATTAAATCAATTTTATAAAGATTGGTATTTTAAAAGATATTAAAATAAAAATATTAACATATAATGAACTATTTGAAGTAATTCTCGATGTCTTGAAAAATATATTGCATCACTGTCAATATTTATTATTATTACCGTTTAAATTTTAAAATATCATTTGCCATTGTATATAAAGCCATTGTAGAACTTGAAAATTACAATGATTAATTATGAATCTCCATCTTCGGGCTTATCTTTGTTCGATTTGTCATTGAATCGGATAATTTGTATTTGTTCAAATAGCATATAATAGAATAATACAATGTACACTCATGCATACACTTTGCTATCTCTCCCCAGAATATCTGGTAGAATAGAAAACCATTGATCAGCCTCTACGAACATGTTTCAAGCTTCGAGTCACTAATATTCAAATGCTCATATTCCGACAAAATGTTGCTTTAATATCAACATTCTTGATCTTGCGGAGCTCACTACAAGTGACAATCGAGCAACCAATCGAGTAAACTAACGCACGAATTCCTCTTTTAGATACAACGAACGATGCGAAGGCGCAGAAAGACTCGAAACCGCCACTGCCGAAGACCCACAGCGTGACCAAGAAGTCCATCTCATCGAGCATGATAAAGTCATCATCAGCGGAGCGCAAGTCCGACAAATTCGTAACGACACCGAGGAGTAGCCGAGCTTCGCCACGCGCCACTCCCAAGGCTACGCCCCTCCAGAGTCCCGGTGTCGAGCAGCCAGGTCTTATAGCCCTAGATATCAAGGAGTCCAAAGATCGATTTGAGAATGCGAAGAAGGAGATAAGTAATGAGAAGATGCAGGTTAGTCTTTAAGATTATTACGAACAATTTGACGATTGATCGTGGTACAGTATGCGCTAGACGTATTACTGGAAGTGTAATTCACGAGGGTGTCATTATGTATTTATTGGTATGTATTTTACGGCAGTAGTCACCGAAAATGGAAAATATGAGAGAAATAGGTGAGGGTAATGTAAGGAATATCGTATTGATAAATTTACAGTTAATAGTAGCTATTGCTGTTAGTCTGTACATTCATGTACATTCATATATACATTCATATACAATGAAATATCACTTCACTTATCTATATTTATATACTAAATTATTAATACTAGTATGAACCTTCCTTGCTGATTTTCTGCAAATTTTCCGAGATAAAATTCAACATAAAGTTTACGCGAAAATATTAATCATAATAATGTAATATTTTAATATAATTATGATTTAGAATAATAATGATTGAGGACAAGTATAAATCGTAATGAGATAAGAAACATCATTGCGATAATAAATAATATTTCCATTAATCGATCATTCTCAATTATTGATGAGTTTGTTACGATAAAATATTATTAGCAAGTATAGTTAACGCAGAATAAGAAAGAAGAAACAAAATTAAGCCAATTAAGATTTGAGCTCTTCTATGTAGATTTTCATTCTATGCGTACGTTTTATAAATTCTTACGTAAAAAGCCTCGATTAGCGGACTCGGGAAAACATTGAATTATTGAAAATATTTAATATGGCCTCCATGTATCTTGCAGATTATTCAAGATAATGCAGTTATCGAACTTGTATCGTCGAACGAAGCGAATTCAGAAAAGAATCTGATCGGTGAAGTGTTTTCAGCTGCGTCTGTCGGTGCAGCCGCGGTGCCTGAACAAATTTTGATCGATGTTCAAACGGCAGCCTCGCCAATACAGCAAATACCCGTGGCCAACATTATTGAAAAGAAAGAGGAGGCGAAAGCCGAGAAGAAATCTCCTGAGATCGAAAGCAAGCACGAAAGCGACTTGATTGAGGAGCAATGCGACATGACAGGTTTGATACGCTTCTTAGATATGCCCGACTGTGAACGCTACGCTATGCGAGCCCCAAGTAATTGCAGCTCGAATTTTGCAGCTTCCATGATTCAGAAGATTCGAATCACAACGGAGGAAGAGGCCAAGGCGGCATTGGCAGAGCGTCGGAGACTCGCTCGCGAACAGGCCGAGAGAGAAGCCGAGCTCGAAAGACAACGATTGGTACGTAAAAAGCGACCGCCCATCCACTCCTTACACATCCACATTACCGTAGTTTAGCCCACAATCGATGATGGATTTAATTATATAGGAAGAGGAGGCTCGTTTAGAGGCGGAAAGATTACAAACCGAGGAGGAGGAGCAACGTCGTCTCGAGGAAGAGACGCTCCGTTTAGCCGAGGAGGCCCGTGCGGCGGAGGAGCAGAGACTGCAGTTGGCTATTGAAGAGGCAAAAAAGCGCGAGGAAGAGGATAGAAAGCGCAGGGAAGAAGAAGCACGACAGAAATTGGAGAAAGAAGAGGCTGAACGGAAAGCTAGAGAAGAAGCCGAGAAGTAAGTCTTATAAGTATTCCGTTAATGGCCCTCTACTAGTGGTCCCCGCAATTGAATATAATGTTAAATCAACTGCACGGCTCGAGGATCAAAAATTAATCCAGAATTTAAAGAACTGGTACTCATTTAGTTGCTAGTCGATTGAAATAAGTTTTATATCTCTATATTCTGTCTATAAATTTTAAATATCTTTCACACATATTGTCTTCTTCGTTTATTGTAATATAGGCAACGACTGGAAATGGTCGAACGTCTCAAAAAAGAGGAGGAAGAAAGAAATGCCAGACGCAAACGCGTTGAAGCTATAATGTCTAGGACTCGAGCCAAATGCCAACCTAACATTGCAAAGGTGAATTTAATAAATTTTCTATTAGTTGAAGTACAACACTAGTTTGCAATTTTGTGTTTTATTACTTTTATTTGATTTTACAATTTTCGCAATATTTGCTCTATAGAAGTCGATACATTTTTCAAAATAGCATCAGTATCGACTTAATTAATAATATTATTTTTTTACATATATAGTTATAGTAAAATATTTCGTTCTGTTTTTATGTATCATTAACAATTTGACAAATAAATATTTACTCGTAAAAGACAAGTACGGAAAGAAAAAAAAACATACAATATTTCGAATAACAATAACCAAAACAATAAATTTACTTGCAAAATAAATCTAATCGGCTTATTTAAGAATATTGGATTGCCATTTTTATAATAATCATGATTCTCAATTACCGTGTATTCTGTTTATACATAATTTCAGATATCGCATCATATTATTGGAAAAATTTTATTGATCTTGTATATTACTGCTTATCGCGTACGTGGCACGACGACACCTATTACATGACAGTCATTAATAAAAAACAAATTAGTAAAAAAAAAAAGGGAAAAAATGTGAATAATAAGTGATGATGCTTTAATATTCGAAAGAAATAAAAGAAACAGATTGAATTTAATGAGAATAGATGTTTTAAGTTTTTAAAGAATTGAGGTAATGAAAAGTTTAAAGATTAAATTTATGTTTTAGTTAAAAATAAAAAAAGGAAAAGAAAAGGAAATTCATACGTGTTTATGGTCCTCTTTCAATATATTGTAAATATTAATTGCTTGAACACATAGGGTGAAAGCAACGATGGGGAAAAATCGAAAGAAGACAGTCCGAATGATGAGAGCAAGCCAAGTCCCGGTGAGAAGGTACCCCAAGATCTTATGACGGCGAGCCTCATATCGGAAGCCACCCAGCATTTCATAAGCGGCGAGCAACTCGCTCACCACGTGGAATCGAACAACGCCGACGAGTCGAACAACGGCGTAATGCGCAACGGCACACGTGCCAATGGCATGAGCGATCCATCGACTAAACCTATTCTAGATAACGAAGATAATAATCCGCAGGAGCTGAATGGACATCATAACAACACGAATCACGGGAACGGTATCGACGGTCAAACGATAACTCTGGACAATGCCACTGTGTAAGTACGCATCATCATCTAGAGAGAGAAAGAGAAAGAGCGAGAGAGAGAGAGAGAGAGAGAGAGAGAGAGAGAGAGTGAGTGAGCGTGTGCGCGTGTGCGCGTGTGCGTACTTGTATGGGTGCATGTGTGTATTTATATATATATCCTCCATAAGGGGGATTGTGAATCAATCAAATTTTGAATGAAACGAAATGAGCGAGAAAAAGTAAAGTGAGTCTCTTTTAAGAATGCTGGCTTACAAACCTAAGCATAAACTTTACAAATTTAACGAACTATCTCCCAGCCCAGGAATTCAATATATTGAAAATATAGATAAAGTTAAAATTATTCAAGCCAATAATACTAATTATGTAATATGAATTTTCTAATTAGTACAAGCGATATTAATGATAACTTCGTTCACAACGGCCTTTTTTACACAAAATTATATTTCTGAATTGTTCGACTGTGCTCTTTGCTTTTTACATTAGAAAAAATAAATTAAAATGTTCAATATCAAATAAAAAAATATTTTATATATTTTTATTCAAATTGATGGTCTTAAAGCTTTTTGTTGAAAACTAAATTAAATATTTTGGTATCACACATTTTTTACTAATGAAATTTTTTAAATTGTGAAAAATTACTCGTCAATGATTAATTTTCTTTCTTTTTTCCTTCTTAATATCGATATTTAATTGAAAATTTCGTATTTATCCCGATTAAATACATTTTTCCAATTCATCTTTTCAATTTGAAATAAGTTGTTCATGTTTTTTTTTTGTGGAAATTGACATTTATTTGTGTCTTTGGTATCTTTCGTAAAATCAAACCTTCCTATCGCTATTATTAATGAACAATATCACTTTCGACTACATTTGATGCTACACGTAAATGTAATATTCAATGTATTATAACTTCTTCGTATCGTCATCAAAGGACGGAAGAAAAAAAGTAATCTTTGTTTTTTTTTTTTCATGCAACTAGCTTTATTTGAATTTTTTTGTTGATAGACTCACTCAAATTATAAATGCAGCAATGTATAACCATAAATGTGATGGATAATGTTCACTATTTACGACAATATAAGCCGTCATCGTCTTTGATCAAATAATAGGACCGAATAGCACTGAGTACTGTTTACTTAATACTATTGTGCTAGACTCAATTTATAAAAATGTCCAAAAGTTATTGCGAATAGTTACGTTGATAAATTTTTAATAATATTTGTTAAAGATTTTTGTGTACATAACGAAAAAGTTTTAAAAAACTTTTTTTTAAATTTTGTAGATGAAATAATGTGTTCGTGATACATTTAATGTTTGTATTGAGTAATTATTTATAAATACGTGATTAATTATCCGATGAAGAATAATAATTCTAAATAGAAAGTGCATTTTTTCAGTTTCAACTATAAATTTATATTGTATTTATAAGCAAGTGCAATATAATCAACTATGTATACTTATTTATATTGAGCACACAGCTATTTTATCGATGATATAAAGTTGTTAATTTACAATGCCATGATGTCTATTGTATAAAGTATTAAAATTTGTCTAAACATAATATAAGTGCATGTGAAATTCTGAATAAAGCATAATTAGTTATCGAAAACTGATAATAAAGAGATAAAAACTAATATCTAATAATGTATTCCTATAATAATTAAAGCAAAAAATTCGATGTATCGCAGTTATAAATAAATTAATAACTACCGTTTATTATCAATAACGAGCATGCAAAATGTAAGTAACCACTATTTTCTTAAGGCGTTCGTAAAAATAGATGTGCGAATAAACTTATAAGAAAATCGAACAATTTTTATTGCTGCTTGCTTTTAAAAGCTTAAATTTCTAACAGATTGTAATCAATTTTGAAGAAGTGGAGACGTGCATACGCGTGGCTTAAATTACATTTCAAATACTGTATATTGACAGTTGACTTTATATTGTAATAGCCATTAAACAACTTTAAACTAAAATTATTTTTGTTATTTAACTACCACTAGTTAATTACATAATATATTAGTGTATAAATACTGCAAAACACAAGAATTGTATATTGCAATTATACAATAATTACAACATGTATAGTTTATAATGTATACTTATGGCAGTTAAGCGTTTATTTCTTTTCACATACGATTCAATCTCTTATTGCACTGATATTTAAAAACTTGTTAGATATTAATATTACCATTAAAAACAAAACAAAAAACAAAAAACAAAAAAAAGGTCTACATCCAATTGAACTCTATTGACAAATATAATTGTGATCTCTTGTTTTAAAAACGTGCTAGCGAATGTAAACATTTGCCAATTTTATAAGAAAATAGCAGGTCATTCTTTAACTTAATTATATCTTTAAACGAAATTTACAGAAGGAATTTCTAAATACGTGTTAGTGTAAAACAAAACGAACAAAATAGAAGAAAAAAACAAAACCAACCATTAAAATAATTATCTGTAAAGTGTCTCTTAAGCGTGCGAATGACTACATATAGAACACGGCAAAGTGAAACATTAACTTAGCGCAAGCAATCGTCGAATTTAATATTTAATGAACGAATATAATGTCGCATTACCATAAATAATAATGCGAAAATAATGTATATAATGTAAAGTGAATCAAACAATCGTATAAACTCAATGAATCATCTAAATTATTGTTCATAATTTCATGCAGTATACAAGAGCTTACTAGAGAAATATCTCAATGGCTTATTTCGACTCATCATACTGCGTAAATTTAGAAAATACTGAAAATTGTGTATTTAAACGCAAAGAAAGAAAATTCTTTATTATGCTCTTAGTTTTCTTTCTTCCTTAAGGCCTTCATATATATAAATAAAACATCCATAGTGTGATGTCTATTTGATGCTACTCTCATATAGTCGATCATCCTAATAATAATAATAATAATCATCGTCGTCGTCGTCATCATCATCATAGCTCCACAGAAGCACAAGACATGAGATTTAATTTAACGCGATGACGACAATTGAAAATGTGTACTACTTTATCGAACGAAGGTTCACAACTAAAATAATATAACTCGTAACTATAATCTATTTTTGTCTCTAATACAGCATGCACATTATTCGTTTGATTGCACATAATAATATAATTTCTCACGGAATACTCAAATACGATAATTAAATATAGCATATTATATTACACCCTCAAATTTCATGGTTAATGGTGTAACATTTTTAAAATTATTTATTTAACTTTTAACCCTTAACTAATTTATAAATATGAATAGATTGAAAGCAAACTGTCAATCTATAAAAGTTCGAAAAATTATATAATATATATTAGAAATTAATTTAATTAAAGAATAGTGAAGATCTTATTGAAATATAATAATAATGTATTAATATTGATATTTATATTGATTTAAATGAAATAAAATATTTGCTTTGCTTTAAATAATATTAATCGAGTAATATTTAATTATTTCTCGTAATATTTTAAGCGTTTCAATATATTAAAAGAAACAATACTATTTTAAATCAGAAAAATTATGTAAACTTTTATAAGTTATTTTCTAAAGCACAAAAAAACAGTAATATTTCTAGAAGTTCGTTCCTGATTCTTTTAAATTACTGTCAAATTCTACCAATTATAAGAATTTACCAAAAGAATTTCAATAATAACTGAAATGTTTGCAGTTCCTATTACATTAATATTTTAATCTTTACTTTTACATATTATTTTACATATTATTTTACACATTTCATTTTTATTATTTTATCTTGAAATTGTAGAAATGCTTTCGTTATATTTACATTTTTATTAACAACTAATAATGAAATAAGCAAAAACAGTTAACTGTATTATGAGAAATATCTAATATGTAAAGTAAATTTCAGTTTGAAAATGTAGTGTCTAATATGCGTAAAATCTTCCCTGAGTAATCATGTAATTTTTCCGTGTCGTTTGTTTTTGTTTAAATACAGAAATTCCTCTGTATATTAGATGTATTTATTCATATTTTCACACGTCAATTTACCGCCTATATTAGTTGTCTATCAAAAATTCGACGGTCATCGCTATACTTTGGTCCCATCGATGATTGCTAAATTATTTATGATAAAGTATGCATGTACACACGTTAATGTGTGTTTACATATTATATCTATGAGTACACATTCCGGCACACGTTCGTGCGTGCGTGCGCGCGCGCGCGCATGTCTGTAGCTCAGAAATGCATGCATTGTCATACAGACAAAATTATGCGTAATCATAAACTATTTATTTTATAATTTTCATCTAGCAGTTTTCTGTTATAAAAACAAAAAAATAGTTATGGTTGATTTTTGTAAAATATTCCGTCATTTGGCAAATGATAAATTCTCAGTAGTCTAAATTCTCAAAATAATAATTAATAGTTTTAATATTAATTTGTAGCATTATTATAGTGATAAATAAAAATTAGTTAATCTTTCATTTATTATATACCGATCATTTATTCGACAAATTTTAATATTTCAAACCAATGATTCTGACTGAAAGTATAAATAGAAATTATAAATAATTAAGATATTTATACTTTATATAGAAAATATTTAGTTTAGTATTATAGCATAACAAATTTTATTCTTATGTCTTAGAACATAATTTAGTTTATTAATATAGTATATTTAATATTATTTAGTATAGTGAGTAATAATTATTGTATAGTGTATCTTAATATTTAGGAATAATATTGTTTGTAAGTGTTTTAACGCAAACCTTCTATTTTTCACATTTTTCTATTTATTAAATAGTCATTCTTTTATATTAAATTTGTGTAGCCTATTGTGTGACGTGTTACACAAAAATTGATCCACAGATATATATATTTTTGTCTATATAATGTCTCATATGCTCCTGATAAAAGTTTGTATAATACAATTTTATTATAATGATAAAAAAAATAATCACAATTAAATTTATTATAAATTTACTGAATTATATAGTTACAATTTATTTAACTATCCATGATAAAAAAAAATTTATAAAAATTTTTGTGCTGAATTTTCTCAAAATGCGCCGTCACTATTATTAGAATTTGTTTAAATTTAATTTATTAATTTATTTATTAATACAGATAGATAGATAGATAGATAGATAGATAGATAGAGAGAGAGAGAGAGAGAGAGAGAGAGAGAGAGAATAAAAAAGGCGTCTAGCTTTATATTGTACTCGTAAGCTATTTCATTAAACTAGTATCTTGCATTATTGTTTGACTGGTTCTTATAGCAAACAAAACAACGTGACCAACAACCGGTTAGATCTCTCGGAGTTTGACACTCTCAGCAATAGTAACAACAGCGGGCCATTTCTGCTGATGCAACCGAGCGCCGTTGGCCTTACCGGAGTCGGCGGGACACTGGCCAACGAGGACAGCCTTAACTCGAACCTCAACCCTACAGCGATACCCTTCACGCCGAGCTTCGGTATCCCCAATGCGACTAATACTTTTCAGGATACGTTCAGCAACAATAAGCAGCAACCGGAGAATCCAGTACCCGGTGAGCCCCTTATATCTCCATTTCTCGCTGTTTCTCAGGACGATTATGACGATGGTACGACAATAGTATAGAAATATCGTGCGACAACATTGACGAGAAACGATCGCAGTTATCGATGCGATGCGTCATTATTGCGATATTCATTTGTTGAACATTTATAATAATCGGAAAATTTTTAATCCTATGATATGGTGAAGGTGTGGAATACGGGCTTTTCCACTGAAAATGGGAAATTAAAAATCGAGAAAAATTTGTTTACAAACAATTTAAGGAACGAGAAAGAAGCCACGCGAAAAATAATTTATTAACAATGATATTAAATAATATAAACTACCATAGATTTTCGTAAAAGAAGGAGAGGCTCGATACTCCTGAAACTAATTATATTGACGTTGATACTTTGATAAATTTTCATTAATTAACAAAACTTCTTATATGATTAAAAGCAACAGCGATTAGTAATTGTTTGTTTGTTTGCTTGTTTGTTTGTTTATGTGTGTGCGCGCGTATTTTTCAAAATTTCGCGGCATTGTTTAGTATTAATGAAAAAAAAAAAAATAATAATAAAAAAACAAATAATCGTTTAAAATACAGACAAAGATATTTATTTATACCCCAGGAGTAATTATTATACTTTTACCTTATTGTATGCGGAGAATTTCATATTTTATACAATTTAAAGTTGCTATGTATGATTATTAATTATGAAAATATTCAAAATTGCTTGGCTAATAATTAAGTATTACATTAAAATATTTTATTCATTACAGACCTCCTGTCATAAGTTAAATGTGAAAATTTTGTGGTCTCGATGATCAAAGGAAGATTATGCAAATAAGAGGGTTGAGAGAAAGAATAAGGAAGTGGATAAAGAAGAAGATATATCGTTGATGTATAAATTTGAGCTGATGCTGCTTGATTTTGAGCCTGGACCAGCTAAACCACCTGAAGCGACTTCACTAGAGGGCGCTCACATCGCCGTTGTTTATTTTTCTCCTTAAGATAAGACACGTGTATATAAATTGAGAGAAAGAGAAATAGTTAGATATCCGCTAATGGACATAACTGTTACGTTACAAAGATTCAAGAAATGGTGCGTTTCTTTTGTTTTATTATTTTGACGCGCGTAATGAGCGTCAGAATTATAATTTATCTCGGCGCACGTCACTGTAGTATGGAAGTGTAAAATAATATATAATGTTAATTAATAATTAATGATTAATAATAATAATAATGATTAATATTATTATTAACGATGGTTAATATTCATATATGTACGGCGAACTTTGAGATTCGGCCCTTCTCTTAAGTTATTAATACTAAATTGATAATCGGGACTAACTATTTAGCGAATTCCTTTTCCTTTTAGCCAGCTGGACAAACATATAAGAAACGGATATAAATTTTGTGCCCAATTCTATGCGCGTTTGTGTGGCTATATACGAAATTTTCATTAGGTATCATTTGCACATATACCAATTATGCAGATGCAATAACACAGACAATTTTTACTAGATTCTTATGCTCCGTAAGATATTGCAGCTAAACGTGGATTGATAATCAATCGCCTTAGAATTGTGCTACGTGTTATTTATGCTTCTCTTTTAATGTGCAATTTCAATATTGGTCAATTACGGTTAAATGTAATTTTTTATTTCGTATATAATTAGAATTTCATACTCAGCTAATCATATTGTGTTTTTAAGATAAGTTAGGCATTTATTTGAAATAGCTTCGTTTTATTTTTATTCTGTAAAGTTTAAACGTTATATTGTTATATTGTGATTTTGATTGGACAATGGATCAAACTTACTATTCAAATTAAGTTATTAATAAAGTCTTCAAAGCTAATTCAATGTAAATGTTTAACCCAATGTGTATATCATAAAAAAGATTTAAAAAAAAGCAAGGGAAACCATTGGCTTCTTCCATTAAATTCATTTCTTCTCTTTTCTTATTCGGGGCGTGCGCTCACTAGTCAAGCGATTTTATTGTTTTTATCACACAGTTCAGAGACTATAAAGAGAGATTGTGAATGAATGAGTGCGAAAGAATGATGACTCAAGGAATAAAAGGAAAATCCCAAAAACAAAAACAAAAAATAAGAGGAAGACATTGAAGCAGCAAAAATGGAAATATGAATGAAACGAGTGTAATCAAGCACCGCAATAAATAGAGCAGAATCTTGCATGATAATAACTGTGAATACTGTTATTCCAAAACTTTATTGATATTCTCCATATAATTAAATTAAATCAAAGTAAAAATTCACTGTTACTGACCAAATTGAGTATTGTCTTGTCTAATATTTTTTTTCGTTTGATTGTTTTTTTCTTTTTTTTTTCATTACGAATATGCTTTTAATTGCAAGACTTGATTATGTTTGTATGATTTATTTTGGATTTTTTTATTATTATGCAATGTTTCTACAAGCAAATAATTAATAAAAGGAAAAAAGTAAGAAGCGTAAAAGTCTTATATTGCCTTGAGATGCGTAGCTTAAATTTTTTATGACTAATTATATTTCTTCTAAATTTTCAATGACTAAAATAAAAATTGAATAAAATTATGTTTTTTTGATTTAAAAGAAATTGAAGTTTTTAAATAACATAATTTTATTTATAAATTTAAGCATTTCTGATATCTCACTTAAGTTGCTCAGTAACAGAGTATGTTACATCAAGAATATCTTATAAATAAAGTCCTTTGTAGCACTGCGATATTGGCAATTGCTCAGTCGCATAGTTCTTATTTTAATCTCTAAAGTGATCACCGACAAGTTTTGAAAATTGGTCAGTAAAACGAAAATTCGCGCAGTCGTAAATAAAATTTATTTTCCAAATACTTGTTCGATATTATGCAAATTTGATATTGTAATTAATCAAGTAAATCTCTCACCTCCCCTACGTCATATATGTTTAACCAAAATAAGGAAAACATTCTCGCAAATTTGAAACCGTCATTATATATATATATATATATATATATATATATATTTTTAGCGGTTATATTCGTAAAAAAATGTATGGCTATATAAGTATACGTGTATAATAATCTGTGTTTTTATCCTAGAAAGTATAAACAAACAAAGCTAAAAGTAAATATAGCAAATATTTTACAAAAGGGGACGATTGTAATTCAAGGCTGCGCTACGACATTGTTTGTATTTGTTATATTTTGTAACACTGTGTATACGCAGCAAATAGAATACTGGTTAGAAAATTTTATTTAAAACGATACACTTTGTCATATATTATAAGATTATGTAGCAGTTATAATGTACTGACCAAATTAAATTTCAATAAATAATTCATTTGTTTATTATTTAAATCAATCATTTTACAATATCTTAGCAATTCAAGGTTCTTACGTATGTATAAAATGAATATAATTGCTTTGAGAATCAAATGAAGATCTATTTTTTTAATACAAATTAAGTAATTCAGTTGCATTTAAAATTATTATTATTATTATTATTATTATTATTATTATTATTATTATTACGATATTGTATTGTTTAAATTGTAAAAACAAAAAAAATAATGTTTAGAATTTGAAACGTATTTGTGATAAAGGAAAATAAATAAATTGAAATAATAAAACCTTATAGTAGAAGGATATAAAGGTCATTATTTTCTTAAATTTTCTAATCAGTAATATTAATATTACAGTGATATTACACATGGTTAAGCGGCATCTCGCGCTAGTGCGTGCATGTTTTACATTAAATAAAAGTCAAAGAAAAATAATTAGCTTTCTTAGTTATGAATTATATTGGCCGCAAAAACAGGGTGAAAAATATATATTATCCTTATACGTTGTTTTGTTTTCATGATTATTGTACAAAATAACAACAAAAAATATATAAAAAGAAAAACAAAAAGATGAAAAAAATCTCGAAAAGAGAATTATGCATGATTTAATAATAAGGAAACTAAAACCTTTTGTTTGATTTTAATAAATATTTATTTATAGGCTGTGTATTCGATATTTATATCAACCCTAAAATATATAAATGATAAATAAATTGATTTTGTATATAATTTTTTTTTAACCATACTAAGAGGTAAGTAATAATTTTGAATTTTATGTTAATGCATTTAAAAGGATGTGACACAATGTGATATATAGCATTTATATACTCAATATAAAATAATGACAATAATCCTTTATCTACAACATCATGCCACGCTTTTCGTAACGAAAACAATTGTTTGGTGATTAGCAATTAATGATCGTATTAAGTGTGATTCATAAATTTCTTGCTTCTTTCTTAAAAATATTGAAAGATAACAGTCGACACACATCGTAAATAATTGGATTTTAACCGTTATGTATTTTATACAATTATGTATAATTTTCTTTCGAAGGCTATTATTATATTAGAACGACCGAGATCTACTATATTACAATAATTATTGAAATTAAACTTGCATATTAGATATAATGATAATCCGGTTAGTTTTCATTAGTTTTTTATTTTTTAAGTGATTGTAACCTTTCCTTCTCTTTATTATCCCCCCGCTACACAACCGCCAAGCATTCACTGTGCGTATACTTCATCGTTTATTTAAGTAATTAAACGTATAACACAATGAATAAACGATATTAAATGTTGGATCAAAATGGCAAAAGATCTATACCAAGAGAAGCATGTGATATTATCGTTTGTTCAAAAGAAAAGAAAATGTCAAACAAATCGAAGAAATTGCCTGCGCTACGCGCGTTTGCGCGCATGTGTATGTACATATATGTAGGCATAAGCATACAATCGCGTGAACATACGCATATGTAGAGTGCAATAATGTTCCACTGTCCACATAATTATTTTAGAAAACAAACAAAAAAATTTACTTCGGTGTATGGTTCGTTTATTCGGATTTTTCTTTCGAATAATGAAGAAAAATCATAATAAAAATGCATACATTAAACGTTATTTCTTTCGCGATAGAAATATAATAAGCGCTAACGCTTGTTTTCATTGATAGAAAGCATTAAAAAAAATACTAATATTTCAGTATAAAATAACGAAGACGCATAATATTATCAGACATGTTGAACAAATTTCATAATGTAAAAAAAACTTTCATGAAATAAATACTTGATATAAATAAATTATGTTCCTTTTCGTCGTTATGCCTTGTACCAATTATACTATATTTGGTTTTTAATTACTTTTATAACTTTTACAACAAACACAAATTAGAAGTGTTTTGTTAACAAAATAATACAAAAATTTCGCCATCTCGATAAAATTCGAATTAAAATATTATATACCCTAATGTTATAATATAAATATTAAATTAAAACTATTATTTTACCATAACAACTGTGAATTAGCAATACTTCACTATCGAACAATATTTAAAAACTATGGAAATACGGAAATACATGAAATAGTTTAACATTCTCATACTTAAAAGAGAAATAAATAATATATTCTTTATTAGTAATTAATTGTAATAATTTTCCCGCTCAATTTACATTCAGTTATAATATATATATATATATATATATATATATATATAGAGTAACTTGAGATTGATAACAACCCATCAAATTTTAAACTCATATATTTTTAATACTTTATTGGAACTGTCGTATTTTCATCTTAAAAAAAAGGGAAAAAAGAACTAACAAGTACCATATGAAAAACTGTTTAAAGAAAAAAACACTAAAAACGAACTAACGATTTTCTCATGACATCATTATACTTCATACATAGTCGAATGTGTAGCAAACATTAAAAATCCGAAATATCACAGCTGCCTTTTTTTCTTTTTTTTTTTTTTTTTTGACAGGTTTTTAAGATCTGAAGAAACTCAATGATCAGCGCTTTGATCAAACACAAAAAATGTATTAACTAGCCATGCCAATCGATAGTTGCTAAATTGCCAAATATTATAGATACAAACGATTAATAAAAGCGTCTCACTGCCCTCAGTTTTCATACAAGTATATTTAAATTACATATAATTTGTCTTACTAAGGGTCGGTTAAAAGTCTGTTGAACGTACGCGTGATCTAAAGAAGATTTAACGTTAATATAGAATAGAACAGAAATATTAAGTATAAAACGTAAAGTTTTAGACTGCTAATTAACATTTTATCTTAAAACGACATAAACTGGATTTATATTATTGATTTTATTTAAAAAACTGTCGCAGACCTTAGTCAAGACTACCCGTTCGCAAGCTGTAATATTAAGTGAATAAGATGAATAGTTGCAATAAGTTAAAATACATGATGGAATTATTTTTTAAATCATTCTGCGCAATATTATAATATTCTACTAATATTCTACGCAATTTTCTCCCTGTTAAATCTTATTATAAAATGATGCTATTCTATGAAAATTAAATGCATGATATTTTTTAATACAATAAAAACATTATATTTACATAATAGATGGAGAATTCAAACAATATTAAATCGACATATTAATGCATTATTTCAGTACTAGCAGATTAATATGGACATTTTTAATTCTACATATGTCAGTATTAATTTGTATTTAGTAGTTTATTAGTCAGTAATAATTCGTATGCCCGAGTCATACAAATTTATATTCTATGATCTGTATTATTCTATAAAATGTAAATGTAAAAAATACATGTAAACTATTACTTTATACTGTAAATAGGAACAATGTTGAAAATAAAAATTAGAATAAAAATTAGTAGTTCAAAATCCATTTTATAATATTCGTATTCTATGTGCATTATCGATTAATTGATGCATTATGAATTATCATTGCCAAAACATGAATAAAATGCAATTTGAAATTTAAATTCATGATATAAACTTATGGTATGGTCATATTATTATTATTAGTTAAAAATTAGATCTTAAAATTAGGTATCAAGAAATGAAAATATCAATATTAATAATCATAGTCGTCAACTATATATGTAAGAATGTGATCGTTCAATGATTTGTAAAAATATTTCAATATGTAAAAGAGAATCTATTATTTTCGTGTAAATTAAACTACATGCAGGTTATAATATTAATTTTAATGACAAATTATTGAATACGTCAGACTTTGTAAATTAAGGCAATGAGATTTTATAGAGCTTACAGTACTTATTACTTACTCACTTATAGTAAAAATAATTAAAAATATGTAAAAATAAGTGGAATTGTTTTACATTTCTATTCGGCGATCAAATCAAACAATTTAATCTGATACGTAATTTTATAAATCACGGAGCGGATATTAACGTAATATATCGCCGAAAGGTTAATCACGTTCCACATTGAAACAAAATTCACTCGTTACGAAGGGGAGAAATTATTAATTAAAAATGATATAATGTACTCGATTTACTAGCTTCCTTCGAATTGCAAATTTTTTCTTGGGAAAAGATGCTTACAATTTCACTGAATAAATGCTTCCAGAATAATATTAACACAAGTTTCATGCATTACTTGATTGGCTGTGGGTAGAAAAGAAGCTGAGATTTGTTATATACCTCAAATGATATAAATTATTAATAAAGATTATAAATATATAAGCGTTTAAAAAAACTAATAAAATTATTGTTACTTGTAGTATATAATCTAGTATGTAGTGTGTAGTTGTGTCGACGCCGTAGCAGATTATATTTGAATTTCCGAGACTTTGCATTGTCAAAATAATTTACGAAGTGATATAGTTTAAGGAGAAATATTACATGCAGCTTTATTAATGTCAATACATATACTCACGTGGTTATAAAAATCGTAATATCAATAAAGATTTATGAAATCATATAAGTAATAATACTACTCTTACAACAATATCAATAAAAAACGAGTAAATTAAATTTTGTAACAAAATAAAATTTGCAGCTTTGCTATTAAGCATCGATTGTAAATTACTTTAACTATAATTATCGCATTTATTTACCATTAATATTAAATGAGAGTCAATACTATACTGAACAATATTATACTGCCACGTAGTGTGGTAATTAAAATTATACAATATACAATAAATTTTATATATTGTTTACATTTTAGGAAATTACTATAATTAAAAATAAAATATAAATATTTTTAAGTGAGTGAGAGAATTTGTAATTAATAACTTTGATCTGGACATCTCTTATGAAATAGTTTTAAGAAAATTTGTATTAAAAAAATTAGCGACAGTACTAGTAATATCTTAATTTTTAATTTTACTTAATAATTCGATAATTGTATTAAAGATTCTAAATATAGAAAATAAAATTACACAATATATGCAATGGACAGCCTGTATGTTTTAAAAAACTCAGACAATATAGCAAACAACTACTGGGAACAGGTTTTGATATTCATTTAATCAATTTTTTAATGACAAAAGTAAGTCATGAGGATACATTAAATGTTTCATTGATTAAAAAATTGTACATTGAAACTATAGAATTTTTTAAAATATTATGCTTCAACATCAACAATAAGTACTACGAGCTACTTTTACTAAACTAAACTGCTACTTTTACTTTTATTAATACTTTTTAATAGAAATAAATAACAATAAAATGTTTAAAATGGTTTCAAATGTACCTTGGCCACTTAATCAATCATCAGTTACTGCTCAGTATAATTTTAACAATCTTTCTCTCATTAGTAATACTCAGTCAATCAGTTATTAGTTATTTACACAGCCACATACCTGATATCAATTATAATATACACGCATAACGTGCCGACTATAATTTAATAATATAATAAACCAATAGTGACGCCACAAAAAATTATAATCCTTTAAGTATTATATTCAAGGAGCACAAGTGCTAAGTGTAATTTAAGAGTCAAATTAACTAAAGTATAACACCAACATTCATTTACGTATCTTAATAATCTTAAATTTTAGTGACGGCTTTTCGTCCATCTAAAATCAGCGACGGCCTTTCGTCCATTTAAATCAGCTACGGCTTACAAAGACGACGGCTTTACGTTCAACTAAAATCAGCGACGGCTTACGTACATCAAAACAAAAAATATATAACTGTTCGCAAGGGTTCACGATAGCCACAGATGATAATATTCATCTCTTATTCAACAAGAAATTGTTAGAACGTCATTTAAACGTGACACTTCTTAAAGACGTAGAGATTCACACCTCATGCTGCTGCGATTAATAAATTTCATCACCATGTAAAATTACTGAAGAAACTTCAGAGATTTATAATCATTTATAATCACCATTCATATAGATCTATAAACATTATTTATAATCATATCATTGTATTCAAAATAAAAAGAAAACCAAGATAAACTATGTGTTGAATTGAATAATTGCGTCTGCCATCACCCCTTACCAGCAATCACCCCCACCTAACATCATTGGGAGGTTTTTTATGTCTGATCCCAGATATTTTGGTCAAATATTTAAAATGGTTGATTTAAAGTATAACAGATTTTTAAAATTTTAAAAATTTTAAAAAAGATACATTAAGTAAGTCATAGACTTGATTATTCAAGAAAATCAGTTAGATTAATTATTTCAAAAAGATTATGTAAGCAACAGATAAGTTGAAAAGTGGAAATAAAATTTTAAGAAAATAATTTGTAAAATGTACATAATCATAGGAAAAATGGAAAAGAATTTCAGTTTTTTATAATTGGATATATTAAAGATTACGTTAGTATACAAGTTTCATCGATATATACTAATGATATAGATAAAACAGTAAATTCTACTTAAGTTTCTTATATATTAAAACAATATATAATTTTAATATATTTACAATAAAAATTTTATTTAAGTCTTATTTATGAATATAAATACATTATATGTGCATTTTACACATTTTTAATGAATATAGGTAAAAATAAGTTGTTGAATTTTTAATAGATTCTCCATAAACACACTGTTGAAAATAAAACGTTTTTATTGCTCAGCTTGCTTCCATAATTTGTGTTAGTTCTTCATTAATATTTATTAACATAAGGTTCCATCTGAGAAGAGAAAATATATCTAATGACCATACCTGGAAAATGGTAAATGTAAATGTTTAAGTATACGATCAATCATAAACTGTGATGGTAAATAAATTAGAATTAATTTAATCGAATGGACTTACTTTTGAAATTCCCACTCACGATTATCGAGTGGACAAACTTGTCTTGTTTTTAGCCATCGAGAAATACAGTGGAAGTGGAAAGCATGCTATAAAAAATATTTTACCGACATTTAGTTGCGTATGAATATTAATAAGTAAAATAATACATAAAACTCTAATGTATATTTGTAAAAATCATAAATTATTCGGTTGTAGTATAAAAATTCAAATATAAAAAGTAATAGAATATTATTAATTTCAATTTAATAATATTTGTATAATATTGATTTACAATTTTAATAAATTTGTTGTTTTAAATTAATTTTAGTAGACGTAAATTTATTTGAATATCATTTATAAAAACAATAATTATTCATTTATTTATTATTTTGTCAAAAGTTGTATTTACTTATTAGAAATATTCCAAATTATAATTTACTGTCTAATGATATTATTTATAATTACGTGCGAAACTTATCGATGCTATCTTATTTATTTATGTCTTTCGATAATTTTCTTTATAATCTCTCACTAAAAATTAATCCAGAAGAGACGTATCGATCGCAATGAAATTAATATTAATCTTAGGTTAATCTAAATTTTTAACTCATTGCTTTTATCACATAAATAATATCGCATGTGTATATATATATACATATAAATTTGGTAAAGATATATAAATATAAGAATTGACTTTCATTGTTGAGTAAAAACTATTCTTACATTACAAACTCCCCATGCAACTGTGCATTCTTCACTTGTAGCGGATGCTTGATTTGCTTGACATTCAATGCAAAGGTCCATAATATGGTTACGACAAATAGCACAATTATCAACGACAATATCTGAAACCAATGTATGATAGCAAATAAGGTTAAAATGTTTCCTTCTACAAGAATATTATAATTAATTAAGTATTTTTACCCCAAGCCCACAGTGCAACAGCATTCCACTAAAATAAAAAAATCTATAATTAATAAATTTGATAATTAAAATGGCATTTAAAAATATTATAGACATAACAAAATAATGAAGGTTAGGTACACTGTGATGTATAGATTTTAGAATTTTATTACACTTTACTGTATATCACTTACCTTTTTCACTTCGAAACGTTTTTTCTCCCCTTTTCCACTGCTAGATGTTGGTAAATCAATTTCTTCTTCTTCGACGTCCATCGCGGATGCCATATTTGCCTTATAATTTTGTTAAAACCAAAAATGCCGAGAACAATTCACACAACCTTCTTTTTCTACAATGGTCGCATACTGACTTGCAAAAGTTAAGAAGCAGACATCGTTTGAAGTAAGCTTCCTATGTTCGGTTGTAATTTACCCGTTTCCACGTAATTGGAATCGAAATTGCCAATTATTACAAAAGAATTTATTGTAATTTTAAGCAGCATCGATTCAAATGATAATAATCAAAATTAACATGAAGAAAAATGAAGACAAACTTTATCGAAACAATATCTGTCCCCGTCGACGGTCGAATCTGAAATGCCCGGATATAGTATGGAGGCCGTTCTCGCATAAGCGGGAAATGTTTCTAGGCTGTAACAACTTTGCCACACATACATATTTTTATGAAAAGGTCCCTTGGACCTTGAAAGCTTAACTCAACTAGATCTTTATAATTCGATCCCAATTTTTTTTTTCATACTCTCACACATCACAGTATTTTTGTCTTATTATGACTCGAGTAAATAATTCATTATATTGCTTTATTCAAGACTCATGTACGTATACATAAATATAAATGAGTTTTAAATAAATGTAGGAACCCTTGTAGTGTAGTAACAATCTTTGACATTTACCGCACCTACAGTAAATTATGTACAACCATGAGTTCTTAACTCTATCTTGATTTCCTAATTCATGCGATTGAATACATAAATGTAATAATAAAATTTCTTTATAGATTCGTTTAATGATATATTTTACTCCAGAATCTTAATAACGGATTTTTATTCATTTTAACTTGCATTCAGATAAACAATCGGAAATAATAAGAAATATCGCATCATTGCGGATAAATAGGAAACAACGCGCACGAAAAGAAGAATGTTGTTAGGTCCAGTAGGTTCTCCGATCTTAGTAGGTAGGCACCAGTGTCATTGTTCTGATAGGGATCATTATTATTACAATGTTAAATAAAACCCTACTCCTTTTATTAACGATAAAAGTATTAAGGATTGAAATTGTACTACCTCTCTACTAGGAAGGATTATTTAGTCTTATCCCGGATCACACCGATGCACTAGGCCTCAGGCAATTCTCTATGTTTTTTTTTATGTCGTTAAAAGCATACGGTTTTGTTTAAATAATTAAATTATATAAGCGCCTGGGAATGCGTGTAGATTATAAAATATTTTGTAATTAAATAACGGAAAGCGGACAATGAACAAATCAAGAATTCTCAATCACTTTTAAAAATAAAAAATAATTAATATATATAATATAAACATTATTGAAGCTATTTATTAATTTTACATAATATATATAATAAGGTGTTATCCAATTTGACAATGTGTTAATAGCATTTTTTAATTTTATGAAATAATATTTTAATAAGATATAGAACCATTATTTTGATTGATAAATTTATTCATAAAAGATATTGATAAAAGAAAAAAACATTTTTAAATGCTCGACATGGCTGTTCACACAACACATAACGTATATCGAATTATATTGTTGGAAAAAGATGTTTCTTAACGACCCCAAAATTTTGTGATCATATAAGATGCGAATAAAAAAAATGTACTTATTAAAAGTCTAAATAAACACATTGTTACATCGTATTGATTACATTTTCCAATTTAAAACTATTTTTTATCATTAGCATTAAGCATTATAATTGTACATATAATATATAACTGTACCTTACATATTTAATCAAATTCATAATACTTGGAATAATTTTCACCAACGTGTTTGACAGCCTATATTTTATATTACGTCATAATTTAACTAATATAATATTATGAGAAATTCATTAGAGTTTAAGATTGTTGTTATGCTTACTAATACGAGGACTCACTCCTGATTGAATATATTGGCATGTTTGACTTTTCGTTAAATCTAAATGTTTCATAGCGTTTGTTAGACTTTTAAATATAAATTTTATTTTTTGTATATTTATATTAAAGACATGCATATTGTAAATGTTAAAAAAAGGTAAACAATCATAGAATTATTGAATTTAAAAAAATTACTTTATATTCGCATGCTATAATATAAGAGACGATATTATATTATATTAGTATCTCATATTAAGTATTTATTTAAAAACTTTAAAAAAAAAATTTTGATTAGTAGTTAAAAGTATTTGGAGCAATGTGCCGGCAATTTATCTCTAAATGCAAGAAATATAAGTATTCTTTGAAAGTCATTTTAAAGCCGATTAATTGTTATTAAATTTATTTTTCATATTGTTTTTGCAATTTTACTACAGTCCGCAAATCGAGATGTAACGTAATATTTATTGTTATTTGTAAACCATAGGCGATAAAAACATTTGTTAAATAACTTTACGCGACTTTATACACTGTAACGCAAATATAAGTGTTAAATACATTGAATTAATAGCCCAATTATAATAAAATTTACTAGAATAATTCGTTATTTCGTAGAAATGTTTTACGAGGAAAACTGTTTACGGCACTTCGATTTCCAATAAATCTAACATAAGTTATCATACAGGTAATGGAGCAGAATTTCAACAAGACAACATTAAATGAAATTATTCTTACGAAAATAATGCAATCAATTACTTTTCCACCAATGAATGTCGTACTCACCATATGAATTTGAACGAATTTTATTATAAGTTAAATTATATGAATATAAGTACAATATAATCATATTATTTATAGGAAAAACTCAAATGAACTAAACTAAGTGTTGGTTAAAGCATGAAATGCTTCATACGAGTGTTGAAAATTTTTACGTTCATTGATTTTTGTATATACTCACATTAAAATAAATGCAAATTAAATATTTTTTTTAATTTACATTAAAACGATGCTTATTTTACCAACAAAAAATGTTTTTACATAAAAGTCTCTTTAAACATTATTTGACACATCTAGCTTCAAAATATGTAGAAGTCTGTTTCTTCGATCTTTTCTTCGAAATATTTTCAAAATATTTGATTACCTATCAATAAAGATAAATAGAACGGAAACTTAAATTATCCATTTTCGTTTAATACCTCTGATACATAAAATTCCAATACTATTTTGTATAATATTTGATAATATTATTATAAAAATAGTATCTCATCTTTGTTGTAAATGAACTACAATTACATATTACACAATTGTAACAATAATGTAGCTAATTTTTAACGAAATCAATCATTCTGCATATTATGTATTAAAGTATGTCAATTATATTTTAAGCTCGATTATGTTAAACAATTTTTTTATATATATCGATTATAATTATTACTTGAAGGGACAATACAAGTGCGTATCAATGGTGAAATTCTAATGCTGATCAAATATGAGATGAAAGTTCCACGCACAGTCAGGGGTTTTACCGATTTAAAAAAATTTGCCAATCAGCGTAAAGCATATTTGGGCCGAACGTGAAAATGTATTTATAGGATTGTTTGATTGGTTGGAAAAGGGCATTACTTAACCCTTAATTGAAATTTGAATGTAATTATCATCTGAGACGCATACTCAAATAATTTGATAATCAACATAACTCGTAATTCCTTCATACAAATATTATCCTCTTATTTCGTGAATCTTATTGACAATGCTCTACCGAAAAGAAATTCATTTCTAAATATTGCTATAAAGAATTTTTTTGCCGACAGTCAGATGGCGCTTAATTGCATTGACAATCATTTGTGTGACTGATATATAAGTTTAGGTTTCGTCTGGTTTGTTGCTTATAGTCCACACATGGCCAGCTCGAAATTTAACGGTTTTTCCAGAACGCACGTGTTTATGGTAATTTATTGCTTTTTCATTATTTCATTACTCCTGATATTCGAGCAACTTTGCCCCATTCCAATCTCTATTTGATTTTCTCGATCTTTCAATGTTGTGTTGTATTCCATGTATTCGCCGAATGCGATTGTTTTTCACACTTAAATGTTCCGATGAACTTATACAATTAAAGTTTGATTACGGGAAACTTGGTTTCATTTGAGAGCTTTAAGCGTTTGGTGCGATTGCGGATTACACGGACTTAGTAATGTCAATGCTTAATCAAATAGAAATTCTATAATGTTATAGACTGTATATTTTGATTATTTAAATTTATGTATACAGTTAAAGAACATTTTTGTGATAGATTTTAGAAAATAATGGCAATTTACATGGTGGTTATATTATAGTTGATTTTATTTGACAAATTCGATAATGTTGCATAGGATTCAAAGTACATAACATATTTCTTCATTGCGATTGAATTAGCTTATAGAAATGTTATCGATTCATGAAAGCTTTTTAATTGTTATTTCATTGAAGCGCTACTGTGCTAAGCTATTGTTGTGTATATTATAATATATAAAAGGTCACATTTCACAACAATGTTTATTCTAATTTGCTCGATATAGAGTGTTAAACTTGTTTAATAATATAATTTTTATACATAGCTCTTATTTCAATATTTCCCATCATTGCATAAAATCTCTATACAATTTAAAATAATATTCTTGTATATCTATTGTTTACAATTATTTTTACATTACAATTTTCAGTAATAATATATAATTAAGATGGCAAAAAGAACGATAATGGAAAATGTCAAAACTAGAGAGGACAAGGTACAAATGAAAAAGCAGCTTGGCTTATTAGAAGGCGTTGCTATTATTTTGGGAATCATTTTTGGTTCAGGTATAGTTTAAAACAATTTATAGTCTATAATTATAAGAATGGATCGTAACTCGATAAAACATAATTAATAATTTTGATATTATTAAATTTATGTTTGAACAGTTTGTATAAATTGAAAGACCTTTGTTTTAGGAATCTTCATTTCTCCAAAAGGAGTAATACAAGAAGTTAAAAGCGTTGGTTTGTCGTTGATTATTTGGGTACTATGTGGTTTATTGTCAATGGTTGGTGCCTTATGTTATGCCGAACTTGGTACCAGTATACCTCGTAGCGGCGGCGATTATGCCTACATTCATGAATCGTTTGGTAATTTAGCAGCTTTCTTATATCTTTGGGCAGCAAATTTAATTTTTGTGTAAGTGTAAAAGTATTTATTTAATAAAAATTTCTAATATAACAAAGAAATAGAAACTTTAAAAATCTAATTTGTCTTTTAGACCTACGACTAATGCAATTATGGCCTTAACTTTCTCGCAATATGTACTTCAGCCCTTTTTTCCTAATTGTGTCATTCCTGATGGTGGAGTTAGATTATTAGCAGCAGCAACAATATGTAAGAAATAATTTTGACGGCATTAAAAAAGCAGCCTTTTAATGAATTAAATTGCAACTGTATTTGTAATTTTGTTTTCTAGGTTTCTTAACATTTGTTAACTGTTATGATGTGAAGGAAACAACTAGAATGCAAAATATCTTTATGTTTGCAAAAATAGCTGCTTTAGTAATTATTATTTTGGCTGGATTAACGTGGTTGTTTATGGGTATGTAATATTATTTGTAAAAGAAATTTTTAATTTAAAAACATCTTATTTAAGATTGGCTACAAATAAATTAGATGATACAATTGAAATTTATTTAAATTGTTTCAATTTTAAAACACTTGTAGGACACACTGAAAATTTTGAAAACGCATTCGAGGATACGAATACAGATCCGGGAAAAATTGCTGTCGCATTTTATTCTGGTATATTTTCTTACTCTGGTTGGAATTACTTGAATTTCATGACTGAAGAGCTAAAAAATCCATATGTGTAATGGAACTTTACTTTCTTAAAAAAAATTTTAATTCGGAATGAACATTTCCTATTTTCATATATTTTTTTAGAAATTTACCACGTGCTATTTATATTTCACTGCCATTGGTAACATTGATTTATGTTTTGGCCAATGTTGCCTATTTAGCAGTTTTAACGCCAGAAGCAATGATAGCTTCGGAAGCAATTGCAGTTGTGAGTACACAAATCATGTACCATAAATTAATTAACATAATGTAATTGGATTGTTTCTCTTAATAGACTTTTGGCGATAAACTTCTTAGTTATATGTCGTGGATAATTCCATTAATGGTTGCAATATCTGCCTTTGGAGGACTGAGTGTTCATATAATGACATCGTCGCGAATGTGTTTTGTTGGTGCGAGAAATGGACACTTTCCTGCTATGCTCAGTCATATAAATATTGAAAGATATACTCCAACACCAGCTTTAGTATTTTTAGTAATAAAAGCATTGATTTTTTAATTTTGATTTTTTTTCTAATTTATTTTTAATAAATAACTAGTATGTAGCAGCAATAAAATAACAGAATTTAAATTTTTTTAGTGTATTTTGTCACTCGTTATGTTATGCACAAGTGATATTTTTGTACTAATAACATATTGCAGTATCGTAGAGTCAACATTTATTATGTTTTCTGTTGCTGGAATTTTGTGGCTCAGATATAAAAAACCAACAATGGAACGACCTATCAAAGTAAATTTAAAGAAGAGAATAAAAACCACCATAACTATTACTACAAACACTATATAATTCATATTACGATTTAAAAATTAATTATATTAATTTTAGGTGTCGTTATGGATTCCTATTACTTTTGTATTGATATGCGCCTTCTTGGTATTGGTACCATGCTATGAAAGGCCTTATGAAGTGGGTATGGGAGTTCTTATTACTTTATCTGGGGTTCCTGCATATTTAGTTGGGGTAGCGTGGAAGAAAAAGCCTCTGAGGTTTCAAAATATAAATGGTAAGTACTTATAACTGGTCTTTCTTTTTTTTAAATAAAATAATTATATGTAAATTTTATTTTTACCTATTAATGTGCATTAATATTTAATGTAAATTTCACTTTTCACGTGATATTTGAATAATATAAAATTTATACAATATATTTATTATACAAATTTATTTTTTGCAATGCAATTATTTAATATCAATTTTTAAATCTCATTGTATTTTTTGTAGCTAAAATAACGCATGTTATTCAAAAGTTATTTATGTCAGCTCGAGAAGAAAGAGATGATTTTTAAAAGGTGTATAATTTCAATATTAGGTAAAATATTGCACTTTCACAGACTGATTAGACATTAAAATTATATCTAATTGGCAAAACGACATAATAGTAAACGTTTTATGAAGATATGTAACTGGTGAAGTATTATAATTTTTATAATATACAATGTAAACAACTTTGAAATTGTACTTGTACAAATTTCACTTATTAACGTCGAAATTATGTTTATTCGCTAATAACATTTTTCATATTACATGTTGAAGGATTTAAGCTTTGAAATTTTGTTTGTAAAAATTTGTATAAAAAAATGGGCACATTAACTGATTATTGGTAAGTTAAAATGACTAAGCATCATAATAAAATATGATTGAAATTTTTTAGAGATTTATACAAAAATTCAATAATTTTTTATTGTTTACCGAAAAAATTATGTTTTCAAAAATATATATCCAAATTTGGCTTTCATATTTTTTATGAATGCATTTAAAAATTTATAGGAAAAAACTTAATTCTATTTCTTGTATCTCGAGCAAATAAAAAAATCATTGCGTGTTTATTTAAATGTTACCGTGTTGTGCCGAGTATTAGTCAATAACTTATTTTTCATTTTAATTATAACATTATTATTTATATTTATGATACATGTTTATTTAAAAAAACGAAAGAAACAATTAAAAAAATTTACTTATTTAATTTATATAAATAATTTTTCGAATTATAAAGATACTTAAACAAAGATGTACTTAAATAATTATTATATAAAGGTTCGTTTGTATACTGAAATTATTTTGTAAATGTAATATTAATTTATGTATAAATATAATTTGTAATAGTTAAATTGATTTGTTATGTTAACAAAAAATTAACAAAATGAATAATGTATAAAAAAAAATTATACATTAAATATTAGATTAGGGAATTCAAAATTATTGTAAGTGTACGAACAGTAATAGTAAACAATTTTTATACCATTTCTATTCAAAGTATAAATATAAGTGATATAAATAGTTCGTGTACAATACAATTTGATAAATATATCTGATAAAATGTAAATCTTGCAAGTACTCAGAATTTAGATTTGTTTATTTAAACTCACATAAATTTATAAATTTTTTTACACTTCCTTATTGAGATTTAAAAGTACTGATATTACTTAATATTAGCTCCATTTATTCAGTTTTGTACATTAAAATTATCATTTTGGATTATTATACTTTTTTCAATTTTTTATACTTTTTTATTTACAGTATAAGCCAATAATTATATATTACATATCAATTATTGTAATTTTTTATATCTCAATAATTTAATGTAATAACTCATAAACAAATGTTAAATTATTTATTGTTTATTGTAGACAACTTAATTATATTTTATGCATTTCAAATTTTTTCAACAATAAATTGATTAAAAAACTAATACGTTACTCATGTAGCTATTTTTTTTATAAATTCAATGGATATATCATAATACATATTAAATAGAGCACGTCTAATTCTTTATATTAGTTTAAAAATTTGACAGTTAACCTTTTGATTAATGATAATATAATAGTGATATAATCAACATATCTATTAAGACTTGTCTCAAAAACTTTGAAATATTCTAAAAAATATTTTTTACGTTTTAAAATTTAAAATAATTTTAAATTCTTAAAAATTTGTAATACAACGATATTTAAACATTTTCATATTGTACAATAAAACGTTATAGTCATTTCAATACAAATATATTAATTAATATACATTAATATTTCATGTCATTTTTATATTTTTGAAATTGAACTCATAACACAACACTTTCTAATTTTAAGAAATATATTTTTGCATTTGTATTATAAAATTTATAGTAACGGAAAATTATATTTTATAATAAACTTTTGTGTTAAGCATTTTGTACTATTTATTATACTATTTATTTAATTTAAATTATTCAATAAAAACTTAATAATATTTTCTTTCCCTTGAATATAATAAATCACATTTAATGTAATTTTTTTCTAAGTAATAAATTAAATGTAAAATATTCACATGATTCAATTTTTAATTTAAATAAATATACAATTCAATTACTTTTCATACATTTCAAGCATTTCAAATCCAGTGAATTTCCTAACTAGAACAATGAGTTAAAAAAGAAGCCAAGTGCTTATTTTATACTATTATCTTCTATAAAATAATTTCAGAATATTTAAAAAGTATTGAATGTATTTTTTGGAAATGAATTTATGGAATTTTGTAATAAAAAATATTTTCGAAATAATTATATTAAAAATATAAGTATAAACATACTGCTATACATAATAGATGAAATAATATCATAAATGAATTAAAACATAAATTCATATCTTAAAAATTAAAAATATACAAAAATGTTAAGAAATATAAATAAAAAATTTTCAAATAAATTTTAAAACTGCCCCTATAATTTATTTCATTTACAAATTATCATTTATAATTAGTTAATTAATTAATTATGTGATACAATCTTTTTGTAAATAATTTGATAATAAAAACACTGAAATAAAAGTATTGTAAATTATTCTTTTTTTTTTCTTCATTTCCATACTGAATATAATAAATCTTTTATTACATAAATGACTTTTTAATGGTACATTTGTATTACAAATTGTAAAAGTCTTAAAAATCATTAGATATAAACAGTTATATTAATTTTTATTATTTGAACTCTAGACAATAAAAATCTTGATAAATTATAATTCGTTTATTGTAATACAATTTAATGTACATACGTTTAAATTAAATTATAGATGATTTTAATATAATTTGTTTTTTCTCTTAAGAAATGTTATCAGAAATCAAATATACCAATTATAGAGTTAAAACTATGATTAATAAACAACAACATAATATAGTAAAACTTAAAAGATTACAAATAAAAGCTGAATAAGTTAAAAGTATATTCATTTATAATTTATATTTTATTTATATTATTATTTGTACACAGTTCATTAATAAGCATATTTAGTCACAAGTAAATATAAGGAAGATCTAAGAACGTAAAAAAAATACATTCATAATAATTTAAAAAATATTTTTACTCTCCATGTATGTAAAACTTCACATAATTTTCTTGATTAAAGTAATATCAATTTAATAACATTTTATATTGTGAAAAAGTGTCATATAAATTTCAAATTTTAATATTTTGTTTTTATTGGAATAATTTATTTATAATTCAATTTGCAACACAAATATAAGAATATAATAACATAATTTTTTTTAATCTAGCTCGTTCTTTTCAACACCTTTTTCAAAATTTTATCATTCGAATGCATAAAATTTTTGGTGGAATGTGGTATACATATAGTACATGTAATACTGTACACTAATTAAAAACAATAATTATACCAATAAATATTTCGTTTGAATTTTCTTCTAATTTACAAGAGTTGGTACGATTTTACAATTATTTGTAGGAAATAGTAATTAGTGAATATCTTCAGGATTGAACATTCCCTAAAAATTTATAAATATAAATATAATAACATTTTTAATCGATATCATTAAAAAATATATATATAAGAAAATTATTTTTTAACTATTTCAAAATATTTATTTTGGATATAATTTCACAATGAGCATCATCGCTTAATTATGATTTGAATATAATATTTGATATTTCAATGCAAAATTAAAAACTATACTATATTAATCTTATTAGTTCCATTCTATTTCATAAAACACATTATAAAATATTTATTTTTATGATATGTAATTAAGTTGAAAATATGGAATATAAATTACCTTTGCACGTCTTAAAATAGAATCTTTACTTGCATCATATGGATGATCTTTACTTGGAATTTCTAATACTGATGGAATAGGTTGGGTATGACTATCTATCACATGCCGAATCATTTCTGCAATCTAAACCAGACAAAATAATATATAATTAAAAACATCTATCTACATATATATATATATATATATATATATGTTACATGTCATGTTAAATTTTCTAATATAATGCATTACAGGCTTTATGCTATTGTTATATAGAATTTAGAATATTGCAAAAAAATAAGAATAAAATAGATAATTTTAATTAAACAGAAACTTAAAAAGATATCATAAACATATTTTACTTAATAGAATTTAAAGCTTACATTTTGATTTATAAGGATAATATCAATGTCATCACGTTTAATAAATCTTTTAAAAGTTTCTTCTATATCACCAACTGCCGTGTCTAAAATAAAATATTATTAAGATATAACGACTAATGTAAAAACTACGGTATTTGCATTAACTTTTTTTATATAAACTAACTTTTGTCAACAACCATAAAATTTGCATGACGATGTTTATTTATTTCTCCAACACCTCCTAAAAGAAATCCAACACAAGTATCCTGCAAGTTAAAATTAATTCTATTTAACTTAAAATTTATGAAAAAATAAGAAATATAGATCGAGGTACATGGCAAAAAATAATTTTAATGACATACAAATAAAGATTGTTTATTCCTTCTCACCTCATCGCCAATTACAGCTAAAAGTTTTCCCTTGGTTTGTTATTAGCAATTGTGTTGACGCCCCAAAATTGATTTTTATTTAATAAACGTATCCACTTCCTAACAGATCTTGTGATTCTTTTAATGTAGATCAGCTGACTCGTTCGTCACGCCTAATCTAAAGGCTTATTTTCTATATGTCTAACATAAAGGTAAGTTTTTAATAGAAAATGTAGGTTAAGTTTAAGTAAATCATGAAGCTGACATTAAACATAAAGTTAAAGAGGCTTCTACTTTTAATTATATTTTTATAAGCAATTTTGAAATAATGATTTTAGATATAATTCCATATTACTGATTAATTCTCATTTTAAACTGGCAAAAATAGAATACATTATTTGTTAAAGTAGTAGTAATAGTAGAACAACATTAATTTGTATTTAAAATGTATATATTATAATAAATATTTTACAATATAAACTGTTGTGATATATATTGAATTTAAAAATCTAAGAGTTTGAACACTGAAAAGACTGAAAGAGATAACACTGAGACAAATATTTCCATCAAATCAACCACAGCATTTATAAATTTAAACAATTAAAAATAAATAATAATATATCATTCAAATATAATAATATAATCTCCATGATACTTGTTTTATTATATTATATTTATATTATATTATAATTATATTCTCATAATATCAATTTATACTTTATAAATCAATTTATAAAAAGTCACTTTAAGCTCTTTCATCTAATTTCATAACTATTATTTATCGATAACTAATTATCCAATATTGTATTAATAGTTGAGTCTGGTTTATTTTTACGAATTATGTACAAATGATTAATTGAATTATACGTCGAAAGTGTTTTATTATTTATATTATCGTGTATTGTCTTTATAATAAATTTGCAGTGCATTTTATGTATTATTCCGATATCGTGAAAAACTTACAATGATTTTCAATTTAAATTTATTTACGCATCACTACTCGATAAAGGCGATTGTTCTGCATTTCTTTTTCTCATAAAATTTAATTATAAAATCGAAAAATATATTCATATTTTTAGAAAAAATTCAAATATCCAATCGAATAATTCAATTTATAATATTAATATATAGGTAATTCGTTGCTAATGGTAATATAATCGACACAATCTTTTATTTATTGAAATTATCATTATCATTTATTTTTAATAATGCATATAATTAATTATTCTTCTTTCAATAAAATTAATTTAACAATCTCTTATCTACATCGACAATCTTAAATTAAGCCAAACAAAATGCTTCTAGCAAGATATCACGCTTGCAATTAATTATTATCGCATTTACTTAATCTATTTTTAAAGGTGCCAGTGTATGAAATAGAATTGTAAACATTTTATCAATACTCAATATTTAAAGATAATAAAAGAATAATAATCATAATAATAAATTATCCGATTAAGAAGTAAATATTCATGGTAACATTTATTTGATGTGTAGAAAACAATTGAAATTCGTTTCATGAAAATTTATATAATGAACTTAATAAATAATTGAAAAGAAATGAGAAAGTAAGGAAAACAAGATGATACCTTCATGACTTTTTCCTTGTTCACCCCGCTTAAAATATAACTTTGTTTATAAAAATTGATAAACTACAAGAAAATATTGTAATAATTAAAATATGCAATATACAAGTTAATTAATCTTTCTTTTATTAATGTGAACTTATTCATACATACGCATGCCAACCCATATATAAATTATGTTTATATATGCATAATAAATTTCTAGTCACGTGTTTCTTTATGGTATTCCACCCCATTATAAATCTTCAATAATTGTCGTTTAAAAGTATATTTTATGTAGTAATATTATATAGTTATTTTATGTAGTACTTGAAGTATATAAATTAATCGTCTTTTATAGAATTCCGTTGATATCATAAAGTTATAATATTATTTAAAATTCATTATCATTAATATAATCTTTAAATAATACTCAAATACCGTCTCAAATATTCAAATAATGAAAATTACTTGCTAATCTGTTTAAAAGATACAAAATTACAAAACCAGTTCATTATTTTGCAAAATTTAAATAGTACTAAGTTTTGAAATATTATTTAATAATCTCATAATAAGTTCTTTAATTTATAAACATGATTCAAAATTATATAACCAGAAGTCAAAATGGTATGTATTTATCCATTCACATTCTATTGATATTTAGATATCTAATTTGGTTTATTAAATTTATCAAATAACATTCATTTACTTCATTTATTAATGTCAATTTTAATATTATTTGTATTTTATTAACAAACTCTGTATTTTACAGATATGAATTTTGAAGAAGCAATAATCTTTCATATTATAAAATGCAATTATAAGATACTTAATTACTCATTTAAAATTACATGTAATAAAAGTAAAGAGAAATCCATTAAAATTAGGAGTGCAGGAAATTCATTGTTTATAAAGAAAAAGCATGAAAGAAATGATCATGAACTAATTTGGGAACTTTATACTTTAAGTATAGCTATAGCTGAAATTGATTCAGAGGAACTTGCATGTGGTTATGCAAATAGATCTGCAATATTAAAACATTTTGGAAAATATAAAGAATGTATGAAGGATATTGACAATGCACTAAAAATTACTACATCAAATGCATTAAGAGTGAAATTATTATGCCGTAAAAGCAGGTGTTCTTTAATTTTACAAAATGGTTTGTATTAATTAAAAAATTTGATTATCTTATATCCTATATTTTAAACTTAATTCAAAATTATTGAAATTAAATTATTAACTTGAACAATTAATACATTTTACTTTACTTTTATAATATACGTATTTTCTTTCTTATTGTATTCATGTTTTATTTAATTTTTATTAGATAAACAGAGAAATTTTTTAGAAAAAGCTAAATATTGGTTTAATAAAATTGATGGAATGGAACAGAATAAATTAGCAAAATTAATTGAAAGTACAGAAGAAACTTTAAATAAAGAAATACATCCTGTTCTGAAGCCAAAAAAGAAATATAAAGTTCAATGTGCCAATGATACATTTAGTGTAAGTTATTTAGAAAAATTTGGTAAATGTCTAATTGCTTCACGTGACATTAAACCTGGAGAGTTTATTTTTATGGAAAATTCTTATGTGGTAGCCCATAAAAAAAGTAAAACATATGCCTATTGTAGCCACTGCTTATCTATTACATGGACTGCTATTCCATGTAATAATTGTTATTTTTACATGTATTGTAGTGAAGATTGTAAAAGTATAGCTTGGCAAAAATACCATTATATAGAATGTTTTTTAAATATGCCTGTTTATTTTCCAAAAAGTTATTTAATTCATCTTAGTATGAAATCTCTTATATTAGCACTTAATGAAGTTGGTGGTATTAATAATTTAAAACATGTGGTTAATAATATTAATAAAAATGGAGGTAAATTTTTTAATTCTTATGTTTGAAACTTTATGATCATATTTTATAATTAGTTGAAATTAAAATTACATGTCATTAGATAATAATTATGAAATATTTTATTTCAGATAAGAAAGTCACAGATTTTGTAAATAATAAAAATATTGACCACTTCAGTTTTTTATACTATTTTAGTTTAGATTATTCACTAATGAATTCAATAGATGAATTTGATCTATTGATAAATTATGCCCATACCTGTATTTTAGCTACTGTACATTTATTCCAAACTACAGAATGCAAAAAACTTTTTAATGGAAATAATCAGTACTTTACTGATGAGTCACTACGAAATAAATATACATGTTTTATTGGATCATTACTTTTAAAACTCGTATTAATATATAAACAAAATTCTTTTCTTGTGAGTATACTAGATTACTAAGTATTTTTATGATTGAAATAACAAGCTTGTGTATTTCAGTTTAATCAAATATTAAAAAATTAAAAACTGAAAAATTCTATTTTATGAATTATTAAACTTTTCTGTAGGTATCAGATTATAATAAGTATTGTAGGCATAGACATCATCCATTCAACTGCCCATGTGTGAGAGGAGCATGTATGACACCATTTTGTAGTTTTATTAATCATAGTTGTAATAGTAATATAGATAGATTTATTGACAATAATGGAAAAATATTCTATTACGCTCTGCATCCAATAAAAAAGAATTCACAGGTATAATATAATAATACAGTATACTTATAATAAATTAGTACATTTATTTGATTTTCTTATTTACATATTTTTTTAGTTGTTAATTAACTACCACCTAAATTATTATGAAGAGGAAAAGGTCATTAGACAACGAAATCTTCTACATATATTTGGATTTATATGTAATTGTATACCGTGTGAAAATAATTGGAATTGTAGAAATGATACATTTCTAGAAATATATAATGTGAATATACATAAGTAGTTTAAATATATATTAAAAAATCAAATAATTTTGCTGATTAAATTGTAGATAAAATTATTTGATAAAAAATATTAGATCAAATTTAAATATTTCTTACAAAACATCGCTCATAAATATTGCCTATTTTAATTTAAATTTAATTTTTTTAGAAAAAATTCAAATTTTCAATTAAATATAATGTTTGTTAAATGTTTTATTTACAGAAGTGTCGTCAAAAATCTACTAAGTTAAATTTATTATTTTTTAAAAATCTCGAATTTATACAAAATCTTTATTCTCATCGTAAAGAATGTAGTGAAAAGGAATTCCTTGCTTTTAAAAAGGATATAGATATATTATTTAAGAAAATAATTCAACCAAATGATGCTATTATTATTATAGTTCAAGCTCTTAAAATGTTGATACATAAATATTATGGCAATAAAATTAAAATATCCAAAAAATGTAAATATGAATGCTAATTTTATGTATATTTGAATAAAATTTATTATTAATTTTTTATTTAAAATTATTTTAGTTTACATATATATATATATATATATATATTAGAAATTGCAAATATTGCAATGAAAGCAATTAAATATTTATTCATAAAAAAATACTGCTGAGCAAAACCTGTCACTATTTTATATAGTTACCTGTTCATTAATTTCTTTCGGTATTACATCAGTTTGTTAAGCAATCAAATAACTACTTTTTACATTTCAAATAGATTATTAAGTTATATGTTTTTTAATTATTTTAAAATATTTTGAAAAACGCTTCTAGACCAACACATTTTATTTATTTTTTAAATACTTGAAATAATGTATGATAGCATAAAGACAAAATACTAATAAATATCATGATAATCAAAAGATTTATAAAAAGTATTTGTTATATTTATATATATTTATGAAGTCGAATATTCCTCAGTCATAACTTGATAAATGAAAAAAAAACATCTAAAACTTGAAAAATTACACTTTATAATTAAAAATAAATATTCACTAAAATATTATTTGAATTAATGACTTGGGCATGAAATTAAAAATGAGTTTTCAATTTTTAATATTACACTGTTCAATAATGACGGACGTGTGCTTAATGTACTATTGAATTTCAACTTATTCACTTTTTGTTTTTTATACTATTAAAAATGTAAATATTTTAAAATTGTTCCAGCAAGTAAATAACATTAATTTGACCGACTTATTGACATTTTAATCGTTGAAGATCAATAATCATTTAAGGGAAATTAATTTTCAAATTTCAAAAAACTTAAAAATATTTTTCCATTATGAGACGGATATATATTTGAAGTCTTCCATCATTTTGAATTTATCACAAGCACGAAGCTTAACAAAGGTTATTAATGACTTACGCATGTGCAGTATTTTGTATGAACATTTTGAGGTTAAAATATAGCATTTTTTCCAATATTGGAACAACGCTAGATTCTTGCCAATTTTTTTGTAGTAGGGAAGATTAAGATTGGATTAAGATTTTCTTTTAAAGTTCTATAATAATTTATAAAAAAATAAGAGAAAAGAGAGTTTAATTAGATATGCATGTTTGAAAATTCTCATCAGTAGACTTTATTATTTAATGAAAAAATTACGATGGGGAAAATTAAATTGGGTTGAACATTCTCATATACTTGATTTTATCTGATTAATATTTTGGTGGTGGCAGGGTTGTATAAAATATATTTTGTACTTTATGTGATTAAAATAGTTACTTTTTAATTCGTACTTTCTAATAATTATACAATAAAGTATATTCAGTATAATCTCAACAATTAATATAGCTCACTTAAAGCCTTATCTTGATATTTTGTTTTTATTTTAATTTTGATAAGAGAAATTTATGTATTTCTTAGAGGTTATCTAAGTGATATTTATTTTTTATTAATAAAATAAAAGAAGTAAATTGTTTACAATATAAAGTAAGTTTCAATTTTTATAATATACTAATTTCCTTATCATTAAATTTATTGCTAAACTCCTTTGTTTTTCATGAGATATATTTTATTATTAATAATGTTTAATATTTTTTGTAAGGTTATTGAATTATATAAAATATCAAAAGATTGTAATTAAATTTTAACAATGGATAATGGACTTTATAGAAATATGATCATTTCTGAACTTAGTAATGTAAAATCTGATTTTGTCAAGACAATGAATCTTGAATGTGTCGCAAAAAATTCAAAACTTTCTTCTAGTAAAAGGAAGGATGGTAATGCACTATACTATAAACTGAAATTTTTGGAAAAAGCATTTAAGAATTATACAGAAAGCATAGCGTTGGCTCCAATTGATTCAGAAGAGCTTGCATTTGCTTATGGTAATAGATCAGCTTTGCTAAAATTTCAAAAGAAATATAATGAAAGTATTTTGGATATTGATAGAGCACTTGCAATAAATAAAACTGATAATTCACACAAATTAAAGCTTCTGTATCGCAAACTTCATTGTCTTGAAGCACAATATTCGCTTAATAATGATAAAACATACAATGAAATTGTGAATTTAATTAAAATTATAGATGGAAACAGTTTTAATATTAATATTTTATACAAAGTAAAGGATATGTTAAATAATCTTAGCAAAACTAATCTTGAGAAGGTGCAAGAAATACCTGAACATATACAAATTTTATCTATTAAAGAAGATCAAAATCCTTTTGATTTTGTAAAAATTCAATATAATAAAAAATTTGGCAGGTGCCTGGTGTCCACTTGTGACTTTAAACCTGGAGACATTATATTTGTAGAGAAAGCTTATTTAAAACTTTTTGAACAAGTTAAGTTTGTAAATTATTGTGGCCATTGCTTCTCGAAGTCATGGACAAATATACCATGTGACTATTGTAATTGGTGCATGTTTTGTTCTGAAGAATGTAAAAATTTGGCTTGGAAGAATTATCATGATATCGAATGTATAACTATTTCACATTTGCTAAATTATCATAAAATTAATAATTCTGATTTCCTTAGTTTGAGAAGTTTACTTATAAGAATAAAGGAATTAGGTGGTATAGAAAATTTTAAAGCTGATAATTTAGAGTTTGTTGATGTATCTATAGGTAATAAATTGATTTTACCCATTTTAATAAATTGATTTCAATAGAATACCATGTCTAGTCAGATTAGAAAAAATCTAATTTTTGAAAAAATTGAAACTTATAAATTTATAAAATAAATATATCATATAATATATCTAAAAGCAAAATACTGTAAAAATAAATTTCAAAATATGACTGAATTTTTTTGAATTATGGCAAGACATGAGTTTATTTAATATCATTAATAATAGAAGTTTTATTAATAGAAAATTAATACAGTACTTTATTTAATATCATTAATAGAAAATAATGTTATTACTGTAATGATCATATGATCATTTATTAATCACTACCTTAAATCGTAATCAAAATTCTATTATATTTATTAACAATTACTTGAAATTTATCAATACAATATATTTCAGATAATAACAGATGCATGCAAGAAGCAAAATATAATTTTTTAAAATCACAAATAGTTAAACCAGTAGATAATTCTTATAATACAGTTAAAAATAAATTTTTGACTGACTATGCTATTACAGCTGTTAAAATGTTAATTATTTTAACAAAAACAACATCACTCTTTAAAGAAAGTGGGGTAAACAAATTCAGTAGTATTAATGACTTACAAACAAATCAAGATATTTTATTTATTGGCTCAGTATTTCTAAAACTTAGAATAATAAGTGAACACAGTACTCACATAGTAAGATAATATAGTTTTAATTTTTCCTTAATTAATTATGATTCCATATATTTATAATTAAAACTTATTATTTTGTAGATTCATAATGAAAAATCTGTTAATAAATTATCGAAAGACTATATGATTTGCAAAGCAGCTAATTGTTCTTTACAAGGAGCTTATATACCTTCAATAAGTTCCTCAATTCTTCAAAGTCATAATCCAAATACAAAAATATGCATAACAGGCAGTCAACAATTAATTGTTCTTGCATTACAGTCTATTCATCAAAATTCTCCTGTATGTATAATGAATTTCAAATAATAATTCATTATTATTTTTGACAAATATTGATTTTCACATCTTCTGAAATGTTTTAGTTATTTGTGTCATGTAATCCTTGGCTTATTCACCCTTTCGAAGATAATTCAATTTTAGAAAACACAAAATCAACCTGTTGTGAGGATTGCACACAAAAGTGGTCTAATTTGCTTCAACTATATAAAATGCCAACGGTAAAATTTAATAAAAATTGGTTTTACAATGTTTTTATAGTTTATTAATAACTAAACAAAACTTTTAAAATTTATTTATTCTTAGAAAGCAAACTTTTTAAAATAAAAGTTAGCCAAAGTAATGTTTATAAATATAACATTTTTAAAGTTTATAAAAATTCGATATTTTATTGATTTTTTAAATATTTAATTTTTGTTTACAAGAAGCTTGTACACTACCAATAAGTTCCTCAATTCTTCATAGTTGCAACACAAATATTTGATATTTTATTGATTGAGTTCTTCTGAAGTTGATGTATCTGATTAATTAAAAAAGTAAATAGATTTTATTTTTAAATATATATCTAATTTCTTTAAACTAGAATCGACTAATTGTTTATCAAATTTGTCGTAAATGAATAAAAAAATGCAGAAGTACTAAATTTTTTGAGAAATAAGACTTTTTATTCACAATATTAGAAATATTAATTTAAAATTTAAATATAAATTTATTATATACAAATCAAATGTAATCATAATGCTAGCTTACCTCCTTTTCAGAGTTCCTTTTATTAATGTAGCAAATTAAATTTAATATATTCAGAAATGTTTAAAAAAAGATTGAAATTATTGCACATAAATTATTTAACATGACATACTTTACATTTGTTATCGGTTACAAGAACTTATATGCAATTATTTCAATCATTGATTTATTTACTTATTTAAGTAATATTTTTTTAAATAAATACAAAAGTTACATGAATTGAGGTATATTTATGCTTTAAAAGCTTACTATTTTATAATATATGGAATGCACATATATAATTAAAATTTCTCAACAGGAAAAGCCATTTTTATATGCATCAACCTACAATCAAAAAGAATCAGATTTGTATGATGAAAATGATATGTTGGTGAGTCCGATTTTGAACGGCAAGAAGCAGCAATTTAATCAGTCAACAATAAGACGCTTATCTAAAGCCATAGATGAGGCTTCAAAATATTTAAATCAACCATCAGTTGTTATTTATGAATTACTAATATCTTTGAGCATAGTATTTAATAGGCTTTATGGTACAGAAAGAATATTTTAATGTAGTTAACTGTTATTCATATAGTTTCTAATTTTTGTCTTTTCAAATAATTGAATGACTTTTACGCGTTATTTATGAAATTGTGCCTAATAAGTTATAAGATAAACTGTTTATTCAAAGTTTTGTATATTGTTATAAGTTAATTTTCTAAAAAATTTATTACCATCATAATAGTGTACGATTTTATAAAAATAAATACATAAGATAAATAATTTGATATAATATTTAATATTATTTTTAAATAAACTCGATTGTTTGTAGTTATATTTCTTAATCTACCATACATTTTTCATTGTCTACTGTAGCTATAAATTAATATTTTGAAACATAACATAAATCTTTTTTATATTATTATATACAAAAGTATTAATAATGATATTTTGAGAATTATTTCCATTTAATATTTGTTAAGATTTTAAAAAATAAATTTTCAAGCACACCAGAATAGTAAGGTATAATACAGTAGACTTTTATTAGTTTTTAATGAATGTATTTTCATTTCATATTCAGAATTTGAATTATATAACGATTATAAATGAAAAGTTTTTGATATATCTATTATAAAATTATAAACTGTATGAGTCTTTTTAGTTGTATAATTTATATTATGATACATGTTTATTACATAACTAATGTGATAACTATTAATAGGTAAGTACAAAGATATATATCTTAAAATTATTATAATAAATATCAGGTATTTTATATTGCGTATCAAATTATTTTTAATTTAATTAAACAAAGTTAAACGATAAAAAAAGTTAATCATCTGCATTAAAAGAACTATAAATAAAATATATAAAGAAAATGAATTTTCGAATAAATAATATTTAAACTCATTGTTATGTTAAATAACTTTGATGGTATAGAAAAGTAATTATAAATGAATAAAATTTTATAAATAAAAAGCTTGTAGTTGTTATATTATTGTCTTCAATGTTACATTGAATTTCTATATTTATGCTTTATTTATGTATGTAATTATGCAACTTGTTTCAATAATTTAAAGCAATAATTAATTGTATTAGAATAATATTTTTTTCTGTATTTAAAAATAGCAGCAATGATCACTTATTATCTATGCTTTTAATTATTGATTATATTTTGTAACAATTTTGTGTGATTATTTAGCAATTTTTTTTATCACTGGCCGTACAAAAATTGGATAACTTAATTTAGTTTGCGTGTATAGTAGAATATTTTTCCATGGTATTTAAAAAAACTGTAGCATAATTTTTTATGTAATATTTTTTATATAATATTTTATGTAATAATTGTAAATCGCGCTAATCTATGAAAGCTTTAGCTAGTTCACTTTAACTTAATTAGCTATTTTCTTGATTCTCAAAATATTTTCAAATATGTTTGGAGGTATGCTTCAATAATTTATATTTTCTTTAATTCTTAAAATTTTTATAATATTTACATAAACAGAATTACGTAATAATTACTAATACAGTTAATATAATGTATACGGATTTGACAAAAATTTTGTCATTATCACATTTTATTAATGGAATTGCCCTGTCGTAAATGTAATGAGCAACTTTCATACGACTTTTTATTTTAAATTTTTAATTTCTATTAAAAATTAATTTTCATTTAGAATAAAGATTCTTATTTGTATACAGTTAAACTATCTACTCATACATCATTATTTTTAATATATATTGCTTTATAAAAATAATGTCGAGTAAAAAATTTTCTTTTTGGAATTTCAATTTAATTTAATTGAAGTTGTAGATCAGTTTAGACAAATAATTCAACATTTATATATATATATATATATATATATATATATGATTTATAAATTTTATAACTGAAAATATTGCCAAAAATTCATAAACGCCTTTTTTGGTTACAATTATTTATTTGATATTTAAAATATGAGTATCTAAATATTTCGAATTCAAGATTTCATATATATCTTTTGAAAAGAAATAATATAATCTTATGAATATAATTTTATGCTTACGTACGAATTATCAAACAAAATATTATATACAACTGATTTTAAAGTACAAATATTCTGTTTTTCTGGAACGAAAATGATCGCGATGCCAATGATTTAAAACGGAATAAATTTTGTATATAAAAGAGCTTTAGATGATTAAGATTTATGGCAGCAAATAAGGGTAATTTCTTTTTCAATAAATGAAAGCAATATGCACAACGATAAATGTACATTTTGAATTTATAAGAGTAACTGGATTTCTTATATTTTCGGTATCATTCACGAAATCGGTCAAACTTTATCAATAATCTAACGAATTAATATCTTTATTTCATTAATTAGATGAATAATAATAATAATAATAATCATGAAAACAATAATAATAATAATAACAATAATGAAAATAATATTGGTAATCTAGTGTTTACCAATTGCTTATAATTATTGGTAGAATAAATTTATAATTATTCCTTGTATAATGCTAATTAAAAGCGTTATAATAATTGTACTTTGAGTAAATCAATTACTCGGTACAAAAATAGGAACTGGTAATACATTAAGGACACTCGAATCTTTTCGATTTCTTGTAATTGAAATCCCATCAATCGAGTCGTAAGTTTCAAACGTAACGATGGGCACTTGCAATTTATCAGCCACTGTTCGATCCATTGGATAATGAAAAGACGTAAACAAGCTTCGAGCGCAGATCTCTGCGAATGTCTTCCCAACCCTCCTACACATATCCATTACGCACTTATTCAACGTCTCATTCGACTGAAAATTTAAATATCGGTGGAGTGGCGGCAGATACGTAAGTAACTCTTGGATTAGCCCGGGAATATCCGAGAATAATCGGACAGCGTTGAGATCTTGAGGCCGCGACTCGTAACGCTCAGCCAGGTAACCGGGTAAGCAAAGGAGAGGAACATCGGCTAATCATTATCAGCATCCCTCCCCACGCAGCCGCGAGCTCTCCTTCGAGGCGTGGGCCCGCATGTGGAGGGTCAGGGCACCTCGATGACAAAAGCCCTTATCGCATACCGCGCAACGACTCAGTTTCGTCCCCTCTCCCATCGTGTGTACTACGAAGTGTGTCTTCAGGTGAGCCGTCGTGCGGAACTTTTTACTGCATTGGCTGCAGCATATCCTTTTTTCTCTCTCCCAGCTCGACAGCACCTTCTGCTCACGCTTTAAAAATTACAATTTCATCTCTCGTTTTGCCTACATTCCTTTTATTGAGTCCCCGATTTTCGCTTCGATCTAAACAACCCGGCAGCGTACAGATTATTAAATCCCGGCATCTCGCTCATATATTGCACGTGGACAACGTCTTATTAAATTAACGCATAAATGACTCTAATGTCCCGTAAAAATAGTATTCGCAACAGCTGATGGTCGGGAGCAATATTTTAAGCCGCGAATAACATGCGATAATGGATTTCATACATTTCAATGATAATTATTTACGAACGATAAATCCAAAAGGCCCTGTCGATCCTATAATGAATACGAATTAATCTTTAAATAACTAATTAACTTCTAGTAATATTAATATTTTTATTGTCACCTAATGTCCGAATTCTTGGTTGAGCAAGATACCGGATAAAAGCATACGATGGGGCGTACAAGAGACTATATATTTATTGAATAGCCAATTAATTAGAGACGGTTGGTTGTGAAGGGAGCAGAGTAAAAATTTATAATGGCATTGCACGGGCAGCCCTGAGCAAACTAACGATTCAATGAAATATCTAAAACTTGATGATGAAAATTTATAGGTAACGTTAAAACACAAAAAAAGATAAAAGAAAAATAAATAGATAAAGGAATGGCCAAGAGGGCCTTCGAGAATAACACGATCACCGTGGTTGCTTTGAAAATTAACGGCGATGAACAAACGCCATACCTTTCGCCTTCTGCGAGGTGCGGAACCGATCACTGGGGTCATCGCCATCTCCTCGGCAATGGACGAGGCAATAGTTATTCTTGGATGCGTGCTCAAGGTATCGAACTCGAAGAAGCCATTGAAGCCGTCGGACTGAACGACGGAAAATGCCGAACCATCGAGTCCCTCGCGATATACCTTGTATACGTCCGGGTTACAGTATCGGCTGTGTTCGTTATCCAAGTCGACAACGGTCGAAGCCGGCGAGGAGCCGCTCTCGGCGGAACTTCCAGTCGACAGATTCCCCAACTGTTGGAAATCGGACATCTGCGTCTGCGGCTACGGATATTTAAAATAGTGATCATTCGAGATAGTGAGAATTTGAGAGAATAATAGTGACGTAATGCTGATGGAACACATCTTGTATCGCGCGAGCGTTTCGTTTTAATTTTCGAAGATTATTCGAAGATAGAACGAGTAAGGAACGTCTTTTCGATCAATGACAGTCTTATTATTTGCTTGTTTAAGCAAATAAATACCGATCTAAAGTATATTTATAAAATATAGCGTGTATGGAAAGGATGTCGTATGGCATGCATTAGTTTAAATGTTCTTAATAGCGAGTATTATTATTATTATATTATTATCTGCTTTCAAAAAACATTGAAAAATTGAACGAAAAAACATTGAACGAAAAAAGTTTTACAACCGTATTAATAATAATTTTCAATTATTTGTCTGAAGTTTGTAAGTTTTTCATTAAACATAACAAATTGAGGTGATGTGCAAAAAAAAACAAAGTTCGTATACTCGTATGGAAATTGTTGTATAGTTTAATTCTATATATATATATATATATTTATTTGCAGTAGTAGAATGTGTGTTAATTACCGTGTGCGAAGCGCCCAAGGGATCGTAAAAATTTTGTAGACTAATGATTACGGGCGCGGAGGAGTCGGCGGTCGCCAACTCAACTATTTGACTGCTATCATAATTGAAGAACTCGAAGCTGTTCTCGTTATTATTGTTATTGTTTTCCTTCTCCATAGTCTTAATGGCCGTAGTGCTTTCCATAACATTGTTGATCATTCCCTCGATCAGATTTGCGTATTCGTAATTGTTGTTATTATTGCTGGCGTGATTGTTGTCGTTGTTGCTATCGTCATTATCACTTATGAGCTTTTGAGTCTCCATTAAAGATAATTCATCGCTCTTAATGGCATTCGACGTATCTGATGAGGCGAGTTGATCAGCATTGACAATTATTGGCTGTTGTTGAAAGATTGAATTCCCTGATTAAAAAATTTTATTTTATATATGAAAAAACATTGCGATTTCATATGTATATAAATATAGCCTTTTATCGGAGTCTCGTAATTATGCTCGTGAAAAACTCTATGATTCGTCAATCGTATGCGATATATATAAAAGTATATAAAAAAAAATTTTCGTTAAAGCATGTGAATATAAAAAAAAAATTGTTTGTACAAATTGCCGTAGAAATTTATATTTTCAAATGTACATAAAGTATCAAATGTACATAAATCTTATGTACATAAAGGCCAATGTGTCCACCCAAATATAAATTAATTTTTATGTAGAAATTTGTAATAGTGTCTGAACAAAAATAATAACAATAATATTCTCCAGAGATTATTTAATTTTATATAATTAAAATTTTTTTATTTATTATAAATTATAAATTTATTTATTATAAATTAATTTTTTCATGAGAATAAATAATTTCATTTGATTGTTAAACTCAATTAGACACGGGAGTGTCATATTAATTATGCTTATTATTATTATACTCATATCGATAAAAAATGAAAAGTTAAGAAGCTGCGTGGCGATATGGAGGATCGCGTACAAGCTTGTGCTCACCGGTGTCGGGGCCTTGTCCCAGTGGATAGTCCCGGCCGATCATGGCAAGGTCTACGACAAGGCGCTCCTCTGCTCTGCTGGTGTTCGTCCTGCTCGCGTAGTCGACGATCTCGCAGCCGCCCATGACGCTTCGCAAGATGATGGTGTACACCGGCTGCAGGCCACCGAGACTCGCATGTAGCGGTGGCAGAGGACAGGAGCCCCGCGGGAGTTTCCTCGAGGCGTACGAACACCTGGTGACGGAGCTCATGGCCAGTTGCCGCTTCGACGGTTTGCGCGACATTTCCGGGTGTTGCGCTAAGGATCGGACGGGTGGTTAGTTTGGAGATGGGGATGTGCACATTGGGAAGAGCTGTAGGTATAATTGTAATAATCATTCGCACGACGTCATTCGTTATTGATGTAGATAGGTAGATAGACAGATAAAGTGATATATCGATAGTCAATACTTTGGCGTATTATGACTTGTATTTTTGCTTTCGTATAGGGGACTTTTATTCAGAAACGATTCTTAATCATTGGGGATCTTGTAAATAAATATGGTAATTAGTAGTCGTAAGTTATGCTTGCGAATAAACAGGCATAAATAAATATTTATATAATTGAGAAATAAATTATGATACTTTAATGAAAATTATAATTAAAATATCTCAATTTCAAATATTCTGTTATATCGTTAATTTTTTATTGAAAATTAAATAATTTTATAATGGTAGATATATTATAAATGTACGTTTATATATTTTTAGTAACATGTTAATAAATTTCTAACAATTGATGCATTTTATTAGCAGTATTATATTATACTCTCTCTCTCTCTCTCTCTCTCTCTCTCTCTCTCTCTCTCTCTCTATTCCTCTGTCTGTTTGATTATTATTAGAAAAAAAACTTGTTTTCAAATAATTCCATTCCTTCCTCACTCACTCACCCACTCACTCGTGCACACACGCGCGCATTTTACAACATCTTTTATAGAACATTTCATCATAATGAAAAACACAATATATAAACAAAAGTTTATATTAATTTAATTTTAAATAATTTTGTAAAAAACAGATAAATTTTGGAATATATAACTTTTGAATCAATCATAATTCTTACCCGCTATAGTATATTTACGTTTATATAACGATTAAATTACAAAAAAAAATTTTAATAATCACATCTATCCGCATATTTACGATATTACATAGCTTATCCGCATACTTACGAGTTTGATTAAACATTAATTTTTTTTTTTTAATACAGCACAATAAATACGTGAGTATTTAATCGACGATTAAATCCTGTTAAACTTTATATATGTACATATACATATGATATATATATTTCGAGCACTATTATCGAAAAATGAACGATTACTTCGAAATTATACCTATTCGAATAGATGGTCTCGTTATGAACTGAAAGATTCACAAGAAAATTTGATGCCGCTGATTCGCAAGTTTCTTACAGTTATGTAAATAACGAAGGAGCAGCTGATTTTCGTATCCCTGTACGAAATGGAGCCAAACTTAAAATCTTCTGAGAATTCAAGAGAGCTGTAATCAAACTACTAAATAACTTCCAAGAAGTCGTTATTATTTGTGTGTATATTAATATTGTTTGTCAGTGAAAAATATAAATAATCTATCATTTCTAAGAGATTTATCAAACATAAATCGATTTATTGGGCCATTAGTTATATATTGGAAGATAAATCAATAATAATATTACTATAATATAATACTGCTATATTTTATTTATTAACAACCATCCCAAAAAGTTCCAAAATGACAAATCCATTTTAAATGTACTATTACAGAACTTCTTATACACGTTAATATTTCTGTCTATTTGTAGCTCCAATATAATTGAGCGGTATCGATGAGACCTATATATTTCATTTTATGTATACGGTAGTTAATAATGCGTAATGAATTTGTACATTTCTTAAAACAAAAAAATCCTTTGTTTCCACCTTGTTGATAACTGCAATTACATATTTGTTGCAGTTATAGATATTAAAAAGCAAAGTCAATAAACAAAACAAATCAATCACTACACAAGTTTGAAAGTATGGAACCTCAATGAAAACTTTAATGAATATTTACATTAAAATAATAGTTATTACTACTTGTTAAATTTGCTTCATATTTATTACTACATTAAGTCATTATGATATTAAATTTATTCTATATATATATTTATTCATGGAGAAAAATAATCATTTGAACATATTTAATTCGATGAAAAAAATTGTTAAATTAACAATCAATTTTTTATATCTTATATCGAAGGTAATTTACGAAATTTGCATATGTATAGCTGTTTAATGCAAAAAAAAAAAAAAAAAAAAAAAAAGATGAGATTGACATGTGATTGAAATATTTAAAATTTTTCAAAATATGTTTGGATTTATTCATTGCCGAGTATAAACAGATAACCAAAACTAACAGTTAGTTGATATAATAAACCAAAACGTAATAATCTAAAAATATGATATTTTAAATCATAATAAATTTTTATTTTTTTAATCGACAGTTAACTAAGAATTTTTGTGTAAAAGTTTCTTCTTCAGATTCATTTTTATGTTTTTTATGTATAGATTATTTTAATTTAGCGGGTAACGATTTCTGCCATCTATCGGGTATAAGAGTAAATATAATAATAAAATATGAAAAATTTTCAGCCCCATTATGGTATTGTTATTATTATTTTGATACATGCGGCATTTAAAAATGTCGGACGCGGTGATCGTTGTTTGTAACTTCTTGACTTTGTTTTTCCTGTAAAAAATAAAGAACTATGGATGGATTCCTAATTAAAATATTTTAAAGATATTTCAAGCAAATTGTGATTTACCAAATATATATATTTAAATAAGTTCCTTATTTAAAGAATATTTAAGATGGTTATTTAATTTTGACAGTATAGCCAGTGTTTTATTTTAGTCTTTAACGTATTAAAATAAAATATTTATATCTTATTAAAAAAAATATTCATTGGTTACAAATTTGTGGTATATTTTATGGTATATTTTGGAGGAGAACAATTGTTCAGTGTTTAATCAATTTTGTTTACTTTTCATTGATTACAATCTTTATACAAATATAATATAAACACAAGTTAGTAACTTTCTTTATTAAACCAATAAACTATTGGTAATTTTATTAGATTTTTGTGAGTGATGAAAGTATTTTGAATGAATATTTGTAAATTTAAATAAGTATTGACTTGTTTGTCATAATTTTTTAATAGTTAAATAAAAATTCATTAATAAAAAATGAAAATAATCAATAATATTTAATAATTTGAATCATCCAACATTTATTTATTATATATATTTCAGTATTTTGTAATACCAAATTAAAATAAATTATTTAAACAATAATTTGTATATTAATAAATTGTAAATTAATTTGACTATAATTTTTAAATGTACAAGTCATAACAGAGAATAATGTAACTTACAAACTTTCAAATTAAATTATTTTTCCTAAGTAACCTTATATTTATTATTATAAGCATAGAGTTAATGTAATATAGTATTAAAATACTAACAGACTTACTCAAATTCAATTTGAAGGTACTTTATTCTTTATGAATGCAATGTAATTTATGTTAATATAAAGTATAACTTTATTATTTACAAACTTATTTTAGAAAATTGAATTAAATCATCTCAATAGTATTTCAAAATGAGGTTAGGCTTATTATTATTTTAAACATATGCTTAAACATAATATAAAAATGACATTAAAATATGTTAAATATTTAGATTACTTTAATAAGTAAACTTATATCTTTTAATTCAATCATAATTACAGTTTTCTCTGAGAATTACCATAACGCTATATCATTTTTTTTTTTCAGAAAATTAGTATTTTTAGATTTAGGAAGTTTCTTTGCTGGTTGGTAATCGAAGTAACGTTATTATGTCTCCTGGAATCAACGATGATCTCTGTAATACAGGCGCATTACCAAAGAGCAATACGTATACAAATAGAAATAGGGATAGAGACAGACCGTCAATTAATCAAAAAAGCAATTTCATTGAAAGGTCACATCCAGTTCCTGTACAACACGCTAACAATTTGGTATGACAAATATTTTTTGTATTTCTTAGTGTTAATCAAATCATGTAAATGACAAAATTTGACAGCATATAATCCACAACTATTGAAGCATATTATGTGTAATTTAAATTATCTCCAAATTAAATTATTAACAAATTCAGATCGAACTAAAGCAAATTATGTCAAAATCTTTACCCAGTGGGCTACTCAAATTATGTTATTTATAATTTACTTAAGTTTATCCGACAAAAATACTAATGTAACATTTTCAAACGTTTGCATTCCTACGGTTAAAGCAATACAATTATACGATCTCAATACTATTGCATTTGATGACACGTCAATAACTCCTCCCTGTTGGATCTAAAAATAAAACTAAATTAACGCCATTCCGTAGAGCCATAGAGAAAAAAAAGAGAAAAAAAGAGAAAAAAGAAATCAATCGTTAGTTTACGGCAGGCGGCACTGGTGGCGTCTAACCGGGTTTTGAGCTTAAATCTTGGATGTCGCGCTCTTGGCTATTATTAGCTCGTATCCGAGAATATCCTTCTTGGCCCATTCTACATGCTTTTCATTTTTACGTATGTCTGACTACGCCACGTAAAAGCAGTTTCAGCTCGATTGGCATCCGGTGAGTGAACGACAGACAACGTCGAGCAACGCCACTAGGGTAGCCAAAAACAGCAACACCAGGTCCACGTACTCAAGTGCCTCATCATCCTATTGTTCGGATTTTGGTGAGTACCGGAAGAGATGAGAAGATAATAATCCCATAATTTACGTGAAAAAACATTCTAGAATTATTGTGGATACTTGACTTTATTTTAGTCCTTAATAACACGTAAGCATCCAATTTTAGTCCACTTTTTCTTCTTTGGTTGGGCACGTAATAGGCTGACACGGTGCTGATTACTATATATGAAAGCCAGTAAAATTATGCGTGACGTACGAAATAAATTAAACTATAGGTATATAAAAGTTCTTAATTTTTTTAATTTTAGGACCTTATAACGTTAATACCAGATTATATCCACATATCGACACACGACAAGAGTTAACATCCTGGATGAAAATGACAACTCCGACAGATTCTCGGACTCAGTCTCCTCCGAATGATGCAGCCAAGTCAACAAATATGGATAAAATGGTAAATTTAACGGCGATGAAAATCAAATCGAATTAATTGATAGATCGAAAGAAATTACGTGAATTACACGCGTGGAGTAGCATTCTTGATAGAATTTCGTGTGCATCCGTATTGCACTATTATTTACATTACAATATTAGTATTGTATAAAAATTAAGCCGTAACTTTTTATTAATATATGTGCGCGGGTGTTGGCTAGTTTCGTCTAATATTATGATTTTATGATTTTTATGCATTATTCGAACTCTTTCGCAGCCTGAACGTGGTCAAGTGGAGGGTCGTTTACATCAAATTAGAGAATACATAAAAATAACTTCGACAATGATGGACTCATTAAGTCAATCTAGTGATTCTGTAAGTTATTCCCGTTAAAGATAAGACATACTGACTCTTGATTATTCTGCGCATTTTAGCAATTTAGTTAAAGTATAAATAAAGTAATTCTTATATTATACAATTAATTAGTATTCAAGTGTTTCTGTAAAGTGAAATATAAAAAGTCACGGAAATAAATATAAATGACTTTTAATTTTGTAAAATTTTGAAACTTTTTATCTTATTTTGTTTTATAATACAGCGAGCTAAAGCCCAACATGAGAAATTGAGTAAAATGGTAGAAGATCTTTATGACAGCGAACAGAAATTAAGTAAACTTATGGAAGAATGTCAGAAGTATTGGAGGCCAAATGAGGTATTATTAACTTTAGTATTCTAATGTGGTAATTAATTAGGTCTTACAAAATTACGTTTCTATTTAGTACGTAGTATTACGTTGAAGATAATATCTTATTTTCATAATAATTAATTAATATAATAATAGTTAGTAAATAAAATTACATGCTTTATTAATGTTTTCATAATAATTCGAGATACTTTAAATAATACATGAATAATACACATTGTATGATGTGTATATGTGTTATGTTCTCATGTGAATATACACATGATAACACATAAGACATTGTATATAAATTATCGGCAGTAATAATTATAAAAATTCTAGCTCCATCTTATAATGGATCTTATCAATTATACGAGAATAAATCCTTAAGTCTAGATAATTTTGAATAGAAAATTTCAAGCCAGTGTGTTTTTCTTTATAAATTTGTTATTTTAGCAGTATTGGAGTTAATTGTCAATTAGTCACGTATATCATCGAATTGTACGCAAATTAAATTTCACTATCTTGCAGACTAGATCCTCGATCAAAGATCTCTCCCTTTATTAAGAATCTTGTTCAATAGTTTTGTTTTTCTATCGATAGAACGGCGAGCTTGAAAATGACGAGACCCGCCGAGAGTTGGATCTGCGCAAGAAGGTGGAGGAGTCGCAGCGTAAGTTGGCTCAACTACAAGAGCATCAGGCCCATTTGGTGGGCATGCAACTGCGGGTACGCGAGCGGTTGAATGAGGCGCGCCAGGCCCAACAAGCCCTCCTGGATGAGGAAGCCAATGAGGTCGAGCGTCAAGAAACCGAGGCGAACGAGCAAAAGGAAGCGGAGGCCGCGGGTCAGAACTCCGAGGCACCTACCGCCGATAATGTCGATAGGCTCGAACGCGAGACCGAGGCACTTCGGAGTAAGCTTGAGCAACTCGAGAGCAAGAAGAGACACATGGACCACCTCGTTCAGGAGCTGCAGGCCGTCGAGCTCAGCGAGCGTGCGAGTTGCGTAAGTATTTTTGTCGGTAGAACTCGTCAGCGAATCGGAATGCCATGCGCGTTCTTTTCGTATACGACTTAAGGGGAGAGAGAGAGAGAGAGAGAGAGAGAGAGAGAGAAAGAGAGAGAACTTCTAGTTTGTATTAATGTAAAGGTTCATTGGAATAAGCAAAGGCATTATTCGAAAATTCATTAAACAAAATTGAGATTTCTTAATCACCTTAATTTGTTTGAAAATTCTTACGTATATTCTATTAAAACATTCGCTATACTGCCAATAGTTTAAAAAATACATTCTCTTTCATTTATTGTATCAAAATATGAGAGATTTGTCGTGGTCGTTAATATTCAATATATCTCTAGGAGCAAAATTTATTAGATTGTAAAGGGTGCGTTTAAAGAAGATGAACGTCCAAAGTTAAAATAATATTTTTTTACGGAGAAAAAGCTTTTTAAAATAAAAAGCAGGTTGTTCGCCGTTTAACCAAATGCATCGCATTGTAGAGTTCGGATGGTTCGAAGCTTACGGGGCAACGCGACAAAGTGGCCGAGCTGCAAGCTTTGAAGTCTCAGCTTTCGCACTTGAAGTCCTTGATGGGCGAGGCGACGAGGTGCCGAGAAGACACGGAACTGCCGCAGCTAAGTTCCGAATTCGAGCACGAGGAGGACTCCGCGATAGCCCTCGATGGAACCAATAGCGGGTCACCCAACATCCCCATTATCGACGACCTTGGTCAGCTGGAGGAAAGCATCAGCGGCACGTACTCTAACTGCTTTAACGACATGGATGAGAGCATCAGGACAAATCAGAGCGGCGATCCACCCACTGTCGAGCAGATTCAGGTTTCATGTACCACCTTATATTAACGTTTGTTTTTTTTTCGATTTGTTTATGATAAACCTGCCACCGGCATTAACTTCTTAAATCGAAATCTGTATTACGCTTCGTATTAGTAATGGGATTTTGTAATCAGAAACGAACGAATGCTTGATAGGCTGTGACGAGGGAATTGAAGGAGCAGCAGCGTTTACTACAATCCGCGCGCACGGAGCTTCGGCGCTTGAAGCAAGGATCCTCGAACTCGGTTCCGTCGCTTGCTCTCGGCGAAAGGAAACAGAGCAATAACGTGGTTAGCAACAAGCGCCGACAGCTTGAGGATTTTGTAAGGAAGGTCCGTCTGATATTCATTAAGTACCACAATACGAACACGTTATTAATAAAAATAAACTTATACATATTTTTTTGTATTATATTACAAATAAAAGAATATAAGGAATATAGAAATATAAGGAAATATAAAAGAATATTTATAATTTTAGGATCCAAATGATTTTATTACTAATCAAAGTGAAGGACAGGAGTGGAGTAATCAGAGAAACCCTAATTCGTTAAATAGTCACGGAAGTACTCCGGCAAATGCCTGGATTCCACCTGAAAATCTTGGTTAGCTCAAAATAATTGTTTACTTATTCATAATTTAAACAATTTTTTAATACTTTATCAACAATATCTTTGTAGAAAATGGTTCTCATGAGCATAGTGTCGATGGTATATCGGCAACCGAAAATTTATTAGATATGGGATTTCAACCGCCCATAGAGAATGGATATGGAAGTAACTTTTGGGAAATGCCAACTGTGCTGTCAAATCAACCACATGATGGTATTATAAGTACAAAATCATAAACTCGTAATAAATGACGTACGAGTCGAACAAGAGCTTGATAAGCATGAAGTAACTTTTTTTTGTATCGTAGGTGCTGTTGTAGGATCGGCAGATTACTACAAACAGCTGCTTCTTGGTTCTCAGGCACAGCAATTACAAATGATGAGCACAACGATACAACAGTGCTGTCAACTTTTGTGGTCTCAGCAGCGAGAAATGCAGTCGATGAAATCGGCAATAGTTCGACTTCAGGTGGGGCAAAAAGAATGTTGAATGCATAAAGAGAAAAAAAAATTAATAATTTTATTACAAACGGCTATCCTAATGATACAGAATGTGCACGCGCACTCACACACAGACAGTAATCAAATTATAATAATCGCGAGTACATGCTTTCACGTTAGCGCTTAATAATTTCTTCGTCCATTTTTCATTCTTTAACTCTGCAGCGCTATCCCCCCTATCCCTCCCACCCGCCATGTACAAATTCTTTCGTGACTATTACGAGTAAATGGGGTCCGATATATAGGTTGGCCAACTCCCCAAGAATTAATATCCATTGATCATATATAAAGGGAAAAGATAAAAAACTAGAAGCCTTTCAAGTACAAAAACGTAAATGATTATTAAATTTGTATACGTTTAAGATTTTTATTATTATTATAATCTAATTTTGGAGAAATCTTCAATATGCAACAACGATTATCCTTATTCTAGGCTCAATTTCGACACACCCAGTCACGTTCAAGTAATAATTTGGAACTGCATGAGGAACAGCATTCAAACCTTGGGAGAGTTGCGACACAACAGCACTTCGGCTCTCTCGACACGGCAACGCTTCCTCCAAGTTCATCCTTACCAAATCTTGTTTCATTACCGAGCAATTCACTGGCATCGCCACTCGTCGTTTCGGCTTTAGCCAATTGTCAACAGCAGCAGCAGCAGCAGCAACAGCAACAACAACAACAACAACAACAACAACAACAACAACAGCAACACCAGCACCAGCACCAACAGCAGTTGAATAATCAGGTTCCGCCAGGCAATAGAGCAAACAACTACTGGGATAACTTTCGAAGGTAATTTTAACCGTGAAGAGTAAAATTATTTAATATAGTACGATACGTTCGTGATTTTTTCCCCGTTAATTATTCACTCTGGAGAATTATCAAAAGAGTTTGCCGATTATTTATGTCATGCTCGTTCTTTCATGTATTACAGTCATCGATTCCTTTATTTACCAATACACTCTTAAAATTTATTTAGCATTTACAGGAAGATGTGGAGGTGTTATTTGGATTCATGATTATTATAATTATTTTATATTGATCTATTCCTTTTAATACTTTAGAAAAATGCCCAAATTTTTTATTGCTTGACTTTTAAATTTATTCATTTCTTATTTGAAGTATAATTTTTAATTTAAGTGGAAATTTAATTTTAATTAAGATATTTTTTAATAAATAATAATATTTTAATTATAGTAAGTGATAAATTTTTATATAAAATAAACTATATAAAATATAACAAATGATATTTTCATTCAACAACGAATCGAATATATTTTATTTTAATATTACATTTAAATTAATACCCGACAATAATTTATGTATGCACGTGTATCTGTGTGATATATACATGATATATATCATGAATATATAAAAATGATGTTTATAATGAAGTATTTTTAAAGTCTTATTATATTTTTTCATTAAAATTTCTTTCAAAATTGATTCAAGTTATTTTGAAATTCTACCGCTATTATATATCTCTATTTCTTTTCACTTATAAAATATGTTTTTTATATTTTATATTCTTTTTCAATTATTTTATATTCTTTAAAAAATAAAAATTCTAATTATTGTAGTGCACTATACGAAAAATTTTTTTGAATGTAACCAAATAAACTATTCCAATAATCTCTTCAATTAACATTGTCATAAAACAATTATAAATAATTTAGAATTATTTTTTTGTTAAATAATAGATTATTATATGCCTTTTTTATAAGTATATAAAAAATTAATCGTTTCTTTAAAGTATGGCATAAATAATTACTAATTATTTTAATTTAAAGAAATGTTAAAAACAATTTACCAATAATACAGTAGCTTTCATAGAATGAGAAAAATTAAACTTTTGCTTTTTTCCTCATAATTTGTAAATACATAAATTTTAATATTTTATGTACCCCACTATAAAAAATAAATTTTCAAATGATTTCCGACTTATTGTCTTTATTTTATTATTGGCTCCTTTATATATAAATCATTGATAGATTAAACTATGAATTAAAAATGATAAATATTAAACTATGAAATATTTAATGTACTTATGTATAATTAATGTAAATATTAAGGCATATTAGTGAAATATTGTGATGCAAGGATCATTAGGTGGTATGTAAATAAATAGGTACGTAAACTTGTCTGGAACACGACTTTATGATTTATTTTTTGTTGAATTTTGATTTTCGAAAAATTTTAATTAAACGATATTCTTTTGTAATAATTTAATTTATCATTTAGTACATGTTAATTTACATCAAATAGTTCTAATTAATTGTAAGCTATTAATAACATATACTAAAAGCAAATATAATGTAACGTTTTATAAATCTTTAATTTTTGATTTATTAAAAAATCTCATTACTTTATGCTTATTAAGCTAACGATTTTCTTAACTAATTTTTGAGATTTATTACTGTTTTATTGTATTAGAAACTAATAATTTTTAATTAACATTAGATATACATAAAAACAATTTATTTTATAAACATATTTAAATGAAATTTTACATTAACATAAACATTTAAGTAATGAATTCAGTTTTTGAGTAAAAATCAAATATAGCATGCTTATATATTCAATCTTTAAATCTTTTCTTATTACTCAAAAAATTAATTTTATCTTTTAGTTACTCGAGACAAAATTTGCTCTCAGGATCATCCAAAACTACAACTGATTGTAGCCTTAGTACATCGGTTCACGCTGTTTTACCATCTAACACTACCAATGGAGTTATTACTTCACACGCGTAAGTTTCTGTTTTCCCTGGATACTATAAAACATTATTTTTAAGTTAATATATTTAACATTAATTAATAATACACGAAACGCAAAGTACCTTATTTTCTAAGTAACTAAGTGTTTTCGCATATCTGCAAATATAGTAGATTGTTAAGGCAACGTTACAAAAAAATATTAATTTTATTATTAATTGTTAAATTCAGAAACCTTAAATTTCTATAAGTGTCTTTGTAATACCTGCTAAAGCTCATAATTTTATTAGTTTCAAATTATTATAATAAAACTATTTTTATTAGTTTAATATTAATAGCGCTAATAACCGTAACGAAAAAAACACAGGAACAAGTGCAATCGCCAGCATGGTCTTGAGAATTCGCCGATGCTTATTACATCGGACGCACAGTATTCATTGAACCTGCAGCCATGTAGCCGCCATTTACAACAGCAAGATATCGCTCTGCGAAACAACTGTATGCCCAGCCAGGAGGCATTGCTTCATCAACAACAGCCCCAACAGATACAGCAGCAACAGCAGCAGCAGCAGCAGCAGCAGCAGCAACAGCAGCAGCCATTACCATTGACAGAAAATATCGGCGAGGGACCAATGGAGTCGAGATCGCTCGATGACGGGGCTTTTGCGAGGTAGATTTTCTTAATTTTTCTGTCGCGTAGTGAACTTTTTCCATTTGATATTTTAATTGACTATCCTATTTGCTCAGTACGATCAAAATTAATAGAGATAAATTTATGCATATCTGGTAGAAAAATTAATAGAATATTACATAATCGTTGATAGAAATAGAAATTTGAAGTATTTTATTATTGTCATTTTCTTTAGAATTGCATATAATGCATGAAAAGAAAGTTTAAAGAATCAAGACTGAGTTGATTGACAGTTTACATTGTTTCGAATTATCAAGATATAATTATTTAATTCTTGTGAACCTCGTAGTATAGTAGAAAATTTTAAAGAGATTTTAATCAAAGTTTCAGTAAAAATAATAAACAACGTTAATTAGAAATTAAACGTAATTTATTTTTTGTTTTAGAAGAGCAAAAAATATAAGCAAACGCAAAGACATAAAACTCATCTTAAAGTATTGCTTAAAAGTTTTGGAATCTAATAAAGTTAGTATTTATTTTTTAAATACATTATAAAAACAAAATTGTACAAAATTTAAATATCACAATTATATTTTAAGAAATTACGACGTATTGCAAAATATCTGCGATATATTATTTTTCATTATTCTTATAGCAAAATGAAAACTCTGTACCATCGCTAAAGTATTTAAGCAATAGTTCCTATTCAAGTGACGACGAATCAGAAGTTGATGCTCAAGGTAACATGATAGAGTCAACACTAACCAACAACAATAGCAAAATTAATGTTGGAACGCAAACGTGCATAGACATCATTGACACAGATCAAAATTTTAATTCGACGCAAAAGATTTTGGATGAAACTGAATTTTCGGTTTGTACTGCAACCTTAACTAATATTTATAAATTAATTGCTATTTTATTAATTATACCATAATATATTTCTTTTTCTTTACTTATATATAAATCTTAAATTTCCTCATAAATTTCAATGTTTACAATGATAAGACTATAGTATTTATTGTATTAACAATTTAATAACAATTTATATAATAATTTATGTAATAATTTAAATGTAATTTTAATTTATTATAGGATGGATTTTCAAACGATATATATGAAATTTGTATACCGTCTGTCTCATCAAGTACAAATGATATTAATGAAGATGTAATTGAATCTGATCCCAGCAAACCAGTAACTTCCAATAGTAATCAGGTTCGCTCGAATCATTATTATTTAATCGTTTTAATTATAATTTAAAAGAAAAATAATTAAAGCATTAAATTTTACCAATAATTTCAGATTCAGATTAATAAATAATTAATTTGATTTATAAACTTAAGAGTTTGGTTTAAAAAAATAAATCACTAAAAATAAAATTGTTTATAAAATAAAGTTATAAAATTTGAAACAAATATCTATTGAAAGACAATTTGCTTCAAATGCATATCAAATATAAGTTAAGATGAGTTTACTTTGGAACATCTTTTAATGTTTTAATTTAAATTGATGCACAGATAAATGACGATGTAAACCAGTTATTGGAAGAAGGAAATTTTGAGAATTTAGAAATGGAAAAATTCGATCCCAACGATGACTCATCGTATGACCCATTTAATGAGTTCAAATGAAATGTAACATTTTAAAAATATGCTATTGTCAGTCATGCACGCATTATATAAATTACTTATAAATGATTTCATGTATATTGCAATGGGTCGAGAAAGATTTTTTAAGATCAGAACAAATATGTTCATTTACTTTTAAGCAATATGTTCGTTCAGGTGTTCACGTTTTTATTAATTGCTCTTCTAAGTAATTGGCAGCATTTGAGTTTTTTGTATTAATTAATGATTATCATCCTGTTTTGAATAATATTTTCAATTAGGCTAGTATTGTTTCCAAAAATTAATTTTAAAAATCAAGCTCTTTTTTACTAAAATTAGATATTTTAAACAATATTTTGATGAAATAAATGGAATAGTATATATCAATGAAAATTGAATATCAAAATTAATAAAAGAACTATAACAAGAGAAAAAAAGAATAATTATACAAAGAAAATATATTTTAACAAAATAAAATGAATTTTTTTTAATTAGAATGTTTCCCTAGAGTTATGAAACGGAAATTGTTTTTAAAACTAAAGATAAAGCAATATAAATTGCTTTTTTTCAATTAAAAATAGAAATCTAATTATAATATATAAAAATGTGAATTAAAAACAAAACATTCGAAAAATCTATATTAGATATTTAATTTTTTTTTTTATCTTTAAATTCATAAACAAATCAAATAATAAAATCTTTATGATTATCATTATTTACAAATATTCAATGTAGATAATTATCAATTATAAATTTTGAAGTTTGGTTTTTGAGTGTATTTATTTTGAGTATATAATTTCTATGGTTATTTTTGTTCTTTTAATATCGATTTCACTTATTGATAGAACTGATTACAATGTATTTGATAGTTAATAAATCTAGAATTTAGAGAAAATTTAAATTAAATGATAAACATTTTTAATAAAGAAAGAAAGTAAATGGTATGCTGTAGCATATAAGCTATTTGGTTTTAAATACCTAATAGTTTTAAATGGAAGCAAATAATAAAATCTTAATCGGTACGTTGTGTGTTTACTTAATACATTTACAAATATATTTATAGGTTTTTATTTAGAACATATAAAAAGCTTTTTTGAATTATATATATGTATGTATATATATAAAATATTTGTATTAAAAAATTATCTGACATACACACAGAAACGCGTATGTCTATAAGTATATATATATAACTTATCTAATTTGAAAATTAAACAAAGTTATTGTGTGCATAGGTGTAAATTATTTTAAAAAATAATGACTGAAATTTAAAAATAATTTATTTCGTTTGATTTATTTTAATAATATTCACGTACTTTTAACATAAATTATTTTTCGTATTATACAAGTTAAATTCTTAAATAGATATAAATCTGTACATATTGTACTGAATAAAATGTATAAAAGAAATTTATTTTGAAAATAAAAAATTATATCTTTTATTAAATAAGATAAGTAATATATAAGCAACATAAAACAGGCTGTATTTTAATTAAATAAAGGTAAACATGTAAAAATTAAATTTAAAGTCACTTTTTATTATATACAAAAGTAAATATTTATTTTATTTAATCATAAGTCAATGTGAACAACTTAAACACTAATTTATATTATAAATGCGCAACATTTAATACGCTTTACGCCTTCATTGTCATCTGTACATTAACAAAATAATTTTGCACCAAAGGATTAACCACTTGAAAAATATATGTGTACACAACTTCTACAATAAAAATGATTCCTTTTTTTACTTTTAACTGCTAAATGAAATAATCTTTCATTAATATATTAATAAACTTAAAATTATAATGTAAATTTCTATATTTTTTTTATTATTTTTTTTTTAAAACATATTTCATGTAAATTAAGTTAATTATATGTAGTTAATGTAGAATGAAAAAAAAATTTGTTTTTAATACATATTTGTTGATTGTAAGTGATTATGTACACATGAAGTGGTAGAGGTGGTCAATCCAGTGGGCAGTAAAAATTCTGCCTCCTCGATATCATTGCCTTGGCTTAGCTGAATCTGACGATAACGATGGTAAGAGGAAGATCTGTGAGTCAGTAATAACATGTCCTCCAATTTCTGACATCTGGCATTGACATTCTTTGATAGAGAAGCGGACTGGAATTTAAGTTTACCTGACATCATTGTGGGTAGACAGGCTATATCAGTCAGAGGCTGAACTTAGGCATAATAGTGACGATTCATTGTACATCTGGGCCAGTCCATGTTTTTTTGCCCAGAAGCAGTCTCCTGCACCATGGAAAAGACGTTTGTTACCACTGCCTCTGAAATCAAACCCACTTGACTTATCGATTGTGGCTCTTAATATTTTATGACTCCTTGGCACCACATGCTTCTATATTGTGGTTTAGAAATTTTTTTTATTGCATTAACAAAAATTATTTTATAATGTCAGATTTACAAACCAAATCACAAACTACAATAAAAATTTAGAAGTAATCCAATTTGTTTTTACAAAATCTTATCTTTACATTTATTAAATAAGTGACATAATGTTTAAAATGCTTAAAAGGTGTATAAGAACTAACAACTTTTAATCATTATCAAATGTAAGATAAAATCATCACCATTTTAATTATTTATATTAGCAGTTCATATCTTACTATAAATAATGAAATTTAGAACTTCTTTTTTAATGCAAATTTAAAAGCAAACGTATCTTTTTAACAATAATTTTATTAATTAATTTTAGTTTAAAAATACGAGTTAAAATTGAATGACAGTCAAAATTACGTAATAATTAGAATCGTTGACATAAATATTCGATATTATAAGAAGAAATTGAATTTTCACGAATGACTTACTTATGTATACTTATAATAAAGTATTCACGTTATTAGAATGAGAGGTAATTCGATACACATCAATTGTTTTTAACGTTGTACTTAAAAAATGATCTTTTTCAAGAAATGTGATGTATAAAAAATATTATAGATTGATTTTTCGATCAAGCCTACCTTCCCACCATATAAAAAAAGAAAAAAAAACAAAGTTCGTGGTGCACTCAATGTATACGAAGAAAAAAATGATTGGCACAGAAATAATCACGCGACATCAAGAACCTATTGTTCTACTTTTACATAAGTGAATTTGTGTTACGTAAATTTTTTATCTTTTCTTTGCCTCTTTCTCTTTCACTTTCGCGTAAGTTTGCATGTGCAGAAGAAAGTAAGAAACCCGGTCATTGGCACGTGCACGAGATCGGCTCCAATATGTTCCACTTGGTCGTTGTGTTGACGTCACATCACCAATAAATATTCTGCAGGCTAAATAGGCTGTCTGCTTGGCATAATACTGACATATTTTTGGTTTTGCGCGTGTGCGCACAAGCGCTTACCATAATAGAGCCAAAAAATTTTGAACTCGCGTTTGTCACTGTGATTTTATGAGGAAATTTTATTAAATTTTTAGCAAGCATTGCGCGCTTGACTTGTAGCCGTTTGAAAAAAAACGACGATTTTTACAACTTTCACTACGTGACAATTTAAATTTATTTCCATTATTTTGGCTAGATGCCTTTAATATTTTTTAAATATTTTTGAAAGGTTAATATGCCACTATTATAATTATCGTCGTAATTTTAAAGTATGTTATTTTTAGTGGTGATTAATTTTAGTAATAATCAAGTACATTTAAATAATAACGATATAGTTATAGGAATATAAGAATGTAAAATTTATTCGAATATTTGCATCGGAGCTTATATAATTATTAGGCTATTAGTCGATGGCCAATAAAATAATAAGTAGTTAATTATATGGAATTAATTCAATTTCATTGTATATTTAGTACGAAGAATAATTTATTAATATAAAAGACGAAAATAAAAGAAAAACTCTAGCGATACAATATACTTTTATTTCGTAAATTAAAAACTTACATTTTTGTCACATACGTATGTTATAGGGCCAAAATAGCTATAAAAATAAAACATGTGTGGATGACGTTTGGAGATTATTTATAAAAGTGAAATATTGACATATGAACTGTAATGTTCGTTATTGTTAGCGCATCACTAGTTAAGCAGTCATAGATTATATATTGAGTGTCATAAAATTGACCATCGTTTGTAAACATAAAAATTCCCGTTCCTGCGACAATACGTGCCATGTAATGTTGCACAAATTTAAGCTAATAAGCAAGTATACATGCGTATATATTACAATTAAATCAATTAAAGGCAAATGAGTGAATAATAGGCAGGTAGGGCGACGTCGGTGCCACGTCCACAGAGAAAAGTAAAGTCGTTCTCTCACCTTCTCGAAACCTCTTTAAACGCGGCACATAATTGGCGACCTCGTCGTGACCGAAGGCTCGTTTCCTCTGACCAATACTTCGGCGGCTATCGAGGATTTGCTGCACCTGGCGCTGTTGCTGCGCGTCCGCATCGATGTCCATACCGTCAGGGCCGAGGTTGTTCGGCGAGGCTTCGTCCTCGAGCCGCAAGGGAACATAACCATAATAGACGCTCGAGGAGACGAACTGCTGATGGTGCGGCTGTACCATCGTCCTCGCATTGTTTATGCCGCACTGTGTCGCCATCTTTAATTCTCCTTTTCCCTTCCCGCGAACAAATCCTTTGCCGTACACCCGCACGTACGCGCGCGCGCGCGCGCTCAAATCGCAACACTCCCGCTTTAAGGTTAAACGCGTATAAGTGCAGAGATCGCACAAACTAACGGGGGGGGGGCGAATATTAGTGAGCGACGTTCGCACGTAATCGTCGTATATTTACTTATTAATACGATATAGGTGCACTGGTAAGTTGCGTGTTTGTTGTAGAAGAGATCGTACGGTATAATAAGCGATATGCGTGTTCTCTCGATGATGACGCGCAGCTAAAAAGTACGCGCGAAAGGCCAGCATACACGAAGCCCGGACTTTCACTGCTCAACCGCGGATGAAATAATAGCGCTTTCACATTGGTAGGTAACGCGATGTCCCCCCAAATGGATAGTCGAGAGGAAACGCGCACAATTGCTTATATTACAAACTGACAGTCGTCTTTTATATAATCCCCCTTGTCTGTAGCGTAATACCTGTTTAAGGGACCAGTGCGACGAGCGCGGTTGACCGCCTTCACGACCTCGCGTTAGGAAAAATTGCGAACTTCACAGGATGATGGAGCGAGCGCGACCGGTGCGTTAGTGACACGAAAGCGTCCGCACGCCGGCGAGTCAAAACGGCTAATTGTAAACGTAAGGAGTCGACGGGGTGGGAGTGAAGTGCGCGCGCATGGATAGGACGCGAAAAATTGAATGGTGTCGTCATCGGTGGAGTCGCGCGATCTTTGCAACGGACCCATGTTTTATTATTATTGAGACAAGGTGTTAGGGAGCTCGTTGGCTGCATTGGAATTTCGTTTGTTAAATTTGTCGTGTCGCGGGTCGTTAAAGCCAATGTCTTTAAGCGGCAAGGCACGCTTTTGCAGCTTATTATAATGATATTGCGCGATATAGGACTGTAGAAAGAAGGGGCATGTCGTTTTTATCATGCAATGCGATGCATTCTCGTTGACTCTCGAAGACAAAAATAGTCCACAGTCGACATTAAAAATCTTGGTATCTGGACATGTATAGCGTAAAAATACTACCCCCCTCCCCTCCCTAACCCCCACCGCGATCTCGCCATCATTGCTATTCTACTTTTTAATTTGATTAGGGGCAGGTTAGATTAGCATGAGCGTCAATCTTATAAAATTTTCTGTTGCGTTAAAAGAGATATTAGCGTGGTGATACAAACGAAAAAAATCAGATGAAAAAAAATTCTTTTTCTAGCGATTGCGCACGATGCAATAATATCAATTAGCGAAAATATCGCGTGTTCCCCACGATTTGTCACTCTCGCACGCACCTCTCCTCGTGCACACATGCACACATGCACGCACGCACAGTCGTGCACACAAAATGCGTGACGTAACATTCGAGAGAAAAAAAATGACTAGCGTGAGATAATGCAAGACGAGGTTGCACTAGAACTAGCAGTGCGATGCGGCTCCAGTGAGGTTGGACGAGTCCAGACTCCAGAATGGAGGAGTGTAGTCGCGAGTTCGAGACGAAGTGCGTTGCAGCGGTCGAGTTTTAATAGCTCGTCACAAGCGCTAGCGGATTTACCTTGGCAATTGTTTCGTTTGGTTGGACAATCTCGCAAGAATTCGCCACGGACAAGATAAGCAGAGTGAGAGAGAGAGAGAGAGAGAGACAGAGTGGGTGAGCGGAGGCATACGCGAAACAACAACAACGATAAAAAAAAAAGAAAGAACGAAGGGAATAATAATAAACAATAAGGAATCGGTGGTAATGCGTGCAGGATTAAGCCGAGTCACGTCCGGTTACAATAAATAATGCGTGTTGTGCTCGTGTCGCGCGGTACCACTGGGGACAAAGTGAGGTTATGTGTCTCGAGTGTCTTGCCCAAACGTGAAAAAATGTAAACAATAAATTCGATTTATTGTCTCGCATTTTTAGTTGGACAGCCGTGACGAAACGATAGTTTGAAGTGGACAATTGGGAATTTTTCTTGGTGTATCGGTCGCTGCTCTGAGCAGGGGATTAACGGGACAAGAATGGTTTTCGAATCGATCGTTACCGAGTTGCTCAATAAAGTCCTGGGAGAATACGTGCAGAACTTGGACTACAAACAGCTCAAATTGAGCCTATGGAGCGGTAAAAGAAAAAATATATATTAATCTTCTCATATTAGCCCCTCGTGACGTTCCTCGTGCCATACCTTCTTATCCTTGTTGTTATTATCGCTTCTTTTTTGTTCCTTTATATTCTGTTTCCTTTTTCATTTTTTCTTTTTTTTTAAATTTTTTATTATCATTATTATTACGACTGCATTATAACTACAATAATAAAATCAAAACAGGAATTAAATTTTCTTTATTATCAGCGTATAGTATGAATCATTTTTTTTTTACACTTGGCAAATATAAAAGCTATCCTTTATTGCTGCTTTGTGTAAAATAAATAAATAAATATTCCTGTATTTATTTATTCTCCTTATTTATAATAAAAAATATCTCTTATATTTTAAATATTCTTCCGCATATGTTTCACATTTTTATGCATTGAAAGGAATGATATTTACCATAACGATAAAATTCATGTTGGATATAAACGATGCGAATACATACATTTATATTTCGTATATTAGCTATGTAATGTGCAAAAGAAAAGGCTTTATTACCGAAGAATATAATTTTGATAAATATTTATATTCTCAAATATTTCAATTAAACATATTTTAAGTATCTAAGCATATTAATAAAAACATCCGTTTACTTATAAATATCTCGACGTATTATTGGAGTTCTTTTTGTGAATATTAATGCATTAATTACATATAGATAATAATGTATTCGTACATTATGAAAATCAAAATATCAATTATCATTTTAATTCTCTAATACCTTTAAAGTGCACATTGTGACAGTTCAATCTCAAAAAAAAATTTTAATTCCTATCTTATGATATTTTTGGGAATTAAATATTCATCTTTTGCTGTATACACATGTTGAATATGTGATGGTTATTGCTTTGAATCTTAAAGGTCCGCACTGCGTTAACGGATCTTTTGTCATTCGTAAATTTTTGTAAATTACCAAAATTAAATAAACCGTCGTAAAACGCAAGCCACCAAATAATACAACGGGTTATCAGCCAGAAATATTAATATATAAAATATGCAATGATAAAGGTATTACTAAATTCTTTAGTAATAGATGATTTTTGTTTTGACACGTAAATTTTATTTAACTACATCTATGAAAACTTATTTGAAAGAATTAATTACACTATACTTTTCAAGCTATTTTATAATTACGTAATGAAGCGTGTTTTGCAAATGTCAAGGCAATAATGAAACAATTTTAATTATTTACAATTTAAAATCATGAATTTAATGAAGTGTCTCAAATTTTTAAAAATCAATCGATAATGTATTAGGTTAAAAAATTTAATTGCAATATATCATTTGAATTAGATTTTATAAATTTAACTGTTTTCATACACTATGCATGCGAATTTATCAATTCAAAATTTTTATTTTTCACCTGTGGTTCTCATAGAATCGTGAGATTGATTAAAATGTAGTATAGAGTAAATATTTAGACTTGAAACACAAATTATTATTAAACAGCGCATTTAATTCGTTGCGTGCTGTTATGTTATCGAGCCAATTTGTGTTTTTGTGTATATATAAATAGACGCGACAATTTCGAAATGAAGCTAAGTTTCAATCATCATTAATTTATAATTACTTTAAATTATAGAATTATGAATTATTATTGAAAGGCCGAGTAAGCCATTGGTAATGTACGTCTTGATGATAAATAATGAAATATGAAATTCGGGAACATTTAACGTAAGTCATTGTAAAATATTATTTATAAAAATTTAAATAATACACACCATCTCTCTTATGCCAAGTTTTTAATAAATGTTCAATTATTGTATTATATTAATAATCGCTGCTATAATCATTACACTTCTTAAGAATAGATGATATTTATGTCAAGGTTTAAGTGAACGGGTGCACTCTCCCGGCATTGGTCTTACCTTAGATCAAAATCGTTAAAGCGATTTTTATATCATAAGTTTAGCGCGCGCGCACGCACGCACGCACGCATACTATAAATAGTACACTTTTGTTACTGAAAATTTGAACGGGAGACATTAATAAAATTTACGAAAAAAATTAATTTCGTATTAAAATGACGACATTGATTAAAGTACAAACAAAATATATATGTAAAAAATAAGTAAACGTATATTCTAAAAATATACTTTAAATACGATTAAAGTATTATTTGATAAAAAAAAACGAGATTCTTAAAACTTCCCTTCTATATGTCAAAAGAAGAGATTTTTTAAAAATACTTCACGAAATGCTTTCGTATTAACCTGTTATTTACATAGGCACTTAGTTTTTAAAAAGTCTCATTTATTATTTTCAGTATATTATTGTTAATTGTATGTATTTTCAACGTTTTAAAGTTTTATTAGTTTAATAATTTTAATAGTTAAAAGTGTGTATAACTAAAAAGATTTCGATAATGTAACGCACCTCTATAATCATTACAGCTTTTTTGCTTGTTCAGCAAACTATAAAGAATTAAGCGTATTCTGCGAATATTTTGAAATTAATATGTTCGATAATAATCAGAGATTTATCATTATGAAATAATAGAACCATTCAACGGTCCAAAGGTCATAGTGAACTTATTGAAAGTAATTTTTTATTTAAAAGACATAACGGTCGATGATGTCTGTAAGATACTTAGTAAGTCGCTTAATTAAATAATAATATATATGAGATCATATATCGACAAATAATTTGTGCTTGAATATTGTATCTTACATTTTATGTTGAATTTTTACACGTTATACGAATTTAACTCGAAAACTCCAGTCTAATTTTAGTTTAGTAAAATCGTAGAGTAAATACACGTAGAATAAGCTTACTTTTATACTTTTCCGAATTATATTGATGAGAAACAAAAACAAAATGATAAAAAAATAATATATGTGCTTTATTTATTTTGTGTATTTTTCTTTTAATGTACTTCCTACATTTTCAGGTACATATGCAAACCTAAGAATCTGAAGCATTGAGAAACGTATTTTTAACGTTAAAATTTTAAAGGTTAAATTTGTAACGTAAAAAGAAATATATATTTATTTATGTATTTAATATAATACTAAATACATTAAAGGCAAAAAGTTATATATAAAGTTTAGTATTACTTATTTAGTTATTGTTTAAAAATACAAACTTGACATCCTATCACAATATTGAGCTTGCGGATATGCAAATATTGTTTCAAATGCTTCAGATTACTTAAACAATAATTCTTATCATCGTTTATATGCCCGTATATATGCAGTTAATGCACACGCATTGAAACTTTGAAGTTTCGAACGATGGTTGCGTGACATCATTGTCTATATTCGTATTTTAGCAATATTTATAGATTATTCGCATACTAGCTAAATCCGTTTTGTGTTTATTATTAACTACTTTTTATTTTATTTTAAATTTTATAGATGTTACTCGGCCCAACATTTTTATAACACTTAGAAAGTTACATTAAGCTATCTTGCTTTGTAAATTTAATTACTACATTTACTATTTTAGTCAATTAAATGTATGTAATGCACATTTTATGACCTTGAATTTTCTTTATTTAATCAGAGTATAATTTATTATGCATTAAAAATTAATATTTTTGCTCTATAAATGATTTTTTAAAATTTCTATTATTGTAATTACATCTTTCTGATTAACGATTGAACCATTATACTTTTAGTCGAGTAAATAATTAGCTTTAATTTTATTTGAATTTACAATTTTATTAAATTTAAATTATTGGTAACAAATGTAAATATTTTTCTTATATAGAATATTTAATCATTTAATGGGGGCTTTTGTTATGCTTATTAATGATAGTTTGAAATGAATCATTGCATTCAGTATCATAAATAGAATAACCGATGATGTAAGCTAATGTAAGTATTTTATAATAAATTTTACGAATCAAGTTGCATAAATATATAGAAAGCTTCAAAACAACTTTTTTTACTCAAAATTGATATTAATTCAGATATAACTGTTATTATAAAAGAATTCTTTTATAAAGTTATAAATTTGTTATAAAAATTTTGTTATTCTGTTTTTGTAAATTCTTTATAATAATATTATTAATAAAATTGATTGATTTTTCTTTATATAATTTCATTTATTTTTAATGTAGCCATTTTAGAATGAAATAATAACGTGGTACATTTCGTTCATAATAATCGATGCAATGAAGAGAGAATGAAAGTATCAACAGGTTGATTTCTTGGTTTCCTGCTGTAGCTGTCTTTTAACAATTGTGAATTGTCCGATAACAGTGACTTCTCTCTCTCTCTCTCTCTCTCTCTCTCTTTCTCTCTCTCAATCTAGGAATGTCGGTTTCATCCTCTAACACGACCGCCACTTTCCATATCACGAGAAATTGTTTGAGCAATGTCAATCCTAAAGCCTAAAGGCATTAAATTCATTATTAAATAAATTGTATTGGGAATTGATTTATCTGTATTTTTTCAAATAGGATCTAAGAATAAATAATAAATTATATAAGAGTTTTATATAATTACCGTGTATTAATATTTTAATAATTTACATTTTGACGAACTTGTAAATGCTGAAAAAATAAGCTCTTGTTATACATAAATTGGAATTTAAGAATAGATTATTAATAAATTATTTCTTTTTTTCAGGTGATGTAGTTCTCCGAGATCTTTTGATCAAAGAAAGTGCATTAGATGTACTGGATTTACCAATAAAACTAGAGTATGGTCGATTAGGTAACTATGAACTATACAAATGAACCTTTATCTATTACGAATATAATTATAAAAAATTACTTGGTATTAATAATTGTAAAAAGTAAACTGTCGAAGTTAACGAGGACTACTAATTAATTGTGAATATGATTAACATAATTAATAGATGTAAATATAAATTTAAAAAGTAAATATAGTTTTTAAAGTGCATTCAGTAAGATTATTTAGCAATTTAGATGGGCAATTATTTCATTATATACAGTACAGTAATATTGGCGCCTGTCAAAATTACAAATAAATCTTAATTAATAACTAATTTAGGTAAGCTTGTACTGAAGATCCCTTTTAAGGATATGTGGAATGGCCAGATTGATGCCATAGTCGAAGAACTTTTCGTGCTCGTTGTCCCTTCCAGCCAAGTGCAGTACGATGCCAACAAGGAGGCACAGATTGAGCTTGAAGCGAAGCGTGCGGAGCTTGCAAGGGTCGAGAGAAATAAGCAACTCGCAGACATGAAAAGTAAATATAATTTTTTAATATATAATTTAAAAAATGATTGATGTATAGTGTAATTAATTAAAATGATATAAAAATGTCTACCCGTAATGAAAAGATCAAGAAAAGGTTGATGATTCCATGATGGAAAAGCTCATTGCTCGGATGATTAAGAATATACACGTCGAAATCAATAAGATCCATGTAAGATACGAAGATCATGTTTCTTTCAAAGAGCATCCGTTTTCTATCGGTTTCACTCTCCATCGATTCGCCCTGGAAAGTTGTGATCACAATTGGTTATCAACTGGTAATTTAAAAGATATGTACGCTATTCAACAAATTTTCAAAGTAAGTAGTTGTAGCTGAAGGTTTATATTTATAATTTGACGTTTCTTACATCGAATTTATTTTCATTTTCATTTTCATAATTACGTAGTTATGCACAATGGACGGCTTCGCAGTGTACTTGAATCCGTCACCTTATCAATTTAGCACACTATCTCGAGCAATGTATTTACAAATGTTTTCCGAAAGCATCGCTTCTGCTGATTTTCTACCTGAAGATTATCAATATCGTAAGTAACATATTATATATATATATATAAGTATATATTATATTATAATTTATTAAGATATCAGTTGCTAATATTAATAGTAGTTTTAGCTGTCTTAGTTTTCTGAAGATTTCATTATAACATAACATTTTTATCACAGTACTGGGTCCGATAAATGTAAAAGCGAAATTGAAGCTGAATCCCAAACCAGAAATAGATGGTAGTAATTATTCGATACCGAAAGTTTGGCTGGATCTTGAAATGCAAACATTAAGAATCGGTTTGACAAAACGGCAGTATCGCACACTAATGCAAATGTGCGAAGGTTTAGAAAAGGCAAAACATGCAGCCCCTTACAGGAAATACAGGCCAAATTTTACTCAATTCCGAGGACACTACGTTGAATGGTAAAGTTAATTGGAAAAAGATTATTTAAGAAAATGTCAAATTTATTGTAATAAACGTGGAGATTTACTTTACATGGCAAATTGATATTTCGAATGCATTATAAATATAAATATTAATTTAATATAAATTATTTTTAAGGTGGCATTTCGCATACATTTGTATTTTAGAGCAAGTGAAAATTACTAGAAGAAATTGGGATTGGAATCATATGAAAAATCATCGAGATCTGTGTAGAAAGTATGCAAAACTTTACCAAATTAAATTAACAGGAAAGCCATCGACTGAATTAGAAGAACAGTTAACAGAATGTGAAAAAAAATTAGATATTTTTAATCTTGTTATTATAAGACAGCAAATTGAAATGGAGGTAAATTCCTTATACGTTAATTAAATTTATTACCTTTTAAAAAATTTTGCTAAAATCTGAAATTATGTATCAAATAAAATATTAAAAATTTTTGTCCCGAAAAAATAAATTCTTTACAAGTCCAATTAAAATTATTTATTTTTAATTATAGGTTGAAAGATTAGCAGAAAAAGAAAAAGATTTGAAAGCCAATAGGGGTTGGTTTGGATTTTTATGGGGATCATCAAAACAAGATAATGTTCAAGAAATGAATTCAGCCGTAGCCATAAGTTAGTATGGTTTTTAATAATACATAAAGTAATGTAATTAAAAATCTGTAAAAATTATTTTCAACTTCGATGAGTATTGATATTTAAAATTACTTCAAGATATTCTTATAATTTTTTATTTAAAATCTTACATTTCGTTGTAAATCCTTACCAAAAAAGAGGAGTTAATAGTGGATTATAAAACACATTTTCATATAATGCTACCGATTATTTAAGTGCTGCAAAAACAATATATTCTTAGTGTTTAAATATAATTGCCATAGAAATTAAATAATGATTTTCATCGCATAAGATATAAGCATAAGATTTAAGATTTATGTACAAAATTAAAATTTTGTTTTATAGTGAAGAAATTTGAGGAAGCGATGACGCCACAAGAGAAAGAAAAACTCTTCAGGGCTATAGATTATCAGGAAAACAGTGTTCCTGCACATTATCCTGAAACTTATGAAATGATTGATACTAGTTTCTTTTTGCATGGTCTGCACATATTGTTATTAGATACTGACATGATATATCCCGAGATTTTAAATTTACAGTTAAAAGCAGTGCATGCTTCTTTTAAATCTAGACCAGCAGCAAATGCAATCTTGTTAGTATTTATAATTATTATTTTAATGAATGCCGATAGTAATTTGGCTTAAGCTCATAATTATTTTATTAATGCAAAATTTCAGAGTAACAGCATCAATCAGTGACTTAAGTTTACTTGGTGTAAAACAAGGAGAGAAAGTGCCTTCGCTATTTAATTTGGATAAAAATACAAATTCCACAACTGGATTGTTTTCGATTTCATACGAAAAGAATCCAATCGATAAACTTTGCGGTGATAGGATCATTGTTAAATCTAGTGCTGTGCATATAGTTTACGATGCTCAAACTATTATTGAATTAATTAAATTGTTTAAAATACAAAATTCATCTACATTAAGCCAGTGAGTTTATAAATTTTATTACCGTCACATTAAAATAAGCTATAATTTCATTTAAATAAGTAACTAATATTGAATTTTTAACAAATTTTTTAAATAATGTAGTAATTCAATGAACTATTCATGGATAAAAAATATATATTATATTCTTTATTAATATTATTTTTCATCTTTCATTGAAAAACTATTAGTAATCTAATATTTCTAATAAATAGATTGCAAGCTGTTGCTGCTGAGCGATTAGATAGTTTAAAAGAAGTATCCGCTTTGGGTTTAGAGTATGCTATTCAGAAACATTCTGGATTAGATATTCAGGTAATTTTTTCTGAATTTATCTACAGGCTTATATACTCAGATATTAGAAGTATGTTAATTCTTCTTCTGTGTTATAAAATTTTAGGTTGACATGCAGGCGTCACAACTTATCATACCATATGGAGGATTGTACAATGGTAATGAATCCCTATTAGTAATAAACCTTGGCGTTTTAAATATTAATTCGCTGGAAAAACCAAAGGATGTAGCTCATTTGAGTGTGAAACAATTAGTTAATATGGGTAAAACCGAAGAAGATATATTATCACATCTTCGAGAGCACAGTTATGATAAATTTGACTTGAAAATAGTTAATTTTCAAGTATGTAAAATAAGTATTGTTAAATGGTTTATTTTTTTAAATTGAAAATATATAAAACTTTTTGAGCATTTATATTATTTAGAAAATCTAGTCTAAGAGATTTAAATTAATTTATATAAATACTTGAATCACAGGTACTTATTTCATTGGCCAATGAAGATTGGCGAAACGCTCTGTCATTTGATGACAGTCCTTTAAAAGTTGTCAAACCTGTGACATTAGAAGTACAATTTCACAAATGTCTTATAACAGATGATGTACTATTACCGAAAATAAGATTGATAGGTAACTTGCCATCTGTTGCGATCAATATAACAGGTATTAATTTTTATATACATTTATTTAATTGATTTTATATAAACACAAAATAGTGTTCTTTACTATAAAATTTGTTTCATTATAGAAAAACGATTGCTCGAGGGTCTCGCTATCGCGCAAAGTATTCCAATGCCAGAAGAAGATAACTCATCTAACATTCAACGAATTTCAATTGTAATTTCCTTGAACATTTATTAAAATATTACTATTTTTTAAACATAAATTTTTAAAGCAAATTATTATTCTAGTCAAAGTCAGCATCTCAACTATCATTATTTAAAGAATTATCAAATCTTCCATCAATGATTGAGAAGAAAAAAGAACCCACCATTTCAATGAAGCAAACAACAGATTTAGAAGCCAAATTTGTAATGAAAGGTAAAAAACAACAAATGTTAAATTCGTAAAAATAATACACTAAAATATTAATTAAATTTCTTCAATTGCATAACTTTTTTTTCAATAGAATTTACAGTAACAATATTGAAGCAAGAAAAGAAAACAGAAATTTTGCCATTCATCATATTCCAACTACTTCAATTAGAGGTAGAATTAATGCAACGCACTTTCAATTCCGAAGTTATGTTAAGGTTGGGAGGAGTTCAAGTAAAACAACATCATGATACTGGAGAAATTTTCATGATAAATACTCCAATGTCTTCTGGAAGTCAAGAATATCTTATAATTATTAAATTTATTAATGCAAGTGAACTGCTTTTTGTTAATCTTCTAATGTACATGATATTTAAAATAATTTTAATAAAATTATAAAAATATTCTTGCAGATGAATAAGCGTTCTCCAGAATTCGCGATACAAGGTTCTGTGGTAAACCTATTGTGTCTTGAATTCACAACACTCAATGTTTTATTGCATCAAGAAGCTTTGATAAATGTTCTTCAATTTTTATCAAATGTTAACGTAAATAAAATAGGCCGTTCAATAATAAAATTACTAAATTGTGAAAGGTGAAGGTTACTGTTTAATTTGAAATTAAATTTGTATTATGTTTTTAGACTAATATCACAGCAGCTACTGCTCAATTACAAGAAAAGAAAAAGCAACAGAAGGTTAATAGGGTCGCGCATTTAACAACAATTCAGGAAGATACATCAACATTTATTAAAGAACAAATTCAAAAACAAAGAGGAAAAACACGTGAGAATGAATATATAATTAATTTTTCATTTTAATTTTGAAATTTGATTTATTTATAAAATGAATTTATTAACTACGCAGGTCGAAAGAAGGCGCAAGTGGAAATCGTCGATTTTAAGGTTGCTGCAAAGATAGGCACTATAAGTTTAAAAATGGTAAACGACTTCAGAGATATTAGCGCCTTTTACATCGAAGGCATTACAGCTGGTTACACTATGAAAGTTTCTCACTCAAAACTCAATGTTCAACTAAGCTCGGTTAAGATCAAAGATCTTAATGCTATGTCTATTTATAAAAACGTAAGCTGAATTTATGAACAATAAATATGTGTTTCTTGATTTTATTTACAATTACCGTCTTACAATATTAATGTAAATTTTTTTACAAAAATTAAAAAATTAGCAAATATATTTATGTTTAGATTGTTTCTGTGGAAGGCTCGGAGCTGCTGCAGATCGATGCAATAATGAACAATATTGAACCGGGCGACCTGGATAATAATAATATGTCTATAACTATTACAATGGGTTGTCATCGAATCGTATTCTTGAATGCTTTTGTCATTTCAGTAATGGTAACTTGAAAATTCGATATATTACAAGTATATATTATTAAATACATTAAAAAACTATTGATCAAATTTATGGGCGTACGTACAAAAGTACATTTTAATTTTATATTATGTTAATTTCTGTAACAGAACTTTTTGAACAACTTTCAAGCTGCTCAACTGGCAATTGCAGAAGCATCGGCAGCTGCTGCCAAAGCCGCGAAGACTAATATAAAAGATGTGCACGAGCGAGCTTCGCGTATTGAATTATCCGTAAAGCTAAAGGTAAATTATTTGACAGAAAAGTTTGGATTAAATAATGAATTTAAATGTTTTATCCAATTAAAAGGCTCCAGTCATATACGTACCAATGAATTCAAAAAGCGAGCACTGTTTGATGTTGGATATGGGTAATCTTACCATTAGTAATGTCTTAAAGAAGATAGAAGTGAATGATTCTAGGTCCAATGATTATCCTATTGTCGATGAAATGAATATTGAATTACAAAATCTGAAATTATCCAGGTAAATTAATCTAATATATATTTTATAATTATATAATAATTGTCAAAGTTTATTATATTAATGATATGACAGACTTTTTTGTTCTTTTATCATATTTAAAATGCGATACAAATGATGATACAAATTAGTATTAAATAAAATTGTATTATTTGTATTATGTATATTTATAGTGAAATAATAATATAAAAGATAATTTTTATTTTGTTTTATTACAAATATTTTCGGCTTAATACGCTTATTTTTAACTTACAACTATCCCTATTGAAATCTTTGACTAATTTAATTCGATAATGCGTTTAATAAAACAAAAAAAAAAACAAAAAAATATTTAGATACTTGCTTCTTTCATATAAATATTGCAATTTTTGTGATTATAATTTATGAGTGTAATATGATAAAGACTTTTATCATTTTATCTGTATTATTTAGGGTAAGGCTGAACAAAGACAAATTTATTGCTGAAAATGAGGTCATGTTGCTACAGCCTGTTAGTTTTATACTGATGATCAAGCGCAATCTATCGACGGCTTGGTACCACCAAATTCCAGACATCGAGATGTCGGGTCGATTGAAGCTCATTAACTTACTGCTAAACCATGAGGATTATATGATGATAATGGCAACATTGAGTGAGAATCTCGGTGAGACCGTTGATGAGACCATCCCAGTCCATCAAATCAACCGTACGGACAAGAAACATCTATCCGAGCAGCATAGTCGAGTAACTACTTGTGAGTGCTAAAAGTGTACTTGTGAAAGGAGATTACGAGGATTTCCATAGATAAAATGTATATCTTGGCGCAAAGACTTGTATAATTTTTATATAATTGCTTAAAGTATAAATCATTTTAAATTTTCAGAGTGAAAGGTTTAAAAATATATGAGGCTACAACACTACAGATTTTGAAATTCTTGAAATAAGAAAGCAATAAATTTTCTTCATTTAAAATCTTGATAGATCAAATTAATAAAGTAAATTTTATAAATTTTTTCCTCCAAAAAATGAGATACTTTTTTTTTACGGACACGTAATTTCGAGGTATTGAGAACATGAATAGATATAATCGGATAGAAGTTAATGTGAAACTATGCACATTTGTTAAGATAAATTTTTGTTGTTTCTTCTTCAACGTTCTCTTAAATTTAATTAATATTAAGACATTGATTTAATGGAATGTTTTCTAACATATAAACATTAAGTGAGAAGTAATGTACGCGATTATTACGTATTATTACATATGAATGTTATGATTAAATATTTATTATATGTATTTAATCAATCCATTTATTTTTATTCTTTTCGTGGAACCGTAGAGAATAATTTATTAAAAATTTACTCTAGCTAATTATACATGAAATTATTTAATATTTATTTAAAATGTTTTTTATATACAAATTTTTTATATGCATATGTAATGTTAATTTGCAGTTAAAGCAGATGTGGAAGTTGTAAAAGAACGTGATTTTGTTTCTCAAGAGCAACAACACGTACAGACAACTATTAAATTTGAATTCATAATGGAAAGTCTTATCATCGAATTGTTCACTGGCGGTTCTAAATTGGTACTTTTTCCGAATTAATTGTAGTATTAATATATTGCACAATCGGTATGAAGCTTGAATAAATAAATTTCAATTATATGATATTATATATTTTGATATATCACTATCACATGTATATAGAACATAAAATCTTTATATATTTTCAATCGCGTTTTGATGTTCAACGAACGTCTTATTTATTTAATATTAAATTGCCTACCTTAATAACTCTTGGGCCTATGAATTAATTAGTAATTGTTAATAATTCGTAGTTAAAGACACAGAATTCGCCACTACATTTGCCTGAGAACAGTTTAGCGAAGTTCGGTCTGTCGCATTTGGCACTCAAGGGTCGTATGCTCGCTGATGGTCTACTGGCCACATCTATCGTATTGATGGATTGTACTCTCGATGATACACGTCGCAATCGTAGGAATTCGCTTGCCAGGATAATGGAGAGAAGCATCAAAAAGTCGCAATCAGAGAATTTAAACGATGAGATGACCAAGCCTATTCGTAGTATGCTGGATATCACTCTTAGGAAAGGACCGAATGATATGTTTGGTAATTTGCTGCCTTAATTATGTAGTACATTTATGTGAATTGTAATTGTCGTGTGCCGTTTAAGGTAATTTAATTAATAGATGTGTTTTATTGGACGATTAAGATTTATGAAAGCTCTTAAAATGCTCATTTACCATAAAAGACTTATATCAGAAATTATGTTTATATATCGAGATTTATTGAAAATTTGATTATTTTATAAAGGAATTACATTACAATTATGCTTTCTAGTGGATGTTCGTGTTTTTTCGTTCAGCATCATAATATCGCTCGATTACTTAATGAAAATTAAGGATTTCTTCAACGTCGCTCCTCAGTCCGTACAACAAACTTATCCACAATATTCATCAAAACTATCATGTGATCAAACAGCGAAGAAAAAAGTTGCTCAACCAACACCTGCATTAACAAATTCAATGATGACGATAAATTTGCACATAGAAAAGCCAGATATTATTTTATTGGAAGATATGGATGATATTGATTCTAATTGTATAGTTTTGAATGTAGGCTGATACCTTATAATATCTTTAAAAAATCTATTTAACTTATTCTTATAATTCTCATTTCATTTTCTTGTAGGCTGAACTATTTTTGAAAGTTCGAATAATGGGCGAACATCAAGTTATTAATGGATCTATCCAAAATCTTTCGCTTTTAACTGGTATTTACAATACTAAAAAAAGATCTGATTGGATATACCAGGTATTATTTTCTTATCAATTAAATATTTCATCAATATTTTTTATAATATTTTCCGTAGGTGCTTAGACCAACTAGTATCAGCATAGCAGGTTCAACCCCAGATGGCAAGGGTTTACATGTAGATATTTGCAGTACGGATATTCACATTTCTGTCTCTCCAGGTATACAATGCAGTAAAACATTTTGCATGGAATATAGATTAATAATGATTGAGAAGCTAATTTATAAAATTGTAAATTATTTTAGGTGTCATTGAAATTTTGAGCAGAGTCTTACAAACTATTACGAAAAAGGAAGATGAGGATGATGAAGTTAAAAAACCCGAACGGAATCACGATGGTCTTTGGATTATTACACCATTTAAAGAATCAGATTATTGGTTTTTAAGAACAGGTAACTTAATCCTAATGTCAATATTTATAATAAAATTATAAATTGATATAATATTGATTTGAAAAATATTATTAAATTAATTGTAAAATGATTTCTAAAACGGTGTATTATGAAACTTGTGTTAATTTTTATAGAAATTGGGACAGAAGCTTATGAAGATCTTCAAGTTTTCAATGCTGATGAAGTAGAAACTAAATGTTATAAACCCGAAGTTGCTATTATTTCTGCACCTACAATTTTACTTACTCTCGAAGCTGGTATCGGTAATAAAACTTTACCGATGCTGCTACTGTATCTTGGATTTCAAAGTAAAATATCTGATTGGAGCACTAATACAGTAATTACAGTATTTTACATATTTTATAAATTTAATTGATAAATATAAATCTACAAATGTAATTAAACGTTAATGTAGATGAGTATCGATTCAACGATATCAGTAGTTATGGCATATTACAATAGTCGATTAGCCTTATGGGAGCCATTAATTGAGCCTATGGAAGCAATGAAAAATGGAAAACGAACTTCTACACCATGGGAATTGAAATCAAAAGTGAATAAGCATTTAAAATAAAAATTAAAAGAAAGATAAATTTAGAATACGTAATTATTATATTTATTTATTATTCATTATTAGATTCAATTTAACGATATCACAGCAAATAATGGGATAGCTCCTTTAAACACATTATCCGAAGTGGAATCGGAAGAATTTTATCAAAAATCGAAAATGTCTGTCGATATTTTATCAACTGTAAGGAACTGCAATTACTTTAAAGAATTCTTTAAAGTTTTTATTGAATTGAAATCTTATTTGTAGGAAAACTTGGAGATCACCGTTACTAAAACATGTTTAGAAGTATTGAAGCATCTTGGAAATGCTTTTTCAAATGCTATGGAAATTAGTAATAAAACTTCGACGAAAAAAGTTGCACCATATATATTGAAAAACGAGACTGGTTTAACCATGACTTTAGATTTAGAAAACAGTCATTTTACGGTAATGTGTATATAATTTTTCTATATTTATAAATATCTTTTAACAATGTTATTTATATGATGTGTCATTATTTGATTCCTAAGCTAATTTTTTATTTACAAATTTTTTACAGACTTTTATGTTTTATTGATTATATTTAAGCTTACGTCAATTATAATAATCTTGTTCATTACTTGAGTATTGTAAAGCTTTATGAATTATACAGATTTATTTCCTTAAGTCTAATTAGTTTATTTAAAAGAAGTCGCGTGTATTATTATTCAACAAACAACTAATGAATAAAAGTATTAAGTATATCAAAGAATTCGCTTTATAATAATAATTTACATTAAATTTTAACGATGTTACTTATGTTATTTTATCACATGTTTATGCACGATTGAAATTGATTATTTTGGTCCAGTTTGAATATTATGTATAAAACAATCCATTGAGTAATTTTTTTTTCTTCTGCATTTAAATAAACGATATGTTATAAAAAAAAAATCGCATGTTTTTAGGTCGCAGAAAACGAATATTGTTTGAAAAACACTAAGAATGCATTGTATTCAGAAGTGATTTTGGAATCCGGAGCATCAGTGGAATTAGCAACGAAAGTTAAAATCGAAATTCATCTTTTAGAGCAATTGAAGGCTGAGACCGTCAAAGATCGAGGCTCAAATAAATTCATCGTTTCAGTACTGTTCAATTTACTTTTGCTTCTTAATTAATTTGTATTCGAAATAATCTATTAAAGTAATTATTCAAAAGTTTAAGGATATTGATGGAAGTTTGGAAATTCCGATACTCAGGGCAGATAAGCGTTTCTTTTCATTGAAATATCGGAAAGAAGGTTCGGAAGAATGGGGTATAATTTCTGACGTTGTCGTTGAAGACGGAAGTACAATTGTAACACTGCGAAGCATTTTACAAGTAAATAATTTGAAAATTCAAACTACAATCGTTTACTATAATTGTTTATTTACAATGCTTTAATGATAGGTTCACAATCACTTTTGCGAACCAGTTTCCGTTTACTATATGACTAAACGTGGAAATGAAGTTGAAAAAGTTGGAACAGTGCTTCCTGATGAAAAGTTGAATTTGCCATTGGATGCAGTTTATACAGCATCTAGTATATATTGGCTTTTCTTCAGTATTGATGGGTTAGATTTTTAAAAAATTTTTGTATCATTAATTTTATAAAATTATATATTTATAACTAAGCATAGAATTGATATAAGTTAGTGAGATAATTATAATTTATAATAATAAACAAAACAAAATTTTTGCAGTCATATGGTATCCGTTGAACCATTCATTTGGAAGGATCTACAAAAAACCATTTCAATGACGAAAGTGCTAAAGTGCGAAAGTCGGTCTAAAGTTGATAATATTGCTCCTTTTTACATTCAGGTAAGATATATTATTTTTAATGAAAATTATTAATTTTAAATGGAAATTTGTAACGTACTGTATATTTTCGAAATTTTGAATGATTTAATATGCATTTATATGATATGGAATATATGGACTGTATGCGAATAAATATTTTATATGAAAACCTTATGTAAACCTTCATTCAAATTTAGAAATATTTTTTTTAAATAAATATTAAATGTTTTTTATTTCATACGTAAAAACCATACTTATTTAAGTAATAAATGAAAATGAATTTGTTTTTAAACTACATGCCTTGTTATCATGACCACATTTTACATGTATTAATATGTAAGGAATATTTTATTGTCAAATAATTACAATATTTCTAATAAGATAATTTCCAAAAAAAAATTGCAAATGGAATCCAATGAATATTTTGATGAATACACTAAATAATCATTATTAATAATCATTGATATCTCCATACCTACATACTTATTAATTTTTACATTTTTAATCAAGTTCTGATTGCTTTATATAATTCTAGGCTTTTGATTCGTGGGCATAAGAATAAAATATGGACTGTAATATATTTAAAAAATATATTACAATGAATTTTTTATTAAAAAAAATTTTTTAATTTGGAGTATCAAAGATAGTTAAAAATCACTAAATCATAATCTAGTGTTTAAAATATTCACACTAACTCCGTAGAATTGTATGTTATAAAAGTAGATAAAGCATGATAAAAATTTTGTTCCATATTTAACTAATACTTCTATGTTTGCTGAAAAATTAACAAGAAAAATATACGCCTAAAACCTTATAAATAAGAATGTAATACTTTCTTCGCCTTACAGAAACATTGTCACAACTAAAAATATTTAACCAAATCAATACAAACTTTGTGGATGCCAATTTTATACTTATTATTAATGTGAAAAAAGTCCTTATCAAAAAAATTTTCGAATGAAATAAAAACTATATCGAATTTCAGTTATAAAAATTGGCACACATTTTTTAATGCAATAAAATGAACGTTTATGAAAATAAGATATAATTTATTGTAATTCAAGTACGAAAAGATATTTTCTTTTCAAATATCATTTCTAAATTATTTAATAAGTTTTCAAAATTATAATAACTTAAATCAACTTCTATATAATAACATCTATGTAATAAAATATAATAACTTCAGAAAAATATGATCATTAGAATTAGTACAAAAAAAAATCCATTGTACACTAATAATATTAATTTTAAATACAAAATTTTATAAGAAAAATAATTTATATTTTATAAATATTAAAATTCTACATATATGTTTTTTAAATATTTTATGATTTTGTATTTAATTTATAATTATAAATAATTGAAAGAATTATTAGAATTTCTTAAAAATAAGCATTAATTTTTAACTTATTATAAAATAACATACTAAACTAACATATTGCATATTACTATACCTCAATAAACAGTATCAAATATTATTCATACTAAGATTGTTGTTATTATCAAAATAATTTCAAGTTGTTTATTTACAATTACTTCGTATGAGTTTTATTAATTATTGATTAAATATGTCTGTATTGATGTATATAGTATATTTAACTATATATTAATTTGTTTACTTAGATTTTAAAATACACTAGTTATGCATGATTATTTTTGTTCTCATTTCCCCCCGCTCTCTCTCTCTCTCTCTCTCTCTCTCTCTCTCTCCCTTTCTCTTTCACGTTCACTTTCACTTTTATTCTCATTTATTTTCTCACTCAGTATTTCTAGTTCTTTACATTTCTTTTTCTTTGTCTTTTGTCTCTTTTCTAATTTTAGATGTTATACGTGGCGCTCATAATAGCTTATATCTTCTTTAATAATGACATCCACGATTTTTTGCCAAATATTTTTGAACGACGTTACGTTCAGAAAAAAATCGCCCAACCGGTCCTTGAAAAACTATCAGGATCACCTATTCAGGTACTCAGAAGAATGCACATATGCACGTGCACGCACGCACACACACCCGCACGCATGCGCGCAAACACACGTGATCACACACGCACACACACACAAATCAAAATAATACATACACACACACTCGATGTTATAAGTGCACTTATTTGACATAATAAAAGTATTAATTTATATTAGTTTTCTTTTGATTCTGTTGATAACTAGCATGTGTTTTTCGAAAAAAAATTTTTGTGATTATCATACATATTTATAAGTATTTATCAGGCAATCAAAAAATCGAATTTTCATAATTTGTTCATATTAATTAAGAGAATTATTTATGGAAGCAATATTTACGGAGACTGTTACTTTTACAAATATATTCATTATTTCGCTCAAATATGTCAATATTAATAACCTGTCTTTATATATGTGTCTGTGTTTGATTGCTTTTAATAATTGAATTTATAAAGTATAAATTTAAAGTGAAATAAAAAGTTTCATTAAAAAATTATCAATTTTCATGAGAAAAAATTTGGATATAAACATTGCGATAAAACCAGAGCAATTTCAGATATATTTTTAATAAGCGTGCAGAATTTTAGGTCAAGTAGTTTAGTAATTTTTCATTTTTAAAATATTATGTTAAAACAAATTTATATTAAAGTAAATTAAAATTTTGAAAACTAGCTACATGTAAATAAAAGCATTAATATTGCTTTCAACCTCTGATGTTTGTTTCAATTAACTGGAAATTTCAAGCACATATTTTAAACATAATGTATTCTATATTAAACAAAATTATTATTTTTGAAAATTCGATTTTAGATATATATATATATATATATATATATATATATATATATTTATATATATAATTGTCTATAATCCCTTAAGTATTTAAAAAAAAAATAGCTGAAATTTGTTTCAGTTATGTGACCGTTATATTTCGCTTACGCTAACCCATTATTTTAATAGTATCTTTAATTAATCATTCTTTAAAATTTTGACTAAAAATTCTTAGTTAATTTGCCATATATCGTAATCAGATACTTTAAATAAATTAATACAAAATGTACGTATGTAGCAACATATACAAATTATTAACTATCTATGATATATTTGATGCTAATTGTAAATATCGAACTGATATAGACTATTTAATTGAAGTATTTTTAAAAATTTTCTTTTGAAAGTTTTAGTTTTTTTTTCATTATTCTATTGATTCACTTTACTTATTATTTATTCATTTCATGATTGCTTAATACCGATTCTTTAATATATATTGAAATTACTGCCTTTAAATAATGAAAATTAAATAGAAATAAGTGTATAAAATAATAAGATTACACATAAAATACTGTACTTTACTAATAATTTAAACAATCCTTATCATATTTCATTAAAGCGAAAGATTTATCTTTGCAATACACTACTACTTTTAATTTACAATGACATATTGTTTATTTGTTTATTTGTCATGATCATATATTTTTCGTTATAATAAAATATTTGTATAATTTATTATAAATGTTATTGTAGAATAGATTATTTGTTTATTATTCATTCTTAAATTAAAATGATATGCGATATATTTTTAACTTTTTATTAAAAAGTACATTTTAATCTAATAAATTTTGATTTATTTTAATTAAAATGAGTCTCAATATATTTTGTACTGTTCTGATAAATGTACATGAAAAATATTAAGACGTGCATTGAAAAAATATTAAGACATCCATTGAATTGAATTAATAAATGGAAGTTAATTTTTATTTGTCATCGAAGCTTTCGTATAGATAAATAAATTAGATGTATTAAATTTGAGATATTATTTTTCATGTATGAGCTTTTAATGTTTTCTTTATTCAAGGGAAGAAGATGTCCCTTTTATACAAAACTATATTTTCTATTATACTTAATAAACACAGAAAGTACATATCGGAGAGTTGAATATAATTATTTAATTCATTAACTTGAAAATAACTGATAAGCCATACTTCATTTTTGCAAAACATTTCGTGTTTATTCGACCCTCTTGTATTATTTTACGATTTTAACAATAGGAATCTTCTTCCCTCAAGACATTTAGCAACCATTTTATCCAGTTCTGACGAAATTGTTACAGGTGGTGGGTGAAATCGAACAGGTCTATTTTGAAAATACCATTCGTCACACAATGGCCAGTACAATTTATAATGTCCACCTCTATCCTTCTGTCTATTTGAAGAATTTCTTACCTATCGACATAATAATTTGCCTGCCTGGCAGCAGTCAAGAGAAGCGAATAGAAGCCGGCATAACCGTTCAGATACCGACCATCGATCCTGTAGAGTCAATTTTGGTCATCAAGGTTTGCCAGTTTTTATCTTATAGACGTAGCACAATGAGAAGTGATAATTTGAGTACAAATAACGGAAATCGGCTTACACTGTTGACATTCTTTTTGAGAACATCTTTTTCATTAGATTGCATAGAAGCAGTATAAATAATTGACAAATTGACAAAATGATCGATATATTTATAATTGAAATACCTAGAAGCTCGCACGATTATGTTATGAATGAATATTATCTAATAAATTTGCGTTTCACTTGAGTATGATCTTTCCAAATATTTGTAAGCATTGTACCAATTTATCTTTTTTTATTTTATTCAATTTCTAGCTACCGCAATATCTCGAAAAGGACTGGTCCTGTAGACTGGATATATCCAAGAATACACCCGAATTCTCTGTTTGGTCCTTCGAGTCTTTTGACAGTGCGCAAAGAGTCATTATGGATCTTGGCATTCACACATCTCACAAACACGGCTCCATCATCATGGCTCTTTACTGTCCATTTTGGATGCTGAATAAGACCGGACTTATGTTATCATATAGAGTAAGTTTAAATCGAAGGCCTTATTATTTAATTATTTATTTATTTATGTATTTATTTATTATAGATTTAATCGATAATTATGACTTAATTATACACGATCCAAGATTTTTTTTAATAATGATTTATTTATTAGTTTTAAAACAATTTTTTTAGTAAAGGTTTTTAGATATTGGCTATTGTAATAATAAATTATTCAAATAAGCTATAGAAATCCAAGTGCCAATAAATATATGAAATTT